GGGGATCGTGGCAGAATTGGTGCCAGGGTCGATTGCAGTCATCGCAAAAGACAATCACATTGCCTGAAGGGCTATGACCCCTCTCGCAGTGCCGGCACACTACATTAACTTCCTTCCCTTTGCGATAGACCCGTCTTCGCTTTCGCGGGTGTGACGACGATGCTGCGTCAGGGGCTGTGGGTGATCCTGATCCCGTAGCTGTTTGCACAGAAACGAACACGGTTGGTCGATGGATCTGTCTACCAGACTTGGTCTGTGTAATAACAGGTGTAGCTTCATCAGAGGATTCGTCAGAACTAGTATCACTGGCTTTGATTATACCATCATCATCGTCGTTGGCTTTATTTCTCCCCATTTTGCGTCTCTTTGCTCCCTTCTGGCCGCTCCTGCGACGGTTGGTTGTTGTCGTCCTCTGCCGCTTCGATCCGGATGTTGAATTGGCAAGAGGGGTACTTTCGGGATGAGGAGCAATTTTCCTCTGATGCATGTTGTTGGCGACAGTCGGACTGGACATTGTCGGGGCAATGCTATCGGGTGATCTCACAGCGTTGTAAACATTAGCAGGCCCTGGAGTGGCGAGGGACGGTTGTTGTTGGGTAGTTATATCCATAGACATGGTGCTATTAAGTGTATTCTCCTGTAGAGAAATGGAAGACTGGGATGATAATATTGACATGTATTTTGTCCCCTCCTTCACCTCCTTCTTTCCATTTCCTAGAGCTGCTGGTGCCGATAAGTCACCATTCGATTCACTACGAGTGGTACATGGGGTCCCGGCCGTATTATTGCAGCTGCTCATCATGGAGCTGTCGCTCATAGGCTTCTGCCGGTTCACCCAGGTCCCATTTGTGCGAGCCAATAGTTCCACAGTCGCTGCAGAAAGTTTAGGGATGTGTAGTAAGTTTGTAGAACTGGAACTTGGCGTCACAGATTCCTCGAAGGAAGCTTGAGAGGCAGCTGTGGAAACCGGTATAGATGTAGATAGCGACGCTCCGTTATTCTGAGGGAGATGGTTCAACTCAGAGTTTGGGGAGCCGGCAGACGGAGCGGGAGGAATCTGCAGAGTTTGGTTCTGCAACGCCATGGCGGGAATTGAAACATAAAATGTGGTTGCATATATCGTAGACTGCTCGGATTATTCCATCTAATTGAAACGCACAATGCAGAACTCCCTTGATTCTTTGATGAAAATGAGCGATTTTGCCCACTGACACTCCGGGTCACATGATTTGCAATTCACACTTTGGAAGAGCCAGGACTCCGACAGAAGCATGAACTGATTATTATTGAATCTGATATGTTTTTTAATATGTTCCTGGCAAAATACATACATGGACGGCATTATGCACTGGAAACTATGCAATGCAGTTGAGCAACAACCGTGGGGACATCGAAGAGTAGACTGCCCTTCTATATATTTATGGATCTTTAATAAGAATCAGAATAACAATAGTCTTACCTATCTCAATGAGTAGATCAATCTAGAGTAGTAGTAATATCCAAGATAGCACAGTGATCTAAGATATGACACAAAACCAGGCTAAACCAACCAATTGCGCACTGCAGAGTGGTAGAGCCGAAGGACAGAAGATGTCTATGCAACAACGCCGTCTTTCTTTAACTGCGCTATCTCAGCATTCCCAAGAGCCACAAGATCCCGAAGAATTTCTTCACTATGCTCGCCTAGCATTGGAGGCGGGGTTCTAACACCAGGTGTGGCATCAGAATACTTAATGGGGGTATTGACCAACTTCATTGGTCCGCAGGTTGGGTGTTCTACTTCTGTCACCATCCCTCGAGCGAGTACTATATATTGGATTCACGCATTGTTTTAGTGATTGTATATTATAATATTTATACAAGAGAAAAGCTCGAATACTGCAAACTTACCATGCGCATGATTCAGGGTTCCTTGAATATCATTGATTGCCGCATATGGCATGCCGCTACCTTCAAAAATGTCAAGCCATTCCTGTGTAGTCTTCTCCCGCATCTTGTCATCGATCATCTTATCTAATACCACTCGGTTCTTCACCCGAAAATTGTTGCTGACGAAGCGCTCGTCGGTTTTCCATTCTGGATGACCCACTTTGTCACAGAGTACGCCAAACAGTTTGTCGTTTCCACCCCCGAGTAGAATATCGCCGTCTTTGGTTTTGTATCCACGATAGGGAACAATAGAAGCTGTAGATATACTGTCAGTTATATATACCGTTTCCCCTATAGAATATCAGCACTACATACGATGAGCAGTTCCCCATCGGCCCGAGTCCTTTTCACCGCTGATCAAAGCGGAGCTAGCCAGATTTGATAATGTTGCAACCTGGCAATCACTCAATGCCGCATCAATATGTTGACCCTTTCCAGTCCTGGCTCGGCCTATCAATGCCGCCATGATAGCATTCGATGTATAAAGTCCAGTGGTAAGATCCGTGACTGCGACTCCGACTTTAACGGGAGGCCCGTCTCGTGAGCCCGTGACGTGCATCAGCCCCATCTCAGCCTCGACCATGACGTCGTATCCTGCCCGTTGGCTGTATGGACCAGTCTGCCCATAACCGGTGATACTTGCGTATATCACCTTGGGGTTGATGGCTTTGATAGACTCGTAGTCCATTTTGTATTTCTTCAGCGCTCCGGGTATGTAGTTTTCCACAAGGACGTCACAATCCTTCACGAGCTTATGGAGGATTTCAACACCGGAAGGGTGGGCGAAGGACAGAGCCAGTGATTTCTTATTGCGGTTTACCTATTTCCGCACCAGGGGAGTCAGCAAGATAGCACATATGTAGGGTGGTCAGTAAAAAAAGAGACCCTCCCTCTCCCCCTCCCCCAAAACCCAACCCCATCGGTGCCACGCCAGACTTACTGCTAGATAATATGCACTCTCTCCCGGTGTCTCCTTTTTTGTACCTTCCTTGTACTTCGCGAAAGGGGGTCCCCAAGCCCGTGTGTCATCGCCACGGATAGGATGTTCGATCTTGATAACTTCCGCACTATAAATATGTAAAACATAATTCCTTAACAATCTTGAATCTAATAATGCATCGAAACCGTGAATACATCTAGCACACACGATCTCCCTATGCCGTATTCCAAGGTTCCGGTTATTTACCCTAAATCGCCGAGTATTTGTGTGCAGTAAGGCTATAAAGAGTATAGTAAAGAACTGTCAACGCTCTGTACATGAAGATAGATTGTCAAGCAACACTGCAATGACAACTTACACCCGCAAGAACTCTTGTCATATCCAAAACTCGTATTCCCGCCAGTGGGAGGTTATCCACATTAGCCATTGCGGTGGTTGAAAAGCTCCGCCATCTAGCTGTCGCCGTCAAGCCATTGTTGCTAAATAGCAAGGTGTTGGATCTCCTCGCGAAGCTTCTCAATGTCAGATGTAAGTTCATCGTGACGGAATACAAAATGCGTACAGATCAAGCTACAGCCAAGCTCAGATTGGTGGAAGTTCATGGTGGAATATTCTTCGAGAATTGCGAAATAAAAAACTCTCCCTTGGGTATTGCGGAAGTGCCGCGGTGTTAATACCATCACCGCCGAAGCAGCCAAATGCCGACCAGTGCAAAGCTAATTCTGATCAACCAAACGTCGGGCAGAAAATACCGTGCCAGACCAAACACGGCACAAGGAACGACCAAAGAAAATTAAAGGATTAGATTTGCTGCGCTCGAGCCAGTTCAGTGCCAAATATGTTCGCAGGCTTGGTTGAGAAGATCGGCAGTAAGCAGCAAACCGCTACTCTATTCATACATCCCAGTTACCTTACGGTCGCTAACAATCTATTAAGCGGTCACATCGCTCGAAGCTCGAGATGAGACCGCTAGTGGAGGCGGAGGCACTTCGTTGACGATATCCGATTGCGAGGAAATACTCGTAGATTGCCATTTGGGTGACAGCATATGCGTCAATGGTACGGGAACACCACTATAGAGGCTCTATACTTTTACAAAAGGGAACAAAGTTACTAAGTATAAAAATTGAAAATCTAGGAACCTGCCTCACCGTCACCGCCTTCGATAAATCCTCCTTCAAAGTCGGCATCGCCCCTGAAACACTTCGCCGTACAAACCTGGGCTCTCTCACCAAGGGGTCTGGTGTCAACTTGGAGCGCTCAGTCACTGCCTCGACGCGGATAGGCGGTCACTTTGTCCAGGGCCATGTCGATACAACCGCTAAGATACTTTCTGTCACGCCAGATGGCAATGCATTGACTTTCCGCCTCCAACCACGAGATAAGGGGGTGCTGAGATACGTTGTTGAAAAGGGATATGTTACCTTGGATGGTGCAAGTCTGACCGCGACCAAAGTGCTGGATGGCGAAGAGGGGTGGTTTGAGATTATGCTGATTGCCTATACCCAAGAGAAGATTGTGACGTCTAAGAAGAAGCCTGGGGATGAGGTCAATGTTGAGATTGACATTGTTGGGAAGTACGTTGAGAGGAGTGTTCAATGCTACTTTGAAAGACAGGGGAATGGGAATGAATTTGCAATCCTAGAAAAGATGGTGGGAAGGCTTGTGGAGGAAAAGTTACGGAGGACATCAACGTCTTAAGATACCTAGACAATGTTATCAAAGGCAAAACCTATCATTTGATACAGGAAAATCCAGATTATACCGTGGAACGTAAAAATATCTTGTTCCTAATTCAGGACATCTATGGTGCATGAAAAAGATGCACGGAAACCAAATACGGGGTCTAGAAATAAAAAAGCACCTGTGTTGCGGGAACTTCGAACATCAATCGCTGTTTCTTGGGATATCTATTCAATCGACGGTGTAATTGGAAAGAAGATCATGAACAGCTTTAAGGACAACACGCTTTACTTTGTACACTGCGGGTAAAAAACCGCAACGTTGGTAGAAATTACTTTAAACTCCTAATCCCCACCCTATCCGCCCAAAAAAGTGCACAGACAAAATACAAAAAGAACATATCAAAAGGGGGTGACCAAGGCCACATTTGATGGTGATAAATCACCATCTAATAGTCGGCGGATGCGTCCTCCATGTCTTCATCACCATCATCAAAGTCTTCACCATCCCATTCGTCATGGAGGTCCTCATCGTCCTCGCCATCTTCACCCTCTTTAATTGCATCCCCTTTACCTCTCCCCCTTTTTTCCTTCCGCTTCCTTTCAATATTTTCCTTCTGCTCCTTTCGTCTCTGCTCCTTTTCCTTGCGTTTCTTCTCCCACGCCTCATCCAGCTCCTTAGTTTCCGCCTCCGTCTTGGCCAGTACATGATGCCACAAAACTTTGCCGCCGCACAATCCTTCCTCAACCTTGGTCAATTTTAATTTCATCCGTGGACCCAATTCCACCAACTTGACCGCCCTCTTTTCAACATTTGGATCTGAAGGTTTCGATGACCTCTTTTCGCCACCCTTCATACGTTGCAGTTCGCGTTTATTCAGAACCTTTTTCGCAGTGTTTTCCAATACTTCGACTTCAGCGTCAGTGTCGAGTTCAGTTTCGCTAGCAGAGGTATATCCAGCCGCGGATGGGTCCAGCAGATAGTCTGCTACATCGTCCAGTTTCCCGAGGTTAGGGAGAGCTCCAGTCTTTCGATCTCTATGTCGCTGTTCCTTGGGGTTCAGACGTCGAATTCGTTTTGGTATGCCAGTCCTTTTGGTTGTGATGGCATAATGGCGAAGATTTAAAATGTATGAACCATCTTCAGTTTGTTCTGGGGATAATTCTCTATTTAACAGCATGATGCGACGAATTGAAGATAACGGGGTGGTTTGAGGAGAGATAAGGGGAAATAGGGACTGGAAAACGGTTGTCGCAAGAGATTCCAGATGTTTTGGAACTGCTTTCGAGAAATGTTCGTTGTCTGTATTCGAAGACATTAAGTTATTCATCACGAGTAATGGAGGCGTTAGGTGAAGCTTGTCCCATCCTTTGGGATGCTTTAATGCCTTGACGACGTCTTTACAGAGCGAATAATTTTCAACCCTAAAGTGTAGCGTAGGTCCGCGGGGGGCAAGGGCAAGGCGAAAATTCGTATTTCCTGTACTCGACTTTGAGAATAAAAGCAAATGGGTCACTCCAAGGGGCCCAGTCATGACGGTATAATCCTTCAGTTTATTCGATTTCCGCTCCTATACTCAAGAGCGATCAGATCAACGCTTGTCCGTTGTCATTATTCAACATCGCAAATATTTCCATTGCTAAAAGACAAAAAATATTTTTACCTTCAAGCGGCTGGCTGTGTCAGGTTCCATCATTGCCCGTACATCCTTCACCAGCTGGCTAACACTTGGTCCAACTTCACCAGCGCCCATCCGAATCACCATACTCTTTGGGGACTTGGTCATTGACGCGGAGGCATTTTTGGGAGCTACATGGCTATTGCTTCCAGCCTGGAGATGAGTCCGCTTCTTCGTACGTCTTTTCGCCATGATTTTAAATAATGACAATTAGATTTGGCGCAAATAGATTCAATTTGTCCTCAGAAAAGATTATCCCTCCCAGAACGGAGAAGTTTAAACCGATCGATCTATCTCCAAACATCTGAACTTTTTCTTTCGAGCAGCAGAAATTCCGCGGAGGCCGGAACATTGATTTTGCGGCGTCGAAGTTAGTTTTTTCGTAGAAGTCAAAAAACAGCAACTATCGATACATCTTCATCTACAGCCAGACACAAACAGACACGTATTCCTCAATAGGTTAATATGTCTAATTAATACACAGGATGCAGGCGTTGAAAAAAAGGAAGCTGGCTCACGCAGCTCGGCCAGATTCTACAAAAAGCAATTCCGAAACATCAGGCTCCAAGTCTGCGGAGCAATCGCAGGATCAATTGACCTCCGAAGCTGGTGAACAGGGTGCCAAAAACTCACAAGAAGAGACTGCCACAAAGTCATTCAAGGATTTGGGGGTTATAGACTCTCTATGTGAGGCTTGTGAGGCTTTAGGCTATAAGGCACCCACTCCAATTCAAACAGAAGCAATCCCTCTTGCTCTGCAAGGCCGGGATCTGATTGGGTTGGCGGAGACAGGAAGCGGGAAGACAGCCGCTTTTGCCTTACCTATTCTACAAGGTGAACTGCTCAGCTTCCTTTTGCGGACTCACTGGGGTAATCCCGCTAATGTATCTTCTTCTCTAATAGCTCTAATGGATAAACCACAATCCCTATTCGGCCTCGTACTCGCCCCAACTCGAGAGCTGGCATACCAAATATCCGAAGCCTTCGAAGCTCTAGGATCCCTTATCTCAGTCCGCTGCGCCGTCATAGTTGGCGGAATGGACATGGTCCCGCAAGCAATCGCCCTCGGAAAGAAACCTCACATCATAGTCGCAACACCGGGCCGCCTCCTCGACCACCTCGAGAACACGAAAGGCTTCTCCCTCCGCAACCTCAAATACCTTGTCATGGACGAAGCTGACCGTCTCCTCGACCTTGATTTCGGCCCCATCCTCGACAAGATCCTCAAAGTCCTCCCCCGTGAACGCCGCACATATCTTTTCTCCGCAACCATGAGCTCAAAAGTCGAATCCCTCCAGCGCGCCTCTCTCTCCAATCCGCTCCGCGTCTCCATCTCCAGCAGCAAATACCAAACAGTCTCCGCCTTACTCCAAACTTTCCTCTTCATCCCCCATAAATACAAAGACATCTACCTCGTGTACCTCCTCAACGAGTTCGCCGGCCAGTCCGCTATCATCTTCACACGCACAGTCAACGAAACCCAACGCCTCGCCATCTTGCTCCGCGCTCTGGGTTTCGGTGCGATCCCGCTCCACGGCCAGCTCTCCCAGTCCTCCCGACTAGGCGCATTGAGTAAATTCCGCTCGCGCAGCCGCGACATCCTCGTCGCCACCGATGTTGCGGCACGGGGTCTCGACATCCCCTCCGTCGACGTGGTGCTCAATTTCGACCTCCCGCCAGACAGCAAGACATACATCCATCGTGTAGGCCGGACCGCACGAGCTGGAAAGAGTGGGCATGCGTTTAGTTTTGTGACACAGTATGACCTGGAGGTTTGGCTGCGGATTGAGAATGCGCTGGATAAGAAGTTGGAGGAGTATAAGGTTGAGAAAGAGGAGGTGATGGTGCTGAGTGATAGGGTTAGTGAGGCGCAGAGGCATGCCATTACGGAGATGAAGAACTTGCATGAGAATAGGGGTTCTAAGGGGGCTACATTGAGGGGCAGGAGGCCAGCGAAGGCATCGAAACGGGGGAGGGATGAGATGGATCGTGAGGAGGGGTAGGGTGGTATGTTGCTATTTGGAAAATCCAAAAATTATACAGGGGTCATTATGGGAGCTTCTTTCCTTATTATTTCTTACATCGTATGTTGCTGGTTTGCCATTTAGCGTGACTGTTATTCCTATGGATATTTTTGATTTCACCCATTCCTACCACGTAGCTTAAGTGGTTAAAACATATATATCGGTGTAGAAACGCATAGCGCAGTGGAATGTGATCGGGATAATAAAAATATTTTTCCCGGGTTTTTCCATTTGCATATCTTTCATTTGGTTCATTCTCACATGACCATTTGTCCATCCTTTCTTTCCTTTATTTCAGGTCCGTGGACAGTAAAACAAAGTTTGAAAACGAGAGACTGATAAAACACACTCATCGAATAAGAGCAGCACACAGCGTTTGTGCTAGGGAAGATAGTTTTGAATCCGATATACGGTAAAAGTAAAGGCCTATCATAAACTTGGGACCCTTGAGAAACTCTGAATAACAACTTTCCTTTGTTCGTTTTTTCCCCATGCCGACTCGAACTGGCAGTTACACATTCGAGATGTTGAACGAAGTGGGTATCCGCATTGTTTAGGTGTATGAATATACCGATAATTTGAGTTTTCTTTTTTCTTTTTCTTTTTTTTTTTAGTCCTTCCCTCCTTTTCTTGTTTTCTGCTTTTTGGATCCACTACTGCAAATTCCTAGCTCTTCCAGCATCCTGTACAGTGCTTGCAACCCGTGTAGCCAGATCGTCAGCCTCAGATCGCGTCGCTGCCTCAGCATACACTCGAACCACATCCTCCGTCCCACTGGCACGAGCAAAGCTACGGCCCCTGTTATACTGCGACTGGAGGCCATCGATACGAGCCTGCAAGCCTGCTGGCGATTCAAGCTTCCGTTCTGCATCGACAGTTTTGAATATTGACCGATCAGCAACTTCAATTCGAACGAGGCGGGATGGCAGGTCTGTGTATGTCGATATCCATTCCTTGAGACTCCAACCTTTGTGGGCGAGTATCACTTCGACGAGGAGCAAGTCTGACAGGGCATCGCCAACCGCTTGATTTATGAGTTCCGTGAGAGCAATGAGGCTTTCCAAGGCATATTGTTGGGCTGGAGATCGAGGCTCTGTGGATTTAATGGTTTTGAGAGCGTGCTCTGAGAAGGTTATGGTTCCATGTCCATTGGCTTCGAAGTAGACTCCCACATCGAATCTCATCGCGGCATGGTGGAGATGCTTCACTCCAGTGGGTGTGCAAATGACGGGAAGCTTGAGAACTTTTTCTATATATTCCGTACTTGAGCCGTTCGCATAGGCGGTCTGAACAACGCCAATCTTAAGTTTGCTTCCAAGTTGAGCATTCTTGACTAATTCAACAATGAAAGAGGCAGCAAGGGTTGCGATTCGGTCCCCATCAAGCAACTTGAAAATATTGCCTGTGTCAAGATAGTAGAAAACTATACGATCTGCGTCGCCATCAAGTGAAGCGCAGCGTTCATGAGTCGAGACTTTGCAAGAGGGTGGGGCACGCTGTTTGGTTTTCACAAAATCCGCACCACACTGGATAAAAGGATCCATTAGCAAATCACAGGCGAATAGAAAGTTCAAAGTGAATATTCTTACCTCGTAGTTCAAGCTTTCCGGGTTGATCACGTTGTCGTTGATGACTTTTATGTCCACGCCTCCTGCCTGAGCGTTAGGCAAATACTTGATCAGCTCTCTAAGTTTAGGGCCTCCAACGCCATTTGCACAATCAACCGCTACTGCACCAGACGTGGCGCGTCCCCTCATGACTTTTTTGAAGGCTGCACTAAGTTTCTGGTAGTAACCCTTCTCCGTAGGTTCACCATATTCATAGAGAGTACCCAGCGTATTCTTGCAGCGGACGATGTAATGAAGCTGGGGAGTGGTCAAGTATTTGAAGTCTTCAAATTCGGCCTCCGTCGCAGTGAGCGCGGAGGAGAGCACGCCGACGAGGCGCGAGCCTGAGGCGCGAGTATCGCGGGCGAAGACCACGCGAGCGGGGTTCTCCATCTTAATTTCAATCTCATCGATGAGGTCGCTGTACATATCCCCTAATTTCTCAAGGGGTGCATTTGCCAATCTGGTTGCGTATTTTTCCCAGTTCGCCTAAAATTTGGTTTGAAAAACCAGTGCATAAGCCAACATATCGACGAAGCGATGCGACGCCACGTATTGCCAGGTACGGGTTAACCTACCACCAACATCTCACCCTAGAACACGAGGATGTCAGCACTTGACCAACCGTCAAGCCATATAATGAACCACATACCATTGGGTCCACAAGCTTGATACCATTGTCTTCAGCGGGATTGTGACTCGCGGTGATCATAACACCAATGGTTTGACCATTGAGTTTTCTGGAGCGAAGACTGGCTAGAAGCCCGACGGCAAAGACAACCGTATTGAGGACATCCCTGATTGTGGCAGAAGGATCAGTTAGCGAGGCATTGTGTTGCGAAACAAGTGGGAAAAAGAAATATCGATGATAGGACTGGGGATTCGAAAACAGAAGTATTCGGTGGATCTCACGCTTTCATACGAAACTGTAGACGTAATTGTCAATTAGACTACCACCCATAGAGAGCCACTGTAACAATGGAAGCTTAAAACTTACACCAGCTGTGCCATATTCGAAGACTATACCCTCAGGCTTGGTGTACGCAGCAGCAGCATCGACAATGGTTTTCTTTACCGCTGAGGACGCCATAGCGAATTTGGGATAGCAAAAGTGTATGCTTGATCACCGCAAATAGCGGGATGGAGGAGGTGGTGGTGGGATAAAAGAATTTATACGATCAGAGAGGGGTCAAGAGAGGGGGAAGAGCGAGGATGGATGATGCTTGACTTGACAAAGCTTAAGACGCCTTGGAAGTGGCTGAGTCATGCATGAGGTGGGTGAGGCACGCCCCGGGGGAACCCAAACGAGGAAAGAAAGTTTGCTAACTATTCCAAGCCCTTTGTGGATCTCAGCCTATTTCAGCTGTGCAAGGAATCAACAGTCTGCATAGATAAGTGTTTTAAGCTTGCTTGAACAGGGGCTGAGGAACCAACCAACAGAAGGTTAGAGGGAGTCAACTTAAAAGGAGTCACATATTGGTAGTTTGCTTTGGCCATGATTTAAATCGCTCATCAATTCTCCAACAATTATTCTTTGGCAAGGGGAAAAAAAAAAAAAAAAAAAAGAAAAAGAAAAGTGTCATAATCATGGCCATCCCCCCCCCCCCCCACCCCCACCCAGCGACATACGGAGTAAACAGAAGGGGAATAAAGAGCAAGGAAAATAAAATGAAATGAAATGAAATGATATGAAATGCTTCAATCGAACTTCCAAAATGTTTAGATCTGCAGGAGTAACCACTCGACCCCACATTAAAAAACCCACAGAGCATATCCTATATATATCCCGAACTGCAACATCTATGGATACCATCCATAATGCCCCAAATCGAAAAAGCACTACATGAAGTTAAATATAAGACACATCTAAGCCTTCAATCGCTGCCCAGCGAGATCATCCTGGGCATCTTTCACAAGGAATCTATACAGCACCATTCACCGGATTAGAGGATGCACAGCACATTTATGTTGTTTTGAAAGGGTTATATACAACTTACGTGTACCACCACGCAGTAGGCACTACAGTCCCCAAATGCCACAGGCTATGCGCATCAATCAAGCCATGCCAAGGCGGGAAGTCAAGCAGCTCCAGACTCATCGCGACGATAATCCACGCAACGATCATGCCCGGCCACGCAGTCCACGATTTCATATACTTCCGGTACCGCGAGATGCTAAACCATGTCCACAGAAGATTCTGCACCACCCCTACTGTAACATTCGCAGCCATGTTATACGTGTAATCCCAAGACCAGAAACTCAGGTACGAAACATGGGTAATGTACAATGCCATGCAGATGATCGTCCACACCCGGAGCAGCGTGGGCTTGACGGGGGGTGTCGTCTGGTCGAGGCGGAATATTCGAACAACAGCAAGATATAGCCCATACAGCACGCTTGCGCCAGCCGCGAAGTAATCGAGCTTTTCAGTCACGGGGAGATCGCGGGTGTGGAATACCATGCTGAAAATCCAGCTGGCTAAGCCAAAGTACCCAAATGCAAGGTAGAATGGTCGCATTGGATATGAGCGAGGTATCGACTCTCGAATCCGGGCCATCCCCTGGTGATGGGCGAGGAGATTCAGGAAAGAGAAAATGACAGAGAACGGCTCCTGCATGCCTAGTATTCGGTAGAATGGCCATTTGCCGTGGAATTGAAGGACGGGTTCGAGCATTGGAGGATCTCGATTAACGCGGCGGTCTGTTATGATGTGTTGGCATATGTAATCGCATTCCGCAGGGCAATCCCATAATAGGAGCCGGAGGTAGAGAGCTGTTAAGCCAAAATTTCGAAAAACCAAAAAAAAAAAGGTCAGAGACAGATAAAATGCCTATAGAGCAGAAATGATACTTACGCGGCGATAACTTCCCCTTTTCGCAATTTTCCGCCTTGCATACCTGTCGTGTTGACTGTTACTTCTGATGGGATGGTCCCAGCGGATTAAGGAGGAGGGAGAGGCTTACTTTCACGCACTCCTTGAAATCCGGAAGCCTGTCCCCAGTAGACGCCGTGGAGCTACCAATTAAAAATATCAAAGAGGTAAAAAAAAGAACCTGCCGGTAAATCGGTCTCTCACCGATAATGAGCACCATTGTTGTTGTAAGGACATCGCAAAGCTTCATTGAACGTCAATACGCGAGGAATACTTTTGGGAGCTCCGTGGTCGGTCGGGGATGACAACATTTGGACCACACAAACAACACTTTGGGCATCTTCCACGGGCAGAAAAGTAACCCCAGAGCAGCATTGCACAACGCCGGAATCGTTTCTTCAAAATTCAAAATTCAACATTAATAAATATATATAAATGAAAAATTAATAATAATGATAATAATAATAATAAAAAGGAAAGGAAAAGGAAAAACTAAAATGGACAATGTGATAATCGAAATCACGACCTTTCGCACGCGGGGGAATGCAAAGCGAACGCTCTACCAACTGAGCTAATTGCCCAGGCACAGGTAAAATCTAGAGGGTTACTGAGCCCCAAGTAGCCCAGAGCTTAGGGCATAGGGCTCGATCCCGAAATAGCACTAGATTAAGCCCCTGTCGAAGGCGCCGTCGAATCAGATCCACCGACAGCCTTGCTGGTGAGTCTAGCCAGTTTGGGACTAGCGCCCGCTTTAACCTTCAACCCAAAGTCCGCCTGTTATTTATTTTCTGCGAGGCTAAGGGAGAGATTTCTGCAAACCGCCTCTACCCCTCGCCTCCTCGACACAATATAAAATTCCTTTCCAAGCTGCAGATTTCTCTTTGCAATTTTTTTTTTATATCTTCATCCCAAGAGAGTTTCGTCTTTGCATCGTTGTCGTTCATTCTATCCCTTTTTTCAAGACGCAATGAACGGAGCTTCGAACAAAATGGATACCTCGTCCCCCCCTCAGTCGTCCAGCGTGGACCGGATGGCTGGCCTGGACCACGCAGAGGTTCGCTATTTTACGAGGTATGAGAAGATATCCTTACCTCTATAACCCTTCAATATATCTAACATTGTCCTAGCTACGATCACCATGGTAAATTGACCCTGATTACCACCCCTCTCGAATTTATATAACTGACGAAGAAAACAACGGTAACAGGCATTCATGAGGAGATGCTTGTGAGTGGAATTGCCCCAGTTCGCACAACCGGCGTCCAGAAGAGAAGAAGCTAATTATAGTTTTCCTTCCTCGTTCTTATAGAAAGATGAAGTTCGCACAAGATCATACCGAGATGCTATTTACCAAAATCGTCATCTTTTCAAAAATAAGATAGTACTTGATGTGGGGTGCGGGACCGGTATTCTCAGCATGTATGTCATGTATCTTGCGAAAAGAAAATGTATATACATTAACAATACCTGAATGGACAAAATCTGACAATTACATTCTGCCTCCAGGTTTGCCGTTCGCGCAGGTGCCAATCATGTTATTGGCGTTGATATGTCCTCCATCATCGAGAAGGCCCGCCAGATCGTGGCAGTAAACGGCATGGCAGACAAGATCACCCTTCTCCAGGGCAAGATGGAAGAAGTACACCTCCCGTTCCCCAAAGTCGATATCATTATATCTGAATGGATGGGCTATTTCCTTCTCTACGAATCCATGTTGGACACTGTTCTCTACGCTCGCGACACCTATCTTGTCCCCGATGGCAAGATCTTCCCAGACAGGGCTACCATATACCTTGCTGCCATTGAGGATGGCGAGTATAAAGATGACAAAATCGGATGTATGTTTTCTATTGTCTATGCGCTTTCTTTTCGTTCCCTACAACACTCCAGTTAGTCTAACACCTCCGTTCTGATAGTCTGGGACAATGTATGGGGTTTCAACTATTCCCCCATGAAAGACGTCGCCCTCACCGAACCCCTTGTCGACACCGTCGAATTGAAAGCCCTAGTCACCGACCCATGCCCCGTCCTTACCCTTGATCTCTACACAGTCACCACCGCCGATCTCGCCTTCACAGTCCCCTTCAAACTCACCGCGAAACGCAGCGATTTCATTCATGCCATCATCGCCTGGTTCGATATCGATTTCACCGCATGCCACAAGCACATCCGGTTCTCTACCGGTCCCCACGCCAAGTACACCCACTGGAAGCAGACAGTGTTCTATATTCGTGAAGTCCTCACTATTGAGGAGAACGAATCTGTCACTGGTTTTCTGAAGAATAAACCTAATGAGAAAAACAAGCGTGATCTCGATATTAAGATTTCGTACACGTTCGAGACGGAAGATGGGATTCGTGCTGCGCAAGGCAGCTGTGAGTACAAAATGTAGGCGTCCTTTCATCTCGTCCCCTAAATCAACAGACTGACGAGGTGCTAACTTCTTTGCAAAGGTGTTAAAATGCATTGCTGTTAAATCTCGGTTTTACCTTCTTCTTGTTATCTGTGAGAGATTTATTCGATTGAAAATCTTACCATGCGTTCCTTCATGGTATCTGATCAGGTACCAGATGCAGAATGAATTGCATCAGAGGAAACCAGCATTACATCGCTTGCGTGCGCATTCTCTGTGATCTGGCCGGAGGAAATTCGATATATAGAAGAAAAGACGAGAGAAAGGAAGGGAATAGGGGCTACTGGCGTTGGGGGCAAAGGAGCATAATGTGGCGTCCGATTATGTGGAACAAATGATATAGGATAACGATTTCTAAAGCTCCTCGATTGGTTAGAGATACCCGAGTTGATGCTTAATCTTTAGCTGCTTCATACACACGACTTTGTTGTCGAGATGCCTTGTATCTTTTCGAGTTCTCCCGCCCAGCTAGACTCCGTGATGTCCGCAGACCACAAAATATGGCTCTCTGCGAGTATTTCGGAAACTATGATTAGAGAATCGTATATCCATACAAAGGTAGGTATATGGGTAGATTTGCCGATATGCGTGGCATTTACATTGCTGCCATTCACAAAGCTCTCCGCTGCCTCGGCTCACCGCACAAGAGCCCGGACTGCCGCAACCGTTAAATGTTGAATTCCCCCGCAAAAGACATAACATATTTAATCTGGAAACATCGAGCTTTCAGCTGGTAATTTATTTTATTCTTGTTGTATTCTTGTCATATATCCGAACTTCGGAACCGTTCTATTCAAACTTCTAAATCAATCTAAGACATCTATCACAATGAGCGGACCAGGAGTCGGTCATCAGTTCCCCAGTCAGGACGTGAGCTGGACGAAGAGGGATGTCCTCCTCTTCGCAAATAGCATTGGAGCAAAAGCTGATGAACTTCATTTCCTCTACGTATGTTGTTCAATATTTTTCCTCCCCATCAGAAAAATGCCGACCAGCTAACCAAATCAATCCAGGAACTTCATCCAAACTTCTGCGTGTTCCCTACATATCCCATTATCCTCCGTATGTCCCAATTAGCGAAGAAAGAAATAGAAGGGAAAAAAGCCAGCCGGAGTGACCCCATTCTGAAACTGATTACATGCTAATAATCCATATAACAAGCACAGCATTCAAGCTCACAAACCAAGAAGTGACAGACTTCTACGCCCAAAAATCCGGAAGTGTCATCCCCGGCGTGCCCGCCTTCGACAGTCGCCGTGTCGTCGACGGCCAGCGCAAAATCACATTCCTCAAGCCATTGCCTGTCTCCAGTGAGGGCCGCAAGTTTGAGCTCCGAAGCTCTGTTGTTGGCGTCTATGATAAGGGGAACGCCGGCTCGGTCGTAGAGACTGAGCAGCGGATTATCGATAAGGAGACAGGGGAGATTTATTCCAAGGCTGTTGGGAGTGGATTTTTTGTTGGGCAGGGCAATTGGGGTGGGCCGAAAGGTGAGTGATATGGGTTTTTTTGTTATTTATATATATATATATATACCGTTACTTTCTCTTTTTCTTCACATCCTGCAAAGGATGAAAGGGGTGGCTGATGGTATTGTCCGTCCAGGTCCCGCTTCGGTGAACTATCCCCCTCCCCAGGGAAAGAAGCCGGATGCTGTCTATGAGTACCAGACTGATGCGCAAACACCGCTGCTTTACCGGTAGGTTTCCATTAGCTCTTTTCTTTAAATATATATATATATATATATAGATATAGATATATCTCGGACAGCTCTTGTCCTGTAAATTATGGTGACTGAAAAAATCTTCCATCTACAGGTTGAACGGAGACTATAACCCTCTCCACGCAACGCCAGAACCAGGCCAGAAGATGGGCTTTGGCGGTGTCATTATCCACGGTCTCTTCAGCTGGAATATGGCTGCGCACGGAATCTTGAAGACTCTGGGTGGCAGCGATCCCAAGAATATCAAGGAGTTCCAGGCGCGATTTGCGTCTCCCGTGATCCCTGGTGTCAAGCTGATCACGGAGATATGGAGGACGGGAAAGACCGAAGGTGGATTTGAGGAGGTTGTGTTTGTGGTTAAGAATGGGAAGGGCAAGGTTGTATTGAGCAATGGCCGGGCGCTGGTTCATGTGGTTGGAGGGAAGAGTAGGCTGTAATTGCACGCGCTGTGTTTTGGAAAGGGAGTGGGAGGATTTGCCTGATTCCTAGAAACCTCCCGGCTTTAATTATATATTTACGTTGTTTATTTTAGCACAACTAATTAGATTACATATACTTTTTTTACCCTGGTTAAGTGCAATGGCAAATATAATATCCTGGGTTAATGCCATGTACCTTTACGGAGTTCCCCATGGTTGCTTAAAAGGATGAAAATTGGGTTAAACGCCGTTGGATCTCTCCCCAAACCAAAACAGATACATATCTAGTTTATGAGCTGTCTCAAGCTGTTTCTGATGATTTCCGGGGCCAGGACAAGACGAGGTGGAGCCTCTGGGCCTACCATAAAAATTAAATCCGGCCTCTGCCCGTCACCAAAGTGTCTCATCTGACAACAACCGCATATATTTTTAATCATATACCTTGTGTATTTAGTTCCAGTACAACAAAAAGGATCGCACCCTCAACAATAAGAATACATGCAAACTACTATTGCCCAAAATATGTCATCCGTAAATCCTTCTGCTTTAAGGGCGCTCAAAAGAGCAGCGTGTGCAGTCCATGAAAGGTGGGATGTCTTCTACCCACATCCACTCCTACAGACCCTCTCAGTAAATCAACTACATACTACATGTACATACAAACAGCGCAAATCAAACTAATGCGTTATGGAAGCACAGGACTGCAAGCAGCAGCGTTTTATCTCAAGCAAGGAGGGGCCGATTGGTAAGTCGGTTCCATCCATGGATATCAGCCATATATCCAAACGATAGATAGGAGGCGCCGGTGAGAGTTGTGGCGGTTAACCGTGGAAGCAGGTACTTGCATCACGGTCTATCAAAGGAGGTCATTCCTATGCTCCTAGCCTCTCTGGAAGAGCATATGGTGCTAAGGAATCTGCTGCGTTTTCATCACTCGCCGTAAATTATGTTCCAGCAACACCCTCCGCAGTTCGTGCTGCTCAGTTCGGGACCGTGAACAAGCGGGATTATGCCCTTGTATCTGTGGATCTTCCTGGAGGCAATACGGGCAAATGGTAAGCCTCTCATTGATATCCCTTTATCGGCAATGCTACATCCATCTGCATATTCGCTTTGTTGGGGTCTTCTAAGTTGATTGTTGTTGAATTGATCGTATTGATCTAGGCCGGGTTTGTGGTTGAGGTTTGTGTTTTCATATCACCGTATCAAAGTTCCTTACTTGTTTTACCTCTTGCTAACTGAGTCCTAGAGATAACTGCCAGTGCAGTAAATGTATTCATTCTGACACGAGACAGCGACTCGTTGATACATTTGCGGTAATCATACCTACTCATCATTGTGTCACTTTACGTTTCTCTTCAATTATCTGATTTTGCGGACCTTCAGATACCTGTCGATATTCGTCCATCAGCTGTGAGGAATCTAGAGAATCATTTAGAGATCGAATGTAAGTTAGCCGTGCCCATCCTCCCGGCTATGTCCTCTTATTCTTACCAATCATCAGGGGCAAATGATGGCCATGTTAGCACATACGGTTATAACTGGCTATCAGAACACCATCTTAACCAAGACCGCTCTGCACCTGAGACTGCGATATTTAGGTATTGAAAAACTGCCTCGATGTTGTTTTACAGGCTTAGTTTTGATTTTTAATGTCGTTGGCAGCTCTGAGAGACAAGCCATGGCCAATGACCCAAAGGCCTACCCAACTGTCCTGTACGATGAGGTGATGTCCTCCTCCGACGGAGTGAGGGTATGGACAGATAACATTGTTCGTCTAAGTGTTCCATATTTCAACGCAAGCAAGTAGGATCTACGCTTATATGCTAACAAATTTGCCTTGCAAGTATCGATGGGGATTTTCGTTTGTCAAGGGCTGTCCGGCAACCCCTGAAGCCACGGAGAAACTCTTGGAACGAATATCATTCATCAGACATACACATTACGGTGAGTTCTTAAGCGCAACAGCCTTAGACACACAGTACGATGTATGAAACTAAAACCGTGACAGGTGGATTCTGGGACTTCACATCTGATCTTTCCCTGAAAGACATGGCATATACAGCCGAGGGTCTCGGCGCGCACACGGACACCACATATTTTACAGATCCAGCAGGCCTTCAAATGTTCCATATGCTCTCCCACACCGACGGTTCTGGCGGAGAATCGCTTCTTGTCGATGGCTTCGAGGCTGCAAGGACCCTATATAAAGAGGACCAAGAAGCTTACAGGGTATTAACAGAACAGTGTATAAGCGGGCATGCTAGCGGCAACGAAGATGTCTGCATGCAACCAGCTCGACCGTTCCCAGTGCTCAACCACCATCCAGTTACAGGAGAGCTGTATCAGGTCCGATGGAATAATGAGGATAGAAGTCCTTTAGTTGACGCGTCGCCGGAGCAAATTAACAAATGGTATACCGCAGCCAGGAAATGGAATGAGATTATTATGCGGAAGGATATGGAGCGTTGGTTTCAGCTGGATCCAGGTTCCCCGATGAGTATGTCTATGGCAGCCATTACCAATTCCCATCGTAATAACCATTCCCCAGACAGTTTGTTGACAGATACGTAGTTTTCGACAACTGGAGAATGCTTCATGGTCGTTCTCCGTTTTCGGGAAAGAGGAGGATATGTGGCGGTTATAGTGAGTCCCCCATTTTCTATATTATTTCCCCCCCTTTTTTTCCCCTCGAGGAGACACTCTGGACAATTCCGACATCTAATATGGTATAAAAGTAAATCACGACGATTTCATGTCTCGATATATGCTGCTCAAGGATGGCCGGGAAAAGGTCTTGAATAGGATATAGTTGACGGCATTGTCCATGATAAAATTCCTTCATATGAGGCCCACCGTGTATATGTGATTTTGAGGAGTTTTTATTGAACATAGAGAAATATATAGACGGTTTATAAAGCCGGGAAGGCCTGTCCGTATTGCATAGGAAATAACACGTGATCTAGGCAAAGAGCGTACGTGCAAAAACAAAAGCCGTTAACTAGTCCCAGTCAGGAACAGCTTGACTACCTCATTATTCAAGCTCCGAACAGCATCCAACATCAACAGAACATTTACAGTCAAACACCAACCAATTCTGCCTCCCTCTATCTGCATCCGTGTTTCGTATACTATTCGCTATTATTTCTTAGTGACGTCAAGATACCCTACCCCGGACATACGCGATATTTCCCCATTTCCCACCGCCGAATCTAACATCTGTCAACCGCCACTATGTCGACTCTTGAGGATCTCGATGATCTGGAGCGTGAAGACAGAAACAAGAAGAAGGACCAGGACGATGAGAAGAAAACAAACAAGGACGGTGATACCGAAATGAATGATTCGGAGGCGGATAAGAAAGAAGAGGAGGACAGCCTAATAGACGAAGAGATCCTGCGATCAAGCACCAGAGATATCATCAACAGACGGAAACTGCTAGAGAACGATATGCGGATCATGAAGAGCGAGTTCCAGCGCTTGACCCATGAACAGCACACGATGCAGGAGAAGATAAAGGATAATTTGGATAAGATTGAGAATAACCGGTATGCTGCTTTGGTCGCCGCAAACGTCAGATTTCTACGCATGTAGACCAGAGCGCTCCCTATCTTATACCGTGACTAATATTTACATTTCCCTCCCTTCTTTCCCAGACAACTGCCATATCTCGTAGGCAATGTGGTTGAGCTCCTCGATCTTGATGTTGAAAAGGAAGCTGCCGAAGAAGGTGCCAATATCGATCTAGACGCCACTCGAGTTGGCAAATCGGCTGTCATCAAAACATCAACCCGTCAAACAATCTTCCTGCCTCTCATCGGTCTTGTCGATCATGAAAAACTTAAACCAGGCGACCTTATTGGTGTTAATAAGGATTCATACCTTGTTTTGGACACTCTACCGGCCGAATATGATAGCCGAGTCAAGGCGATGGAGGTTGATGAGAAGCCAACGGAGAAGTACACAGATGTGGGCGGGTTGGATAAGCAAATCGAAGAGCTTGTTGAGGCAGTGGTATGGCCAATGAAGGAAGCTGAGCGGTTCAAGAAGATCGGTATTAAAGCACCGAAAGGTTCGTTGATTCCTTACCATTTTGACACGGCCCAATGCCTTCAGCACACACACTTCTAACTACTTCATTCTATGTCACAGGAGCTCTCATGTACGGGCCCCCTGGTACTGGTAAAACTCTTCTTGCCCGCGCCTGCGCCGCCCAAACAAACGCCACATTCCTCAAACTTGCCGGGCCCCAACTAGTGCAGATGTTCATCGGAGATGGCGCAAAACTCGTCCGTGACTGTTTCGCCCTCGCCAAGGAAAAGGCCCCATCGATCATCTTCATCGACGAACTTGATGCCGTAGGCACAAAGCGTTTCGATTCCGAAAAATCCGGTGACCGGGAGGTACAGCGTACCATGCTTGAACTCCTCAACCAGCTAGACGGTTTCGCTTCCGACGACCGCGTCAAAGTGCTTGCTGCTACAAATCGGGTTGACGTGCTCGATCCGGCCCTTTTGCGTTCCGGCCGTCTAGATCGTAAGATTGAGTTCCCTCTCCCTAACGAAGAAGCACGTGCTCAGATCCTGCGAATCCACTCGCGGAAGATGGCTGTCGATGATGGTGTCAACTGGGCTGAACTTGCCCGGAGTACCGATGAGTTTGGTGGTGCGCAGTTGAAGGCTGTGTGTGTGGAGGCTGGAATGATTGCGTTGCGTAAGGGTATGAATAAAGTTGGCCATGAGCATTATGTCGATGCGATTGCGGAGGTGATGGCGAAGAAGAAGGATACCAGTGCAGGCATTTATGTTTAATATATTTTTCCTTTGCTCTTTCGTATATTCCCTCTCTGGTGATCAGTTAAAGTTGTTTCATGTATACGAATAGCAGAATAACTACAGCATTGAAGCCAGTGGTTACATTAAAAATTATTGAATCAGTCTCGATGCTGCTTTAATTTTATCTATTCCATCGAGTCTTGTTCATGTGTGCTGTACTTTCACTTGGCTAAGGGATAAGCGCTGGACGAATAATGTGAAAAAAAAAAAAAAAAAAAAAATCATGGTCAGTTAGCGGAAGGCGGCAAGATCATATCTCGCCTATATCAATTTACACAAACTCTTCCTAGCAAGATACTGATCAAATTATCTACTATTGTTTTAAGGTGTAGTTAAACCAAAAACTTTCCCATATTTCCCAAAAACGAAGATGATGTCGGTAAATGAATATTATATAAATCCACTGGTGAAAAGATAGGTCCGGCTTGGTTCTGAAGAAAGGAAGAAATCGAAATCGAAAGGGTAAACGATGTGATGGTAGGAAAACAAAGATGTGGGTATAGTGCTGCCAGGCAAGGAAAGTAAACCGGCAATGGAATGGAGTCAGGAGGCTCGAAGCTATTCTAGAAGAGAGCCCCTTTTGGAGAAGGAGGCCCTTCGACGAACAGCTCAGAAAAAAAGCGTAGGTTAATCTGAAAATAGAGGAGATGCAGGACGAAGAGACGGTGAAATAAGAATGAAACGAAATATTAAATATACACAGTAGAATAATAATAAACCCCAAGTATGTATCAAAATTAAGAAGAAAAAAATAAGATCTCAAAAGAATTAAAAGATGGAGTGCTCTTTACTTCAAAACAGCTGCTCCAACCTCACAAAATCTGCTGAGATGGTGTTGACCGGTCGCTCCCGTTCAACGTGAAACCACCAGTCCTTCCCCACTTTATGTCCCCGATTCCAGGATCCGTCGCACGTCTCCTTGGTAGTCCAGGATGGCGGTCCTCCAGCGCCAGTGATACCTTGGGAACTTCCTATCAGCGTCGTCGGAGACATAGGTGATGTGGACCGTGGAGACAGCGGCCGACTTGACTTATGATTCAAATGGTTGTTCCCGCTACCGCCTCCAGAAGGCCAGGAACCGAATAGAGACGTGCCTGGTGGAGAAGGAGTAGCAGAGGAGGCATAGTTAATGGTTGAACTGGTGTCTGTTCTGCCAGTGAGCGGTGGCAACAACGGCGATAATGAAGCGAAGTATGCTAGTGTTTGATTTGCGGAAAGGAAATGGCGCCAACTTATTAGGCCTCCGTCTGCATCTGAGGTGGGGATATCGGGCGTGAGGATAAAGCGGGGAGGTGCCTTGGCTGTTGTTGAAGTGGGCGATGTCCAGATTCTCCCCATGCATAATGGAAGTGTGAACTCATGCACCGTTATCCCGTGCGATTCTTCCCCAGGTGGAGCAAGCTCTTGCTTTTTCAACGGACCGAGAATGTTGTATCTATCGTCCACTCCAAGCTCAGGGGTAGGATCGGATGATATGGGTTGGGATGGAAGCTTGAATCCTCCCGAGTGATCACTAACCACGATCTTGATACCCGTTTCATTATCTTTAGACGACTTGTCGATGAGAGTTTGGCCGCGTATGCGAGCTGAACTCAGGTTGTTTCCACCGGGCAGCGCTAATGGTCGCCTCGTAATCGATCCATGCGAGCTGCGCGGGAGGGAATATCGGTCTGCAGGAACCATGATCTGACCATTCCGCGTAGGCCGACAAACAGACTGTATTGCGCCCAGTGGGTCCACATCAAAGGGAGCGCGAAGGGATTCAAGATGCGGAAATCCCGAACTCAAGATACTCTGTGCGAGATGTGAGTTGGCTGTATTGAATTTACTTAGCGATGACACAGGGGGGAAAGAATGAAAATCGCTTAGTGAAATGTTCAAGTCTGGACATGCCACATCCCAATGGAGATGTTTCAGAGCTGGTGAAGCCAGTAGCGGCTGGAATACCACCCCGCCATCGGGCAGTGTTGGTACGGTCTTGGTCTGGACAATACTGAACCGTTCCAGTTTCCTCAAAGACGCAAGGATCTGAGAAATAATAAGGAGAGAGCTAATATTCTGTTCTATTAGGGTTAAGGATTCGAGGGTTCGGGCCTCTGGGCGCCTAGTATAATGTGCTAGTCCGTTTTCCGTCAGACCTGGAAGATTTTCAAGGCGGAGAGATATTAAGGGAGGCAAAAATAACAGTGTACGATCTGTAAAGTCATTTGCATGAAAACCCGTAATTATTAAGTGGCGTAGAGACGGCAAGAAGTTGAACATCCGCAGGAACACACCGTGTTCTAGTATTCCGCTAGAATTCAGAGAATGTAACATAAGTGTCTCGAGATGCGACCATGTGGTGTGGTGGTTGAGGAACTGAAAAACTTGGCCACTATCCAAAAGTTCTGAAGTTTGTCCTTTTGACAGCTCACGGACTACAGAATTTTCTCCGATGATCCAGGCGTGTTCCTTGAGCTTCTTCCGCGTTGAAAGCGCATGCGTCAAACGATCGAACTCATGGTTATATGGTAGCGACAGGCCTAATAGGCGCTCCAAGTTTGGACACGCCATCACGACCGATGCAACGAGGTCTCGGTATTCTTGTACCGTAAAGTTTTGTTTTCCATGCCCTCCTGTTGCCGTCTCTAAATCCGGTATTCTGATCTCGATCACTACATTTGCCAGCAATTTTCTTTCTCTAAGCGTTCGTCGCAGCAACCTCAATCTGCTTCCTCTCTTCCATCTGTATTTTTTGAGTTGGGCCGGCGAGTCGTTACCTTGGATATAGATTTTGTTGTATCTAATATGTTTAGCAATTGATTGATCTACCAAGAACAGAGCCAACTTACAGCTTTCCCCTCACAGCCTTTTCCCATGCTCTGCTGGTTAGGGACAAAGAATATAAATCTCTCATATAGCATGTTACGCAGCCTCCAGAGTTAGGAGCTGCGTGAGAATAGTGAAGGTGTGAAAGAATGCAGTCAAAGACCTCCTGTGGTAACGGCTTTGAGAAAGGTAACTGTTCCTTCGGATTCGATTGCACTGACTTGAGCGAGCGGAAAGTGAAGCTAACAGTAGACGCAGCAGTAGGAGAGTAGATTTCAGGAGTACTCGCATTGGAGTAATTGCCGTTAAGCGCATGTGGAATCGAGAACTCTCTGGGAGAAGGGCTCCTAGGCTGTACGGGAATGGGATAAGCAGGCGAGGCTCGACGGCTAGGAACCTCACCTCGATATGGATCCCTATTGTATGCCATAACCCCCGGAATCTGATGCTGTCCTCGCAACCGCGTTCATTGCACTTTACTTAACACCACAAAGAGGGGAATAAAGCGAACATAACAAAAAATATGACCCAGCAAATGACCAGAGCAAACGGTTATTTTATTATCACAGAATCAAATGAGGGAGGAGGAATGAGAAAAGAAGAAGCCAAGACTGCTAAGAAGAAAGAAGAGCTACCAATGGGCGATAATAGCGTGAAAGCATGAAAAGAGCAACGGACTTAGTTTGTTTTTTTGTCGCAAACGACGAACCTGACAAGTCCTGACGATCGACTCCACAATAAGGGTGATCCTTTGAGCGATATCTCATCGCAATGGCCATATTTGTCCATTAAAGGAGCAAAGCCGAAAGAAGAGGAATTAATTTTATTCCCTTCAAGAAACAATTGGGCAAAAATTGAACAGATACCAGTACCAAGGAAGCATCAATCAGCGACGATGGGTCGGTTTCTGGAAACCGGCGGCTCTTGCATCGATTCATGGTGGAGACCAAGTCCTTTGGGTAAACCTGTGATAGGCTCACTACGGGGCGGCTAAAAATATATAGCATTCTATGGCTATAGTCAAGTTGCGGGGTTAAAAAAGCCATCAACCACTGGGAGATCGAGGTTGAAAAAAGGGGTACGAAAGAGCGGTAGTTAGGGCACAGACCGCACGGATTTAACTCGCAGTATGATGCCGGCAACTGGTCACAGCATTAGCGGCAGGACAGCTTCATCAAGGTGTCTGACGGTTTTGATTTGTGAGGAGTTACTTCTCCTCCTTTGTCTGCTCTGCTTTTACATAGAGTCACAGCCCTGGAAGATACAAGACTGCAATTAACAAGAAATCAACAACGTCGAGGGTGGGCAAAAGATTAAAGTGGCGTTGGAATCCCCCTTTTATTACTCGGAGCTAAATGGATGGCACGAAGCTCGAGTCCCGTGATCTTGAGCTAGGCACTAGTTATTAGCACATATTGATTTGGTATCTAACATCCCTCCCCATTTTTCTCCGCTTTTCTCACTGTATCTGGTATATATGAGTGACTCAGTCAACTGAGCCACTCAATTATTCAGGTTATTTTTGGGGGGGGGGGGGGGGGGGCGCTGGTTACAGGAGCCCATAATCCACATCATTGATACCTAACTTTGATGATATTGGCGTTTTTTTTATGGAGCATAAAAGAGGAGGATGTTGGACCCTAAAGTTCCAAGGGCTGTACCTGATCGAACAAGAACAATATTCGGGGATCAGCGTGAGTGGTTTCCTTGTAGCACCGAAACCGAGCTCAGGCAAATAGCTTATGTTGATCGAGATATCCAGGTATAAGTCAACCCCGGAAGTTCTACCGGACTGTGTGGGATATTGCATTTGATAGACATTGGGATACCAAATAGGTTGAACTATCATTGAATCATCGATGCCCCATGCACAAGTACTTATGATGCGGCGCTACTTCTACACCTGAACATCAATCATCCAGCACTCGTCGATCCTCATGCTGCAGGTATGAACTTGACCCAATCTGGTTTTACAGCGCGAAAACGGGATGCACCGAAAGGCCATCATCGAGCCATGCCCGGTACGCTGCTGTGTTGTTCAAAACCTGCGATACACGGAAACGACGCGGTACTCATTTTATAAGGTCGGGAAAGGCTTGACAACATTATATTTCTATTCTTCGCTGTGGACTGTGGCATCTCCTTCAATCAATCGGGTTTGCTTATCACGCTATGATTGCCTCCACTCCACCCCTTGCCACCGAAAACCATCTTGAATGGAACACTACTCGGCCTGTAATGCACGCAGAAGAACAGTATTTTTGATGACCATCATTCGGTCCTTATCAACCTTCATCAGATGTTCAAGCAAAGCATACACGCCATGCCAGCAGGTCGGCGAAATGCTCCAGTCCCAAAGGGTGACTGAACTACTGGCAATAGCTGTGGGCAATCCTCGAATCCGCAATAAGCACTGAATATTTTCATTCTCTTCTCTGTCATGTTATATAGCGCAGGGGTACCCTGTCTTTGGGGATCCCACTTTTACGCAGCTTTTTAAATGATATCCAAGTTCCCTCGTTTAAAACTTTAGATTTTATAACATTAGAAATTTAGTCCCAAAACGTCTAGCGGTCCTGTAGTGTAGTGGTTATCACAGTGGATTTTGATTTAAGTTCGTCAACTTCCATTAACCCCGGTTCGAATCCGGGCCGGACCTCTAATTTTTCATTCTTTTCATTGAATTGCTTTCTAATTAGTGTCACAAGTTTCTCCAACAATAGGACTGTCTCCGTTTGGAGGCACAGAATGTAATTTTTTCACGATATAGGACAAAAGTCAAGCATGACACGCATCCTGGCCGGGGAATTCTGTGTACAAAGTGATGATACAATAAGCTAAAGAAATACTTGAAAGCTTAAATGAGAAATCTCGTGCTAGCTGCGCACCCCTTATCCCCAAAATTTGATGTCCCGACTCCCTCTTGCGGTCGCCCGCATACAAGTTACCGGATACCCCGGTGTTGCAGCACTACGAACAGCATCGCAGTACTTCCCCGCGATTGGGAGTAATTATGGAGATATCTATTTCAAGCAAGGAACATGAATTGCTAGAAGATTTAGAAAATTGGAGACCAGCCAGCTGTCTTAAGATATGCACAATTATGTGTAGTGCATTTTATTAAACAAAAGTTTACCTTCCATTTCTTAAGTATGCCGTTCCATTTCATGTCTTCTATCGTATTAAGGCTGCCATTAACTGTGAGCTTTGAAGATGTAAGTGGGTTCATGAATTACGTATCCATCTCAGCTTAATATTACTGTGATATCTCCTTCCTCAAAACTGTTATCATTTGCTAGAAGCATTAGAAGCTTCACGTTGAAGCATGCTAGCCTTTAATCCATCTGAAAAGGGAAAAGTCAAAATGAATTGAGAGAGAATAAAGAAATAATTTGATAATATTTTGTCACTCCTAAAATACAAAATATCAGCCACAATCACTTCGAGTGGATTATGAAAATGGGAAAAAGAGGTTTCCCAGACATATTGTAGAGGAGCAAAAACAGAAATGCATCTGTCTCTCTTTGAAACGGATCAATAGGGGACCGGGGGCAAAGGGCAAAAGTAACAAATTCAAAGGTAGACGGAATACGGAAAGCGGAAAGTGATATCATTTAATAACTATATGAAAAGAAAATAGGGGAGAAAAATCAGGCAAAACAAAGCTTCATTCAATGAGGAAAAATGAAGGGAAATATCAAATTTCCACGCCCCCTCTTTTTTTGAAGATTCTCCCCACAGTTAATCGAATGCAACGCAATGCAAGTACTGAAAATAAGTGGGAAAAAAGTGTTCTCGAAAGCACATATATAAAGTTATAATAGAAACACGGCACCTCAGGCTGGGACTGCGATTAAAACGGTGTCTAAATCAGGTAAGGAAAGCATTGACGAGGCATACAGGCATCATTAAGCATTTTGGATATGTGAAGACGGGTACAAAAAAAGAAACTTTCTTTGCTTTGCGACTCATAGAATGATTTGATTGGCAACACCTCCGGAGGGTTCGAAAAAAATCATATAACCCCACATGCATTCATGAAAATGATGAAGCATTTATTAATAAAGAAAGGGGCGAAAGAAAAGTAAATAAGAAAATAGTTATAAAAAGGGAAGGTAAATATTCGTTCTGATCATGTACAGACAAGAAGTCATTATGTGCAACACAAGAATCGGATGTCCCATAGTTTGTCTTTGTTTCTTTCATTCTTCTTGGAGGGCTATTTAGGTAGGTAGAGTATGAGGCAGTCACTGCATATCGAAGTGGTAGTCTTCATCACCAAAAATACCAGCACCTTCAGTGGGTTCGCTCGTTTTCACAATGCCGCTCATACGATGTTCTGCCCTTCCACTACCTATGGGACGGTGTGATTGTTTTACCCAGGTATCATCTGGCCTGTAACTTCCCTCCATATGAACATCCTTCATATGTTGGTCCATAGAGCTTTCATTGACAAATGTAAATCCTCGGAAATTGGCCTGCATTCCCGGAGATATGGGAGTTGATGCTGGCATGGCGCCAGCTGCAAGTGCAGCGGCGCGTGCATTTAGGGAGGTCGCATGATCCAGCGCAGTTGTAAACTCCGGATCGAAGTAGGAGGTATCCATCTCTGATTTCAATTTCGGTTTAAACGGAGGGGCCACGTTCTTCTTGCCTAAGGCCTCCCAATCAACGTCGTGGAAAAAGGGGTGGGCCATAAGTTCTCTGGCATCATCAGAAGCTCCAAGTCTATGCCTCGGGTTTCGGTTAAGGAGGCCCTTGACAAAATTGCGTCCCTCAGAACTGAGAGCATCACGGGGAAATCTCACTTTCCCGAAGGCGATGTTCTTATACATTTGCTGCGTATCATCTGCGTAGAACGGACTCCATCCGCAGCACATTTCGAAAACCAGTACACCCAATGACCAAAAGTCCACCATTTTTGTGTAACCTTGTTCGTCAAGGAGAACTTCTGGGGCAAGATACTCTGTTGTGCCACAAAACGTGTTTGTCGTTTGGTTTTTGGTCAAGTTTGCCTTGGATAGACCGAAATCGCAGAGCGCAATGTGACCATTTGCATCAAGTAGGATGTTTTCTGGCTTGAGGTCTCGATACACTATGTCATGTTCGTGTAGATGCTGCAAAGCTAGTATCAACTCAGCGATGTAAAACTTCGCTCTAGCTTCATGAAATCTCCCTTCTTTTTGCAGATGCCAGAACAGCTCACCTCCAGACATGTAGTCTGTGACAAGGTACAAATCTGTGGGTGTTTGAAAAGAAAATTTGAGGCCAACTATGAAAGGAGAATTCGTCATAGCAGTCCGGACCAGGATGTTCCTTTCGCCAAGTGTATGGGCTACTTCTTTTTTCTGAATGATCACCTTTTTGGAAAGGACCTTCATCGCGTAGATTCTCTGGGTGTCCTTTTTTCTCACTTGATAGACTTGCCCAAACGTTCCCTTCCCTATGAGTTTAAGGATTTGGAAATCATTTGGTCCAAACTGCTTCTTGTCTGTTTTCTGAAAGCTCATTTCTAAATGTATCTCTCCCGACACATAGCCGTCACCGCGATCACGAACCACAAGAGGATACCATCCTGCTATTAATTTGTTATCTTCCTTAAAACTGACACGCAACTTTACGTGACCCAAGAACGCTTCGTGGTTCGATCGATCGTAAACCGAAACTTCAATTTCAGATTCATCCCCAAGGACATCACTAAAAGCAAGTCAGTTAAGTAAGGACGCGCATAGGCGTTGCCAATAATTAAAGGATAATGGGTAAAAAAGAAAAGAAGCCAAACAAACGCACAAAACGGCTTCATGATTCCACAAAGGATCCGTAACCTCACTTAGCCCCTTATGGTCATGCCTATCCAACAAGCTGTTGTTACTACTTTGTCGACTTTTCATTGGGATAGCCATGGGGCGACCTGAATCACTGTTGGATCGTTGGATCGGTACAGATGATAGTGTCTCATTTGTTCCATTCTCGGGCTCGAATTCGATAGGCTCCTCAGTTTGAGCACCGTTTGAAATGTATTCATTCAACTCAAAGACGCAGACAACGTAAGGATCAGAGCTCGGGCGCAATCCCCTTCCCTCAGATATTTTGACGGATAATTTCCCCTTGAGTGAGCCTACTGGAATTCCTTGGTTCTCTGATAAGGCGGTAGAGTGAGAAGAAGACGGTTTAGGGGTTTGCAGGCTTGATCTTGGCGGTTCAGGATGGCTATGAGCAGGAGAACGGGCCACTACGTCCGCTTGAGGAATTTCATTCGATGACATTGCTCGTGGGGTGAGCGGGGGTGTATTCTTTCGTAGTTGATTGGCAGTCAGCTTCGCCAGCTCTTCAGACGAATTGGAAAGCGGGCAAGATTGATTAGAAGGAGATAAGGTTGGGGAAGTAGGGAGACATGGATTAGCAAAGTGAGATGCAAGGACAGGATCGTGTGAGATGCTGCAAGGAACAGGATCTGATGTGTGCCGTCCAATCTTTAAAGAATTCTGCGACAGCAGGTTCTTTATTGCGCGGCAGATAGAACCCATTCCTCTCTCAGTAGGCGCGCCATTCTCAGCTTCTTCTGGTTCCTTTTGTAGAATGGAACAAGAAGCAGAGAGGGGAGGGTTAGGTAACGAGCTGATGTTCGAAAACGCATCCTCCTCTGATGGCTTCTCAGGTTGAGATGGGGAGGGCTGATCTCGTTCCAGCATGACAATGGACTCAGATAATGAGTCAGTGTCAGAGGAAGCCTCGGCCTCTATTTCAACCTGAGGATGTGCAAGAGAATCGTATTCTTTAATAGAATCGAAACCACGAACCTGAAAATAGCTGGGTATTATACTTGGGAGACGTTTATCGGTGAATTCTGGATTTGGTGTCGTGGAGATCCCATTTGGTGGGGTTGTAGAACCTATTCCGTCACCATTTTCTCTGTTGAATGTTAGCTTTGAAAACTCCCGATGTACCCGGCGTATGATGGGAAGAGAAAAAGGGGTGATGATGTTTTCATGCACCAACAACCAAACGGTAGTTGCGATACGAAGAGGAACCATTTCCCTTCCCAAAGAAAACAAACACCCATGAATATCCAAGGCTCGGTTCCCCTAACTTGACCGCTCATCGCCATTGCCACACAGTCCGCGGGTTTGTGTTAAAAAAAAAAAGAAGAAAAAGAAAAAGAAAAAGAAAAACAGAAAAAAAATCAATCAAGAATGGCAAACTCACAGCATTACTTCTCGCAGCAAATCCGCATGAATCCGTTGACCCGCCATCTTCCATCTAAAAGAGGCTGACACTCCTCTTAAACGCTGCCAGCTATCAGCTATAGCTGGAGAACCTCAAAACAAAGAAGTGTAAGCAGAATGGATGGTTGAGTCAATTGCAAGGTCGAAAGAGAACGTAACTCGAACTTCCTGGGTGCGATGTAGGGAGGAATAGTCTATACAATGTAGAAGAAAGATTTTGACTGAGGTCGAAAATGTTAACTAAAAGGTTAAATGATATTTAAATAAAACGCTAAAAGCCAGAAAGTAAATTGGCTGTATATAACGTAAAACACTAAAAATCGATGGACCATCTTTGAATTTTCAAAATAATAATAAATCCTAAAAAAAAAAAAAAAAAAAAAAAAAAAAGGGAGAAAAAGAACCGGGGGAGGAGGGGGGAGGGTGGAAGAGAAAGAGAGGAGAAAAACACGAAAAAAAAAAAAGAAAAGAAAAGAAAAGGAAAAGGAAAAAATCGACTTGTCCGGGAAGCTAGCAAAGTTTGCGGGACAGATTCGGGCCAGGAAATGTTGCAAGGGATTAGGGATGAGGATGGTGGGGACCGGCAAGCGGTGAGTTTTGGGTTGACTTACAGGCTAGATACGGAGCACGGAGGAGCAGTCAACTTTAGCTGGTAATGTATCAGTTAACTAAATAATAATAGATCCTGTGCAGCGCTGAGCGCGGAGACTGAAAAACACGGCGAAAAGGATGGCTGGACCAGCGCAAGGCAGGGCAGACTGGGCAGAGTGTAGGTAGAGGAGGAGAAACCTTGGAACTGCGTTTGTAAAGAGAGTGGAAGATAATAGAGCAGTGTTGGCGTTAGGCAGCTGTTAGGCACTTTGTAGGAAACCAGTGAGGGAGCGACGAGAGGATAGAGAGAGCAGAGAGCTCTCTAAGAGAGGTGTATGTTTGTCTGTATGTACACACATGCACTGTTCCTCCGGAGAAGAGGAGTATTATCACATCATACCCAGACGTAGGAGTAATAGACGGGGATCATCAGCAGTTTCAGTGAGGGTACATGCAAGGCAAAGAAGATGAGGAAATTGAGGTGGCAGGAGGAGAGAGCCGGCTCGGGAGTCGACATAAAAAAGAAGAGAAGAGGCTGCTGCTGATATCATAAGGAGAGGAGAATATAGATGAAGAGCAATCGGGATAGTCACAGATCTCCAACAGCTAAAAATAGGGGGAGGCGAAGAAAACCAGCCTCCGCCCAACTTGTGAGTTATAAATTATGATTACCTACAAATCAAATTGTCCCTCTCTTCCTCTCCCCCAACTCAACTCTTTCTGGTTTAACGAATCAACCAGTTCGTTAACTGTAGGCCTATTAGGTAACTGATCAAATTAGTTAACTACCAATCTAACATGCAGAGAGTCGGACCCTTTCAAGAAATACCGAAAAGAGTGCATTTCCGACCTCCGAATCACACAGTTGGGGAAACCCTTCAATCCCGTCAATTGCTGAGAGGAGGAGGGGTTGCAACTTGCGAGGCAGCTAGGTAACTAACTCATCACTCTTATTCGTAAAGTTAGTTACCCTGCTTGGGCGATTAGTTACCAGAACCATGCCTAAGCGGGCCAAACAGATACAACAACAGCCAGCAACAAGCTTCCGATTCCTGCCAGGCTCTTTTGGCTGTTTTACTGGTCGATCCACTTCATGACGCCCTGCCACCTGCTGCCAGTATCTTCGGTCCACTGGATGGATTGTGTTAAACTGCCCGTGGAGAAATATCTAGAGAGTTAACCTGTTAACTACCTACTGATATACAGCTGTTACTGTACTTTACATTCATGGATACTTGAATAGTGATCAGCCCCACTGAACAGCTTGAGAGAGGGAGAGAGTTTAACGAAGTTTCCAAGCTGCTGAAAAGAGTGCTCTGATATTGCGCCTTTTCGCGCCCATTATTTTCGCCTGGGCCAGGTCACAATCCACTCACTACTCAATATCTAGTCTGCAACGGAGCTGAACTGCTCAATATCTAGTCTGTAACGGAGCTGTGTGCTTGTCTGCTATTTTATCCCATCACCTTCAGAGAAACAGCGCGGTTCTGCATCCGAAATCTCCACCCCGCCACTACGGGGTAACATCACTCAGCTTCAGCCGCCTTGCTTTTCTCTGACAGATCTGTTGAAAAAACAACGCCACAGGCGGCCCCAAACAGCCACCAACAATAGGTCATGTTGTCATCGTCGATTGGGGGGCCCCTTTGAACAGAGTACAGGATTTCAGATGGAACTTCTTGTGAATCCTTGTACGGGATGATTCCCCCGAACCATTTACCGGCATCCAAACACTTTCAACCATTGCATCGGGAATAACTTCCATACAACCGATTTGCCACACGCAGCTGTTCTCTAGTTTTGAAGAACTCCACGAGAATCATTGGATGACATATTTCTCCATAGTTACATTTGACCAGAACATCAAATACGCATTTGAGCTGTTATTATTATTTAAAAAAAAAAAAAAAAAAAAAAAAAAAAAAAAAAGAATAAATAAATAAATAAATAAAATAAAATAAAAATAAAAAGAAAAATTTAAAGCATGGCTAATTCTCCATGAACCGGGATTTCAGGCACGTTCTTGGCTTGCCTGAGGAGGATTTTTTTCACAAATTTTCATGAACCCAGCATGACTTGATAGCACGAATAACTAATTGGGCCAAGGTGCCTTGATATTGTTTCCACGACGAATTGGAAATCCGTGCCTCAGTTCTATGTCGAATGATAGAACCTCAGGCCTTTCTTTTCTATAGATAATGGCCGATGGGTGAGTGGAAAGCAAGGGATCGAATTGAACTAAATCAACAGCCAGGGGTAACTAAAGCCGGTGGCAAAACAGATGGATATCAAGAAGCTGGGCGGGGTGCATTCTATTTACCACAAGGTCCCGAATAAGGAGGGGTGACAATAAAGTTATACTGCCACTTACCAAATGTCGCTGAACAAACAGCTATTCGTTTAGACTATTCATAGATATACTTTGACTATACTTATCTCTCCTCTTCTCCATTAGGCAGGCAAACCCTTAGCAGCCTGCGCTTTAAGATGGTGGTTATTTTAATATGTTGCTGCGAGGTAAACTCGATCTAGGCTGGCCGCAAAACTCAATTCTTTATTACACAAAACATTCAGCCGGCGAGCTGCCTGTCTTGACTAACCACCCTGTTAACTAGTTAGTTAACTGGAAGCCTGAGTAATAGCTTGTGTCTTGTTGGTGTTGGGTCCCTGTATGTATATGCATATAGTGTCCAATGGCTTGTGTTTCCCCCGTGTCATCGCTCTGCGTTCAAATTATCGAGACTACCGCACCACAGTATATATACCCCAGCTGATATCCCCGTTGGCTCAGAAGAAATCCGTATTCTCTTCTTTCAACCCATCAAAGCACATAATCCAACGCCATTGTACCATTCCTTTGTAACCCCACCTCGACAAAATCGCAATCTATCCACAAGCAATTATGGCTGCTGAGCCTGAGTCTCTCCCTCTGAAGCTTCCAGGCTTCGGATTCAATTTAACCGACGCGCAGTCACTGAGGGCAACCCGTGCCAGAGACTATGTTACCAATACACTGATAGATAGACCAAAATATTCATTTGGGTCTCAAGCTGCCGGCTTGTTTCCCTCCCTCTTGGACGACACTGACCCCGACGATAATTTTAAGTATTATACTCTTAAGATAGTAGTCATCAATTAATTGCGCTCTTAGGTTACACAAAGGCTGATGTTTTCTCACATGTAAAAAGGCAACGTTTAACCCCCGTGCGAGAGTTCACCATGCTTCGGATTATGAATAGCATAACTGACAAACCGGGCTGGGACACAAAAGTGCCTATACCCTTTCCTTCCAGCACTCCGCACCAGCTTTAATTACCCCCTTTATTGCATACTCTCTGAGCGGCAGAAATAATAAAACACCCCATATGTTTATTGAATCTGATTCATCATTGACGATTTTACTATCACTTATTTTAACTCTTGCAATTAGATATTTTGGGAAAACATCACGAAGAAATGGAAGGAGGAGTCGATTGCGCATCAAAACATGGACGTGACTGGGCCCATGATGGATTGGGTTATCAAGGAACTGCAGTTCAAAACAACAGGATTCAAGAAAAGCGGAAATGTGCTGGTTTACGACGCGGGCGTTGTGAAATCGGACACCGCAATTTCAGAGTCCCTCAAAAACGCACTCAAAGCTGCTGCTTCCAGCCTTGAAAATGTTCCAGAGAACAGGAAGGATTACCATCCCGGTTCAGATAACCTTGTCCTGGATCTGGTGCATCCCTCCTTGTTTCCAGTTGTTTATGGCCGGACAAGGGTTGTCAAAGGTGCCGTTTTAAGTGTCCTTGAAGGAATCTCCGCGGCCGGACGTGGGGAAGTGCTTCCAATCCCACCCACTGGTGAGGATAGTGCAGCAACATCCCTTCCTAGAAATGGTTCCATGCACAATCCATATAGCAACAAGTTCCAGTGGCTTCCTTGCGATGTGGAATTCACGGCAGATTCAGCATCAACTGAAGACAAAGCCCTAAATAACAATGATCAAAATCACAAGTGCAAGATCACCAGTTACATAAACAATCTACACCCAAATGACCATTGGGACTTATATGATGTGATCGAAAAAGTTATCGAACAAGCAGTTCCATTGTGGAACAGAACCCTAACCCCCTCGAGAATTCGGGACCCCTACATACGAATACCATATGATTGCGGCGAAGAGGAACTTGACGAGGAAGCCATGAAAACTGATCCAAAGCCCGAGAAAGAATCTGACGAAGACGAGGATGATTATGAGGAACGTGTATCTGAGTGGGAAGTTCGGATTCAGAAAACTGTCCTCCCAGAACCTGCTGACACATTCTCCCCACCAAGCGAAGAAATACTCGTTGACTTGCAACGCGACTTTGGAAGTACGGGGCTTCAGGTTATCGTGAAGCTTGCAAACATCCATCTCACTCCAGAAAAACCTAGGTATAATGGGGGTACATGGCACGTAGAGGGCCAATTGGTATGCATCATCTCCTCAGAACTATCATACGAAGCGCCTCCGCTGCAGGTTCGCTTTTCGTTTTGATCAATAGAGACGCTAACGAAGTCCAATTCCCAGAATGAACACATATGCGCTACGGCGTTATATTACTACGACAGCGCGAACATCTCTGAAAGCCGTCTTGGCTTCCGCCAATTTTCCGATCCGGAAGAAGCCAACGAGATATCATACGAACAAGATCATCACCAATGGCTAACGGATGTGTTCGGGTGCACAAACAACGGCCCAGCACTGCAGGACGTTGGGGACGTAGTATGCAAAGAAGGCCGGCTGATAACCTTCCCAAACGTCCTCCAGCACCGCGTTTCACCCTTCAAGCTTGAAGACCCTTCCAAACCCGGCCATAGGAAAATCCTCGCGCTGTTCTTGGTCGACCCCCACATCCACATCATCTCCTCGGCTCATGTTCCATGCCAGAGGCGCGATTGGTGGGGTGAACAAGTACCCTGGCAGCATATCACGGGCAAACTGCCACCCGAGTTAGCCAATGAGGTTGTGTCTCATATCGGTGATTTTCCAATATCGATGAGGGATGCTAAGGAGTTGCAGTTAGAGCTTATGGAGGAGAGGAAGGCGATTGTTGTGGAGCAGACTAGGGCGATGGATATTGAGTTTTCGTTGTGCGAGCATTAGGGATGTATCGGTTTTAGGAAAGGGAGTCTGAAATCGGCCAGGTCATGAAGGGGAGGAGAGCGAAGGTTAGCAGGGTTAGCAGGGAAGTTTGTCAGTGCAAATCTGAAACTGAAATTTCCTTCCATTTCACGAATTCTGAATGTGATTCCTTGATCTCTTTCTTAATAAGAATATACCAAGAATCATTACAGGTTACAGTTTGAAATGGCGGAAATGGCGGAAATGTACATGTAGTAAACAGACAGATTGGCAAGCTTGGTTAATTGCAGAGTTTGCCACGCTATGAGAAACGACTATGGTGTGAAGATGAGTCACGTGATTTGGTTGTCCGACAACGAAAGGGGTATTTTCATAAAGATGATCCTCCAACTAAAGGTAGGATTTGTATCAGTAGATTGCAGATTATCAAAACCGGAATCCTAATCCATCACAAGCACTTTTGCAGCTGCTCTGACTATTGACTCAGTTTGATTGTCATGACTGTATCCCTACTCTACTCCGTACTCCGACAAGCTGTCAGGTCCAGAGTAACCAGAAGGGGCATGAAGAACACCTGCAGAGTATTCACTATATATCTGTTTCATATTCTGCTTAAGTGAAGATAGAATCAACCCGCACCTGATGGTATAAACATAAGAGAGCCAACCTGTAGAACCTTGTAAGAGGTTGACTGTTGTCTCCTGCTTGTTAGCTATATGAACTTAGCCCTGTGAAGATATTGTAAGTATGTGTGTCACATGATCTCGCATTTCGGAAAAACCTAATATCCGAGCCAGCAACACTTTGTGATGGGCCCGCGTGAAGCTGAGCACCACCCCTTTGCGCCAATTGACAAGCTACTGATCTAGGTTCATACTTAACCGCAGGGCCTATATGAGTTGTTGACCATCTTTGCCGTCTCAACGCCGCGATGGCTCGAAAGCAGAGGGCAGCTGCACAGGCAGCTGCACAATCGCTGAGTTAGTTTCTCCATCCCAAAATTTATAGAAAAACCATCTGGGTTGAGAAAAAAAGGAAAAGTCCATCTAATCTCACAATTCAAAAATCATGTCTATCAGGAGCTGCTCCGCAACAACTCGAAGAAGAAATGGTTGACGCTGCATCCAACCTAACTAGTCCGCGCGACAGCGATGGGAATGCGCCCGACAAGAGAGATGATACCCCGGCTGCGGAAGAGTATGAGGCGGGATCGCAAACAGAACGACAGGCTGAAGAATCTGAACGTCCGTCATCCGTTGCGCCAGATACCCCCATAAAAACTGGTCGAGTATCTGCTATTCCAAGAAAACGCGGAGGTCGAGTTGGTCGCCCACCCAAAATAAGACACCCTGTCACAGATGACGGAACCGGGGAGACACGGTCAGAAGTTACAACACCCGTCAAGCGAAGAGGTCGAGGTCGCCCGTCAGCTGGTGGACGCTGGGGAAGAGCTAAAGGCGGCCCTTCTCATGTCACGCAAGTCCCCATAGATAAAGAAGGAAATATGATGGACGTTGTCAATGATGAGGTTGACCTTCCAGAAGACCCAGAGGGAGAGACAAAAGTTGACAAGCTGGGGAATCTTCTTGGTGGTCGAGAATACCGGGTGCGGACATTCACGATTTTAAACAAAGGTGAAAGACTCTACATGCTTTCAACAGAGCCGGCGCGTTGCATAGGATTTCGCGACTCGTACCTGTTTTTCCAAAAGCACAAACTTCTTTTCAAGATCATCATTGACGACGACGCGAAACGTGACCTCATTGAGAGAGAGCTTATACCCCACTCCTACAAAGGGCGTGCCATCGGTGTCGTAACAGCTCGATCAGTATTTCGCGAGTTTGGTGCGAAGATAATTATTGGTGGACGAAAAGTTATCGACGACTACTCTGCGCAAGCTGCTAGGGAACGAGGCGACGTGGAAGGTGAACTTGCTGTGCCCGAAGACAAACTCCCAGGCCCAGGGGAAACATACGACAAGAATCGATACGTTGCTTGGCACGGAGCCAGCAGTGTATATCATTCTGGAGCTCCCTCGGTGCCCATGCCAATGGGGAAAATCACGGATCCAAAGAAACGAAAGGTTGTGATAACTAACGATAATTGGATGATTGAGCATTCCAGAGAAGCAAGGTACATTATCACCACTCATTTAGATACTAATTTTTTTTTACAGAGCTTCTTGCTAACTATTTAGCTACAGTCGGTTCAACTCCTCTATCCTAGCCGCTCGTCGTGAGAATCTCAACGGACAATATGATATCCATACAAACACCATGCTCTATCCCAGGACTATGCAACCCACTCATTTCCGATGGGAAGTTGTTTCCCCCCCAGAATCCAGCCAAGCAGACAAATCCGAGCTCTTCCGCAGCGCTTCGACAGCTGCCCTCGGTCTCTCCAAAGACACACCCGCAACCCCTGCCGGGAATGGAAGCAAGCCGCCCAATGGCCACTCTGTCAAAGCTGAAAAGGACAAACCCGCCCGGAAAAACGCATCAACAATCTTCCCCCCCGTCCCCGCCGTTTTCAGCCGCAAGTTTGAAATTCACGATATCCTCTATGAGTCACCACCAGACTCGACACTGAGTCGTCCTGGGCCAGATGGCGACTCACAAGACATAGGTCAGAATGGACTAATTACTCTTTCGACAGGCCGCTATAACCCTATGTTCCAGATGAGTCCGGAGATCCTAGCGCAACTACCACCTGACTGCAAGGTTGCGTACCGCGAAGCAGCAGTCCGGGAGTGGGAGTGGAAACGACGTTGGGGAACCGAGACGGAGGATGCATCTAGAGCGCCCATGGGATATAATTATGCGTGGACTCCGTGATTTTGACTGAGATACAAATTTAAGGGGAGAGATTGAAGCCGGGTTTATGTATTAATTGTCACTGGTCTTATTGGGTTTTGGATTTTTTTTTTTTTTTTTTTTTAAATGTTGATATCTGGACGTTCTGTAAGGGACATACAAAATCTCATTTATGTTCAATGTTGTTTCTCTGGTTTTCTTCCATGTCGAGCATGTGGAGTCTGGCTGGGTGGGTGAAAGGGTTTTTTTCTTTTCTTTTCTTTTCTTTTCTTTTCTTTTCTTTTCTTTTCTTTTCTTTTCTTTCCTTTCCTTTTCTTTTTCTTTTTCTTTTTTTGTGGGGTGTAAGGATCTACTTGTCTTTCTTTTCCCCTGTTCATGGTTAATGGCATCTCTCTGGGTGGCCATTGGTTTTGGTGAAGCCATCGAAAGTGACGACTTGATTCCGTAGTTTCTTAAATACCACATTTTCTTTTATGTTTATCTCATCTTTCCACTTCTGTTGGTGGGCAGAGAGAGAATGCGCAAAATCCACGGGAAGTATGTACTGTACTCTTGAACCCATAATTCATATTCATGATACCTCTGCAATTTGACTATCGAACGGTTTCTACTCTCTTGGTGTTTTTAGTCTCCATATACCTACCCAGGCAGGTAGCTATATAATAATAAGGGGTGGGAATAACGGGCAAAATTGCCACAGATGTTTACATTTAAGCGAATTCAGATAGTCACCGACAACTGCAATATTTTATACAGTAACCTCATGGTGCTCCGTGCCCGGTAACTAAGTTAATTTGGTCCTTCCGGCGGCGCCTTTCTCAGCCTCAAACATTTAACCTCCTGCAAGTTCCCCGCTGCGCATAAAATAGGGCTCTCTGTTTTCACATGCGTGATTATTCTGCCTGCCAACATCCCTCAATCACAACTTCCTGGATCAGCTAACTTAATCCATTTGACGGTCTGGATATATGAGCAAGACCATCACAGAGTTGGGCTACTTTATGAATCGTTTTTCTCATCAGAATTCTTTATCAGAAACTCCACAAAGCATAAAGCAGGTTCCTGTGGTATGCATGGTATCTGCATGTGCATATATGTAGTATCATACATACATTTGACAACTCCTACATCAGCAGCAGCAGGATATTGGGGCATCCTTTGAACGCTCAACCTCTATATAGCGAATTCCTCTATATAACGAATTGAATTGGCTTCCAAGATTAAATCGTTATAGCGAGGGTTTACTGTACAACCGGAATAACTACTTGGCACTCATGTTGATGGGAACATAAACCAAGAGTCTCAACTGCACTGTCATCATGTTATTTTCTGCATAATAATAGCAACCTGACTAACTATCCTTCTTCCTGTGAAGATGGTTAGTTAAATCAAGAAAACTTCGGCTTCCCTTTAATCTCTGTTCGATTCGTCCAAAAATCCCTCATACGGCATGTAAGCACAGCACAAACTGGCGGGGAAGCGCAACCTACGTGGTGATGAGCGTGCAGAAAGGCGAGGCCCGCCTAACATACCTAAGAAGGCTAGTAGTTAGATCAGTTACATAGCGCCCGTGCGGAATACGGACGTCAACTTGAGTCAATCAATCAATCAATCCTCTCAATTCTTCTCAGGCAAGAGTCAAGACAAACAACAGGGTCAACGGGTTCTCTCTCGTGGATACCACGGGGAAACCTCCATCAAACTTCATAACTCTCCATCGTTCGTGGCCCTGTCTCAAACCGGCAATGAACCTCCCGATTCTGGCTAATGATATCTACGGATTATTTTAGATGCCTATATCTTTAGCTTAGGCATTTCCTCTCTGCTCGTTCTTTATCCCTTTGGGGAATATGAAAGCGATTGATGCATATTTCTTCGGGGCGTCAATTGCCGCAGAATCTGGTCTGAATACTTGAGACAGCGCAACCCCTATTCCCCAACGGCTGGACTGGAGCACCTAGCCAGTGTACTAATTATGTGCGTCTGAACTGTTCATACAAGCGAATATTCAGCCTTGACATCAGGGATTTAAAGACCTATCAACAGCTGTTCACCTATATAATCCCACTTATTTCTCACCTGGGATTCATAAATATTGCCGTGGTTCTTGTGCGTTTACGCTGGTTCCGCAGAAGAGTCAATAAAATCAGTGCAATGGTTTATCAAGTTGGTATCTCCACTGGCCAAAACACATTGGTAATACTGAATTGGGAATAGCACCCTCTGAGGCCCAACGCCGTCTGGACGTGGAAACCCATGCATACAAGTTCCCTGAGGATGAGGGAAAGGGGGCCGTGTTAGTAGAAGAAGCCGGCCCAATCAGCGATTCCTTTGGTGGCGGCAAGAGGCAAAGCACTACTCCAAATGTGTAGGGGCATTGCCAATGCAGCTATCTCTGTTCTTGTTTAACTCGTTAACCCAGGGAATCAACTGGTAGCAATACAAATGCAAATGATACAAATGAGGTTCCTGACCAGAATGTCAACCCACATCACACAAGCATATCTTTTGCGCCTGATGTGCGAGGCTACGATAAATCGAAGGCCTTACATGTCCCACCACCACATGAGCGCGAGAGGGGTTAGAAGTGTTGGGCATGACCGCCCGTTAGCCGCACCATCTCACATGATGTACGCGTATATCAGTTTGCTGGCCAGTCCTCCCACCAATGGAAGACCAACCATCCCACAAGAAGTACGATCCAATGTATCAAGTAAAACCGAAAGCTGACTTCTATCCTAATAGAAAGGCCAATAGTGAAAGTTGATCAAGTATTCAGTGGCGATGAAGAAATCGTTAAGTCGAACGATGTCAGCATCGGAAGGTCTCTCTCAGCTAGTCGTCGGCTAAAGAGCAGGTCCTCGAGTGTCCAATGCCAGCACTCTCGAAAGGGTTGCTTCATCCATCTTTGTGCTCGAAGGGAGGTCTAGGTCCAGTATTAAACAACAGCATCTCGGATCAGAGGTTTCCCTTTCCCAGCATCTTTCTTGCCCTGTCGTTGTCTTCTCATGCAACTGTGGGACGCAATTCTCAATTCCGCAATTTAACCACTGCGGATAGAGAAAATTGGGCCGAATTGAGTATTGTAGTTTAAAGCTTTTACTCAATATCGTTACTGATAATACACATCCATCCGTTATAGATCTCAAGAGCGCCATGGACTGACAAGAAAAGCATTCTTTTCCGATCTTCATCTCTTTGGCGCGATAGGCGGCTGGATCTGATATGCAGACCCGAAACATCCGAAGTATTTAGTTGAATGTGGCCAATCCCCCTGTGTGGTGGTAAATACTCATCAATATATAACCGCCAACTTTTCAACGAACCTGTAGGGGATTTTATTCCTCACAGACGATGATAAGTAATCTTGGATTCACGCTCACTCCGAACTCGATGATCCTCGTTCCAAGATGCGGAATGGCCATTGATCCTCATGAGCTTCCTAGGCTATGTAGGAAATACTCGCTACCCTTGTTTCCTCCGCTTCATCATCTGAACCATGTTCAAGCTTGCTCCGAAGTCGTCCTCTATCAAAGAGCCATAAAATTTCCTCGTAAAGTATCCCCCGTCGATACCACCCTCCTTTTTTTTCAGCACAACGACCTGGGTTCTTTTGAGGTTCTCTTCTTCCTTAACTTCGCGGACATAAATACATATTGTGACTCTGGACCTCGACAACCCAGCAGAAGCCCAATTGACGCTTGGGAAGCGGATAGTGGCTTCGCTGTTCCCAGCAGCGTCAACACGGCACACAGGAACCACGATTTTCAACTTGGCAGAAATAAATCTTACCCTCCAATTCAGTGTGTTGGTGATGATGTACATTGCCGCCCTTCCGATTGCTTTGGCTATTCGGGCATCCAATACATACGAAGAAAGCGCGGTGGGAATATGTCCATGCGAACGCGAGCACGTTCGACCTGTGGTATATTTTTATTGTGGTCTTTTGCATCTGTGCGTCTGAGTCGAAGAAGATAATGGATCCTAGGGAGACGGTAAACAATTGTCTTTTTAACCCTTTCCAACCCCCTATTGTTTCCCTTTCTCCCCATATTTAACGATTATTTGAAAACAGTGCCCAGCTAATTTGAAACAGTCATTCGCCATTTTCCCGATATTATTCGAAGTGGTATCCGGCTAGTACGCGTAGCTTTCCCTCGCCCCCTTCCTCTCCTCCATCCTTTTTGAATCCTCAAGTTCCAGTACATTTACCCTTTCCCATATCTAACATGAATCTCACCGTAAAATGGCAACGTTGGCCTCAGCCTGGGCCACCGAGCCGCCTTAATCTCGCTATGCGGAAAATTCAACATGTTCAGCAAACTAGTTATCTGCGCCAGATGATACGAAGCCGCCATCGAAGTTTACCAATCTGAACTTGATCGTGCCATCATGCTCCCCAGTGATCGCCTTGTGGATGACGATCACATTGAGCCAGCTGAAACCACATATACGGTAAAGATTAAGCGCCATCATACTTGTTGATAAAATGTCGGATGGTATGCGGGATAGAGGGACTTTTATCCAGTTGGAAGATGAAAAGGATATACCAACAAAACAATTGACAAGAATACGAGTGTTGGTTTTGGTGATGGTCCCCTCGAATCGACATAGCACAACACCATGGGATGATGTGTAGATTGGAAGAGTCTCTCTTGTCACTCATTGCACATAAGTCACATGCATATATTTGCTTACGCATCAATCACTAAATAACTAACTAATAGTTACTGCTTTCTGGTAATGACTTGCGCCTTTCCGCCTGTCAACCATATTTTGCAGCCCCAATTTTTCAACGGGATTTTGATATTTGAGAAAAGTTCCAAGATTTATAGATATAACTTCATTTCCACACACCTAGGTTTGTCAGCAATCAGCGGGTTCTCGAAATGAGGGCAATACATTAGCAGGAGTTGACGTGAGTCAAGTGGCATTGTCACAGACCCTTTGTAACAGCATCATTCGAAGTGCAGAAGCCATCTCTTGAAGTTCACATCAGATCTGAGCATGAACAATGCTGCCCACATGTATACAGACATGAGAAGTGTAAAAGATCTGCAGAACTGAACTTTACCAAGATGCGCATCGCATGATGATTATATAAGCCATTATGACCTGATCATTCATCATTGAGGTTTTGCAGGAAGCGTGGTTTGGTTCAACTTGTCTCCGCCGTAGGCAGCCGAGATATACATCCCACGAGGCTACGTGTCATTTCTTTTGCCATCCCTCCATCTAACGTTTCTTGCTTGATTGATGGAATGTAGATATGCGAGAAATGTATGTATGTATTGTATGTACGCTTAATTACCTGCCTCCGAAATGCACAGCTGCTTCTCTTTTGAACAGTACCAACGCGGGTGCCTACAGCTTGAAACAAGTACATCCTTTCGTGTCTCCAGAAGGAGCCGCATATTTGACATGGGGATAGAGTGCCGCTGATCCAACCCCGTATCATGCGCACCCTTGAATCTGCCTACGGGGAGAAGAAGGCTGAAGGCTAGAGGCTGGAAATGTTGGCGAAGCTGAGGGCTGACGCATCGCTTTACGAACTCTGTGCTCCCGTATCCTGCAACGAAAATGTAAAAAGACCAAACCAGAGAATTCGATACAACAGCAATTTTTCCTGGAAATATCAGGGACGATCTGAATATTAATTTACTTTTCCCTTGGCTTGAAGAAAAAGAGAAAATGACATTGGATGGATACTCCTGTTGTTCTTCTAGGGCGCAACAGTCAACAATTTTGTTGCTAAGAAGCTGTTCTGTGGCATCTTATTGGGCGGACAATGCCAGATTTCTTGCAGCTAGCTGGTTGCCACAAGCAACCAGTGTCCACTTATGGAGGGCGTACCAATCTCGGGTGCTCTGTCTACTGTGGTTGAAGGGAACCATTGATTTCATTGCATTATGATTCGCCTTTTAATATTTGCTCATGTTTTTCATGTTCACTTTATTCCTCAAAGATCCCGGGATCCTGGGAAGCAGCTCGAAGTCAGGTCTAACTTAAAAACTACAACTTGTAGCCTTGTCTGGTTTTTGTGGCCAATATTCTCGAGATGTATCATGAAGTAACTATGGGAAGAATGGAGTGAGCCTTGGAACTTCTGTACTATTTTTACATTCCAAGGTTACCGCTTGTATGGGTTGGTGGGTATGGGTTAAATCGGCATCTGACGTTTAAAAAAGAAAAGAAGAGGAAAAAGAGAACAGTTCCAAGGTTGCCGCCAAAATGTTATTACTAATTGTTGTTGCTGTTGGCGTCAAAAAATCTCACCTTTTTCCCTACCTGCATCCAGTCTGGTCTTCCAGTTTAGACGTTTACATAGAGATTTAAAGCCCAAGAGATACAATTGGATGGCTTGCCCCTTCAATGGTATGACCCGGAAGCCGGAACCTTTCGTCCAACGGGTGCTGTTAAGCTGTTTTCATGGTGTTGCAAATTTTCGACACATGAGTATGCTTGAAAGGGGAAAATTCTATATTGGCTCATGTTCTCAAGACGCAAGTTGTGGATTTCCCGTCGTCTTGGCTACGCAGAGATACATTGTAGTCATCATTTCGTCGTTCCTTTCACGCCTCTGGAACGAAATCAGGAATACCTCTCCTCCCAAGCAACGAGTCCACAATATGCCAACTTTATGTTTGTTTTTAGAGAGACACATGTCATGTTCTGGATCCCTGAATAGTTTGTCTTCTCTAACGTTGGTTGGAGATACTGACGGCATCTTCATATAGGCAACAAGTTCAGTTGAACTTCAAAAGAAAGAGGAAGAGAGGGAGGGACCCTGAGGATTTAAAACCTCATTAACAGATGGTTGCCATGGTAATAATACCAATGCCTTAAAATACATACACTAACATCATATATACGTCTGGAACGAGTGGGGCCTGTCAATCTTGAACCACCCAGGCCAACTAGGACATCGAATGAGATGGGGTATTAATAATGTTAGTATGGGTATTATCATCGGGTTGCAGTCGCTGCGGCGGTCAGCGTCTACAAGATGTGAAATTTTCGACTGTTCAGGTGCTCAGAGCAAGGGTTTTTATTGGCGACACGAAAAATAGCAGGTGGTAATTTAGAACCATCCATCCTCAGGTCATGAGCATTGAGCAAGGGGTCTAAAAAATGCATAAGAAAAGAACGGATGCATGGGAGGTTCAAGCTTGAATTTCCTGCCTAGAGCCCAGAGACTAGGGATGGGGCAGTGATTAGCGTAGCTTTTCACTTCGACCCCCATTTTGTTTAATTAACTCAATGTCTCTCGGAAACGGGGAATCTGTTTCTCCTATCCCGCCCACACAACACCGCGTCAAGCCATTGGTACGAATGAGCTATCTAACCCTTCAAGGTTTCCCTAGGATCTTATCCTCTGCGGCCGGTTGGAGATGTTTGTATCTCCCTCTCTTCCTGGTTTTTTTTTTTTTTTTTTTTTTTTATAACCCCAGGGCTTCAGTTCCATGACAGTTTGAAATTGGTTTCATGAATGTTTCCGGAACGGAATTTAAAGAACGAAGACCCTTTGGATGGTCTCAATTCCCCACCTTGATACCACTGCTCACTATTAGTTCTTTTCTCTTAGGACCTCTAGGGACGGGGGAAAGCCAATGGCACAGGCGAGGGTGTTTCTTCTCACTGTCTAAGAATAACCTTGGAACAAGCCAGCCGCAGCCGAAGTCGAAGGAAGAAGACAATTTCTGTCTGCCTCTCCCAACCCCAAAGGACAGCCAACATTAATAGTAATAACCTCCAGAGTCTCCCAACAATGATGGTCCCCTGTTTTGGCGTCTTAATAATCATAGAATCGCCTCGGCCAAAGTTAACCCAGTGTTTTTCCCGGTGTATTCCTATGTATTCCTCGTTGTATCCTAGGTACCAGGTATTTTATATCGGCGTTGTTATGGTTTTCCCGTACCGTAGCGCGCTCCGCTGTTCCGTAACGACACGTATATTTCACGTAATTTTGGTATCCGTGGTAATGTCCGTACAGTACCCAGCCAAAATTCTCCGTCTTAATAATACTGCTCACTGGCCTTTTGCCTCTGGGCCACTTTTTCTTTTTCGCTTTTTTTCAGTTTCACTTTCTTCTCTGCATTCCAGAAAACCAAAACCTCCTCCTCCCCATGTATGTTCCTTCTCTCCCTCTCTTCCTCCCATCCTCTCTTCTTTTCTTCTCCAATCTCTCCTCTTCTCATACTCTCTTCTTTCTATCTCCCTTTATAGCCTCCCAAAACCGTCCTCCCTCTACTCTGTTCTCTTGACCTTTTCCTCCCGTCCACTCTAGCGAGCTTTTCACTAAGTCTCGTTGCCTATGTTGCACCCTTCGCCCAAATTTACCCCAACTTTTCATCCTCTGCCTGATCTGAAAACCTCAAGCTCCGACCTAACGAACTTTTGATTTCAAAACCTCCTTGAATTGTTACATCTATCGCGTCGTTATACATTCAGCTGAGACTCGCTCTTTTCGTGTCTATTCCTCCTGTGTTCTGAACGCCTCGCTCAAATTAGTCCACCGCAACTCTTTCCTCGACCCTTGACAGTTCGTTCTGGTTACCGGGTCGACACACATCCAATGTAGCTTGTTCTAGACATTTCTTGTACCCCGTGAAGACGTTTGAAGAGCCCAGGGCTCGTCGCTTGTCGACGGACCCTCGCAGTTTGGAACGTGGTAGACCAGTAGGCGGTCAGTCTAAGCTCGACATCGTTTGATCCCTTTGGGAGGTTTTGAAGTGCCTCGTTCATAGGAATTACTAACAACAGTTTTCCAAGGACACAGCCTCCTCTCACTCGACTACCCTCACCCCGTTCCGAAAGGGCTTACTTTTGCCATCATGCCGTCCTTCTTCCCTTCTACCTCCATCTTCCCTCCCACTCCGCCCCATATCGTCGGTAACCGCTTGGAAGCTGAGACGCCGTTTTATCAGCATAACAACCCTGCATTTGGCCTGAGATATCCTCAAACAGGCTATGATTTCATCGAAAAGTTCTCGCAGATTGCCAACTTTTCGAATCATAGCTCCATGAACGCCCATTCACAGCAGTTGCAATCCATGCAAGGAGGTCGGGATATGGGTTCCGCTCAAACGATGGTGAATCACCAGGTCCAACCGCATACCATGTATGGCACCTTGAATCCTCCAATCTTGCCACCCATTCGTTCAAACACGAAACTTCCCCCGATGGATAGCGCGATTCCTCCTCAGTATCAACAGCAAGAGATAGGGATCCAACAGGACTCACAGCCTAAAGAGGAGAAGCTTACGGGAGGTGTCGCGGCCCACTTGGACTATGAAATGGATCAGATGTCTGATTTCGTGGCGGAAATGGCCCATGGAATGTATGCTTTGTATATCTCCAAGATTGTACTTGCAGATATTGACTTCGCTCGAAGCGTGTACCCAGGAACAGGAGTCCCTTCGCAATTCCGAAAATATGTCTCTCAGATTCTCTCCTCAACCCGGCTTCCTAGGTCCACCATTCTTTTAGGCCTCTACTACTTGGCGTGTAGGATGCGGATGCTTTCAGCGGCTGAAATGTACAAGTCTGGAAATTCTGAAGTCTACCGCATGCTCACCACCGCTCTACTGCTTGGTAGCAAGTTTCTCGACGATAATACGTTTCAAAATCGCTCATGGGCCGAAGTTAGCAACATACCGGTAGCTGATTTGAATTCGATGGAGTTGGAATGGCTATTTGGGTTTGAATGGAAGATCCATACCCGCATCCACAACAAACAAGAAGGTTTCAAGTCATGGAAAGCTCATTGGGATACTTGGCGCGCAAAGAATGAAGCTAGAATCAACGAGTCACGAAGTACACTAACTCCTATTGACACAAACATCCAAAAGCAGCACGCTGCTCAACACAAAACCCTTCTTTCCCCCGATGGGCCAATCCCCCCACAATATCAGAGAGGTAGCTGGCTAAGCTCCAGCACACCGGACTACTCGCCGCCCTCAGCACCTCATAGCGGTCCTAATACGCCTGACTATTACCGTCCTGGCCCATGGGCATACTCCAACCCTCCGCCACCATATTCCCGTGGCTGGGTTGTTCCACAGCAATACTTTACTCCAACTACTCGATCGCAACTGCCTTCATACCATCATACCCCATCCTACACACACGCATTTTCGCCAACTGGATGGACTGGTCATGGTTCGTCGTGTGGCTGTCTCTATTGTGCAAAACACCAAGGCCATTTTCTAAGCACAGTGGCTTTTGGTGTTCAGCCTGTTGCGGGTTAGCCTATGTTATATACATTGTCCCGGTTTGATTATCCTTCGGTTTATGATGGCGTATCATTTAATTGAAAAATCATTGCCAATTCGTGTCCATCCGCCGCTCTACCTAGGTGTTCGAAATTTCCTTTCTCATCTCGTTTCCCACGACCACCTACCAGCGTTTCGATCGACCTGGTGTCTGCGAATATTCTTGGCATCTTCGGATATTTTTTAATGGTTCAACAATCATAATTGCGGAGTTCTTTCCATCACGCACTCGTTAATCCCCAAAAAACATTCAAGTGTTTTCCTTCATTTTTCTCCCAGTCAACTCCGGAACAGAAAATAATTCCTTTTTTCCATTTTTTCAAATAATATCGGGAGCAACGGTGGAATAAAGCAAGTGAGCAAGCGAGTATCTAAAGCGAGATCTATTTGATCTACTATATCCCATCTGCCGTTTCTTCGGTTCTCCGGCATTTTTTCTTTAATATTCTCAAAACGAATCATTTTTTCAATCGAGGCTACTACCCCAAAATCGCGTTTTTAGGTTCCCATTTGGACCACAGCGACCTTACGTCTTTTTCACTTTTCCTTAAATTTTGTGCTTTGCAGATGATTTTACGATTTTTTTTCTGTGTTATTTTTATCCATTTCTTTGTATTCTCTTAATGATTTTTCCCCCTTGATATGTCCATATTAGCCATTCTAGGGCAAAATAATTTGGCGACTTTTGTTTCCTTTCCTACCCCTCTTTGATTTTATATCTGTTTTTCATTCTACTTTTATCTTTTTTCGCGATAGATCTTTTTGCTTCCATTTAATTCTTTTCCCCCTATGTTTCACTGAGATTTGTACAAACTTTTATTTTTTCATGTTCATTCTTTTTTGACTGTTTTCACTTTTTTCGAACCGGAGTTTACTCTTTTCTTGCCCTATTTTCTGTTTCTATGAGGTGTTGTGTCCCTGTTGAGCATTTGTCTCTTTTATTCATTCTTCACTTTCTCGCGCAAGATGGGTTCTGTTTCACGGCTTATATTCTCATTTACTGAACACTTTTATTCTTGCGATTTGCCCCAAACGATCAACATCAAATACCACATTTTACGTGTATTTGGCTCTTGGAGTGTGTTCGATGATCAGTCATGCCCCAATTAAAATTTCAAATGATTCGCAAAGGATTGGACAGGGCCTTTCATAATTTGTGTGGCTGGCGTTGGTGTCGAGTCTTTTGAGAATATCTCCGGTTTCGTTTTCTCATCCGAGGTTGATTCATCTCTTCAGTCTTCTTACTTCTTTTTTTTTCCTTCTAATATCTCTCCACCTTGCTCTTCTGTTTCCCTTTCTTTTGCCTCTAAAACTTGTATTTCAAGCACCTGTAATAAGTTGTGACCTCTTTCACGTATTTTCTTACTTGGTTCATCGACGGTTTCTTTGATTGGTTCTTCTCCCTTTTTCACCCCTCACTTCAACCACTTATTTGTTTTCTGAACATATGTTCCTTTTCCCCTGATTGCGAGTCCTGTCCTATTTTGTTTGAAAAAGGAAGATATTGGAGGAAAAGATACCCTCTCTCATTCATGTATTGTTTTTTTGTTCTTTCTTTTCTTTATATATACTTTTATTTGCTGTCTTGGTGCACTCTGCACAATTATGTTCCCTGCTTCTTTACTTTAATGTTTTCCCTGAGTTTTGTTTTTTTACCATTTTTTTCTCTTAATGAACTTGTTCCCTTGGTTTGAAATTAGCCATACATCACAGCCCTGTTCTCATGTTTACATTTGGCGAGGCCTTACTTTTTATGGAGGCAAAAATATGGAGAAAATTATTATCTCGCCCCCGCCCCCGCCCCCGCACCCCTCCCTTTCCCAAAAAAAAAAAAAAAAAAAAAAAAAAAAAAAAAAAAAAAAAAAAAAACTTATAGAAAAACCGGAGAAGTAATAAAGTGTTTAGAAGATTACAACATCAAGAGAACACTGGTGAAATGAAAATGTTCTTTGTGTACCTCTTCCTTGTGCCCTGGTCTTATAGTGTTGAATGTATGCTGCACTTGCTAGCCATTGCTGTACTGCACCGCGTAATCATATCCCTTTTCTGCAAACTCGACACTTATTCAGTTGGCCCTTTTTTGTTGTACCCGGCAGACGGCAGAAATCTCAACCTTGAAGCTCATGCACGTGAAGCTACATAGTTGTAGGACGTCTGAGCGGTTGTATTGGCAGCTATATCCTGGGGTGCTAACTGCTACTGTGTGCGAGGCGTTGATAGTCCGTAATTCGAAGCCTTGGTGCCCACCAAAAGCGGGTTTCCCAGGGGGAGAATAAATCGCGCGTGATTGGGCTGAAGTCTGACATAGATCATTGTCATGAGCCCTGGAGAAACAGTCTGACTGAATTGAATAGTTATGCAATATTATTTTCTCGGCTTAGTTTCTAAAGAGGAGAGAGGACATGTCACTTGGTGTGACAGATATGCTTTTACTTATTGGCCGGGTAACATTATGAATATGCACATGATGATGTCCATGACAGTGACGTGGAATAACAACACAGTTGTCAATCAGGACAAAAAAAAATGCCATGTTTTATTCTATCTCCTATCGACATAGTTGACCAATTCTGCCTGCCGAAAATCTTTATGGTGTCGTCGTTGTCGTTCAGATCATTACATTCATACTCCCTCCTTTCTCCTTCCTCGAGCATCTCTGGCATAACGAAAAAAATAGACGTAGTTAGTGCGATTGCTGAATGGTGGGGCTCTTATGTCGTATCTCGTTTCGTTTGAGCACTTTTCCGGTGTGTTATTTGTCGTGTACTCTTGGTGTATAACTTCAAAACGGGTGCCAACCCTTGCTGTTTGATATAAAAGCAGTAAATGAATGGTAAGGAGGAGAGGTTGTTGGAAAAAGCCTTAAAATCGTCGATGGTGTACATTAAAATAAAATCCGCCGAGCTAAATATTTGGAATACATCAGAAGCATATGTAGCTTGCAAGGAGGGGGAAAGTACCCAACGAGAGAAATCCAATAAAGTAAACCTAATATTTCAGAATCAGTGAGCTAGTATATGCTCCCTCTAATGCTCTGATCTTCTTTAATCACTTCCTCAAAGACGGCATCTTCTTCCTCGCCCAAGGTATCGTTCATAGAATCCTTCGACATGCTATGATCGTTTTCGATATTGCTCTCGTCAACCAATAGACCCTGTTTACCAGCAACATGGTCGTCATCTTCATCGTCTCGATCGCCCAGAGAATTCGCAATCCCATGGCCCTGCCTCTGTTTACTCTTTTGGCGCTGATGCGGGTGTTGGCCATGACTCTGCCTTCTAGGAGCGGCACGTTTATAGTTCTCATCGTCATCAGCGAGGTTACCGGTTTCATCGCTGTCTGATGTGGCACGACTTGGTGCACCGCTATGGGAGCCACCGCCGTCCCGTCCGCCTTGGTGCGGAAGACCTCCTAGGCTACGGCTGTGCGGGTCATGTCTATGTTGAAGGGATGTGGAAGAGGGCTTTTGGACTGTGTTTTGTTCATCCTCTGAGCGTGACTGTTGTTGGGACTTCGAATCCGAAATGTAATCCAAAGAAATGTGAGATGGGGTTGCATTTGGTGAGGATGAAGATGTCAAACTGGGAGAGGAATAGTCTTGCCGTCCCTCGAGTGCCTTGTCAACGGATCTATCCACGTTAGATGAGCTTTTGGCATTGGCCGTGTCAGTTTGAGTCTCCTTTTTTACTTTATCGGCTGTTGCCTCACCCTCCAGTATCCCCTTTGTATACTGCCGCTGAGGTCTTCTCCTCCAGTGCTTCGCCGATGAATGATTACATCCGTTAGGGCAACCACCCCACTTCCTTCTGATTGGGATGATGAACTCAGTACCGGGGGTAGTATCAGTTTCAATGCTTACACCAGCTATTGATGCACGCTCCCTCTCCCGCTCCCGCTCCCTTTCTAGTTTTAATTCGGACCAAGTGCGCAGATTATTTTGAAGGGTGTACTTCCCATCATCCTCGTTCTTCTTCATGATCACGAATTCGCAGTGATTCACATTTCGAAGGTCCTCGAAGTATTCAACGCTGAAATGGTACCATTTCATTAAAAATATCCGCGTCATCAATCCATGAGTGACAAGAACGCACACGCTAGCGAAGTCATCTTCTCCAAACAGTCTCCAGAGGGATTCATTGAAACCGCTAACTCTGTCGTAAGCATCGGCCGCAGACTCTCCATTAGGGATACGGTAGAAGAAATGTCCGTAATCAGCACGCTCTTGCCACATGCGTTCCATTTCTGCAGAGCATGGCTGGAAGTTGCCAAAGTCTTGTTCGCGCAAACGAGGCTCTTCGTACACCTTTATGGAGTCTCTTGGGAAGGGTGACGGCGACGGATCATTCGAAGTCAGAGACGTGAGGATGCCCTCAGTTGTCTCGCGGGTACGGCGGTAGGGGGATGTAAAGAAGTGGAGTGTATCATCTGGGCGCAGAAGGGTCCGTAACCGCCGCCCTGCCTCGAGAGCTTGTTTCTGTCCCTCTGGCGTAAGTTTCACCCTGTGATCGGGAATCGACTGGTGGATTTCACGGTTTTTGTTTCCTTCTGACTGGGCATGACGGATGAGAATTATCATCTTCGTTCATATTCTCCGTAGTTAGTACAACTTTCTTGTTCGTAGTCGTAGTCCAGACAGAATGCGGAGGCTAAATCAGTATGATACGGAGAACTCACACGAGGTTTTCCCATTTCTGTAGCACTAAAGTCGATTTTAGCTAGAATATTGAACAAATATTGGAATTTTGAAATTCCTTGTCTGTTATCACTATTTTCCTTTTTCTTCCCTTTTTGTTTAAGAAATGGTTGTGTCTGATTCTTATTCTGTTGGGGATTGCCGCCGTGGTAAATAAGCAATGTGCTGATCTCTCTGGCAGGGAGCCAAATATTTAGTATATAATGAACTTAAGTTGTCATAAACCAAGTTAACCTGGAAGTTACTTTATGCAACCGCCCAAGATCAAGATTTGAGCCAATCGAAATTGCGGGATCCTAACCGCCCCAACATCACCTCTTTATTTAATCTTACCTGCTGCATCTTCTTTACCCCCCGCGACAATTCTGCCCAAGGACACAAGGGCACGCGGATTCCCTGTTTCAAAAATTGTTATCTGCTCTGCCCGAGCTGCCCATTCTGTTAATAAAATAGCCATGAAAGCCGGGATTTGAGGCAAACGCCCCAATCATGGCAGACCCATTATTCGAACTCCTGGCGCCTTACATTGATTCCGCTGACGTATCCTCATGGCCGCCAACCCCAACCCCAGACACAGTGTCGTCACAGTACCTTAAATTCCTGTCAACACTATCGCTATCCGCATTAACATCGACGGAACCCCAGTCTCTATCCCAGACTTCTCACTCCGTCCTCGTTTCGCTCCAAGCCCTCTCCAATCGCTCTCATCAGTCCCTTATCACGGCGGCTGATAACCTCTCCTCTCTTCGTTTTTCGATACCGCGGTTAGCTGCTGAGGCACGACGGCTCCAAGATGAGATTCCACAATTGGATGATGAGGTCGTTCGTTTCTCCTCCGTCTACAATAAGAATGTAGAGAACCCGATGTTACATGGAAGGAAGAAGGCGATGCTATTGCTGAGGAATGTGGACCGACTCTCTGATATCTTGGAGTTGCCTACTCTGCTTTCTACGGCTGTGTCTTCCTCGTCCGTTAATGCTAGGGCCCCTGGAGGGCCTAGCATGAATTACTCCTCTGCTCTGGATCTCTTTGCGCACATAAAGCGACTACAGACTCTTTATCCCGATTCGTCATTGGTTAAGGACATTGCTCGGCAAGCGGAAGAGGCGATGAAGGAGATGACGAGTAACCTTATAGCTGGACTTCGAGTTCAGAACATAAGGCTTGCTGCAGCAATAAGAACTGTGGGTTGGCTTCGCCGTGTCGCTCCGGAGCTAGAGTGTCCCAGTAAAGGAGGAACCCCTTCCATGAACAGTGAGGGAGCCTTTGGCGCATTGTTTCTGGTTTGTCGTCTAGCAAATCTAATATCGATGCTTGAAGCCCTTGAACCCCTGAGAGAGCTTGCAGACCAAGAAACACAGAGGAGGCTGCAAAACAATACAAAGCAAACAGCCGAATCTACAAACTACAATGCCTGGTCTGAAGGCCAGCAAACCGAGCGGTTTTTGAAAAGATACATTGAAATCTACCGAGAGCAAAGTTTTGCAATAGTTGCTATGTACAAGAATATATTCACACCTACGCCACCTGAATCTGACCTGGCTTCTGCGAGTGTGCCCGGTTTGGATCTACGCTCCCTGAGCCTACAGACGAATCCGACACCGAAAACGCAGAAAACTCAGGATGATCCCCTTCCTCGTCTACCCCCTGCATTGGCAACCTTCCCCATGCATATTGCGCAACTGCTGACCGAAACACTGAAAGCCTATCTACCAAATGTCAAAGACAAAAGCTCGCGAGAATGTTTGCTTTCACAGGTTCTGTATTGCGCCGGTAGTTTGGGTCGATTGGGGGGGAATTTCAGCATGTTCTTATCACTCCTGGGTGAAGAGGAGGACGAAGAGGAAGAAGACGATGTTGCAAAGGGCAACGTTGTCCCTGAGTGGGAAGGTGTTATGAGGAAGCACCGTGTATTAGCAGAACGCCTGGATCGGTTGACAGCGGGTGGAACAGACAACGGACTGAAGACAATATCTCCTTAATCTGATCCACTACACAAAGTGCATTTCGAGTTTCCCAGTATTAAATTTATGGAGAATCTCGTGAGAGATGCTGCGCCTTAGACGAAGCTGTATTCCCCCGCTATCTTGTTGGTTACATTGCCCTCGACGTAGCTAGATAATATCAGATGCACAGAGCAATCACAACAGCAAATCATGGAAGTACATAGAGCTAACCAAACATCATCAATAGCCCCCAACTGTACTCTACCCTTTTAATCCACACTCTCCCTCTATTATCTTCAAATATCTCAATCCGTAACTACATAGTTTATTACGTAACTAATGTATGGAGGCTCCAAGCTGCAGAAGCCCGCTAACCAGATACGGCTAACCAAAGCAGGAACAGAGCTGCCCTTAACGGCCTAGCGTGGGTGCTTTGTCATCCGCTTGTTGTTGCTCCAGACGAAAGAAGACGAGGGACTTGCTATTGTTTCATTCAATTTTCTCTTTATCTCACCCTGGAAGTATTTTACTTTCTCTCTTTACCTTTATCTCATCTCTATCTATCCCTCTATAACTCTTCGTTGTTGTGAAACACCGATATTCTCGTTTACTTGGATGTCAATTTGCCCGGGTTCTCAGCTGTTCTCCTCTCGCACCATTGCATCTGCTATCTTCCAACCTTGGAATCTCCTGGAGGTTCATGAGCCCCTCCACCAACTATCCACTTCAGCTGGCATACTCGTAGACCTTCCAACGCCTCTGACAGACCCCATTTCTATATAGGATTCCACCCTTCAGCCTCGTACATGTTAACTTGTCGCGTACATTTTCTTGGCTATTCAGTCGTTAACATCTACCAATGGCTACTTTAGCCTCGTCCGCTACGCCTCTACCAAATGGTGGCTTGATTGACCCCACGAAGCAAGCAGAATATCCCATTCTCTTGGGAGACAAGTTGGCTCGAAGGGAAGAAGCTAGTAGCAATGGATTTATCAGTGTCACATACAACCATAAGAGCAAGTCAGCTTCTCGACAGCAGCGTGCAACAATAACTGCATCGAAGTCTTCCCGCCATCTTTACAAGCTCACACTGCAGGACAAAGGCCCCAATGCAGACCAGAACATTGTGCACACATACCAAGGCAGCGTTGATCCTACTTCCCCAGTATCCGTGTCAGAGACTGGCAATTTGGTCTTGGTGTTTGACCCAAAGCGAAAAGCGTTCATTCTTGAACCTGTCATGACCAGGCTGAATTTCAACCTTCGATCTGCCCCTGGGAAATCTACCCAACAAGTTACAGAGCAATACCCGCAGCTTAATGTTCTCTCTGGAGAGGATCACGTATCCGGCGATGATCTACTACTGGAAAAACCGGGTGAAGATGATTCGGAAGGTGCTCCGGATGACAGCAATCCGTATGATTTTCGACACTTTCTTCCAAAATCTAAAGCCGACGACGATATACCTGAATCCATTACACCTGATCCACATCAAGTTACCGCGAGTCAACCAGCTTCTCGATTGGCACCACCACAACCACCACCATTGTCCAGCGGGAAACCCAGGCCGAAGCCTGCTGCAAAAGCCAAACCTCAGACAAACCCTCTCCGACCGCTGAAACGCCTACCGAAGTCAATAACTAATCCCAAAATACCGACTATACCCAAACCTCAATCCGCTCCTCTTGTTGAGGAAGTGGGCTTGGTCCTTGATTCAGCGTCAGATGGAGCGTCAGATGGAGCGTCAGATGGAGCGTCAGACGAAGAAGAAGAAGAAACTACTACACAAAATGTGGTCGACAATACGGCATCACAGCCTGCTGCATCACCCGGAGCGAATATAATTGTTGACGGCGACCTGATTATTGATATGGGTTCTCCACCCCCCGCACGACCGGCCTTCAAAATAAATCCTCGTCATTTCTCGTCGAACAATACCTCTGCCAATGAGGCAGACTACGATAGTGATGATGAGGGGGAGATAGAAGACTTGAGATTGCCGTCTCCAGCTGGCGCCTCGTACCACGGACATGAAGAGGACGAAAAAGAGGAAGACGAAGAGGAAGAACAAGAAAGAGAAAGAGAAAGAGGAGAAACCAGGCAGGATGACGTTATTGATGATGATGATTTGGCTGCTGAGATGGAAGCTGCTTTTGAAGAGAGTGCAAGAGAAGAAGAACAGGAGAGGGCTCAGCAGCTGCTGCTGCAACAGCAGATGCAACACCACATTGTTAGCGAGGATGAAAGCGAAGTAAGTGAAGAAGAGTAAGTATACGATATGAGTGGCACATGCTTATAAGAATCGTCAAGCTCTCCTGAGCTAGAATTGACGTTACCTTGCTGTTATCTTTCTTCTTTATATGGGGCCAATGGAGGCAGGGCATTCATTTAATCTGACTAGGGTTAATTATACCACATTCTCCTTCCTTCTATTTATTTGTATGATACGGCAAACAAAATAATTACAATTTAACGATTTAATAAAAGAATAGAAACGATATTTAATTCTGATTCATTTGAAAATAATACATTCAATTTCACCCACTTGCAGCGGAGCAACGTTGATCCGGACCGTAATTATCCTTCATCCAATTCCTTAACTTTCACCTTCATCTTCCGCGTCTCGACACCAACTTATAACGCCAAACACTCTCGCAAAGCTCCATATCTCCTTGAATTCACAACTACGACACCCGGCCGAGAACTTTTACGTTCTGCAATTATCCCTCATGACCTCTCCGGCTCATGTCCTCTTCAGGGGACTTGTGTGTTGAGTGAGCGTGAAATGACATCAGACCATTTAACCCTTATTGTAACCCTTAGACAACACCTGCAGTTGGTCAGTGAGCTAGCTGTCTTACCTTGCGAAGTTGCGCAATATCGATTGCTAGGTATATCACAACTTCTTGTACTGTTCCCATTTCTTTTGAGCTCTGTTTCTTCGGTTATCAAACATGTCGGCCACGTCGACTTCGAAGCGCATGTCCCTTCCGCCAGTCCCCTCGCCTTCCAACCCGATCCTTGTCGCGACTCAGTCGCAGTGGATATTCACGGATTCAGAACTTCACCGAACACCCTCCATTCTCGACGGGATGACTATGGAAGCTGAACACACAAGCCGGAGTAAAGGGGTCAATTTCATCACCCAGGTCGGGATCCTTTTGAAACTTCCGCAGCTCACACTCTGCACCGCGAGCGTCTATCTCCACCGCTTCTTCATGCGATATAGCATGAAAGATCTTCCTCAGCGCCCAGGAATGCATCCCTACTCCGTCGCTGCTACCTCTCTATTCCTCGCGACCAAAGTCGAAGAGAACTGCCGCAAGATGAAAGAACTGATCGTAGCTTGTTGCCGCGTCGCGCAGAAGAAACCAAGTATGGTCGTGGATGAACAGTCGAAGGAATTTTGGAGATGGCGCGATACTATTTTACACAATGAAGATCTGCTGCTTGAGGCGTTGTGCTTTGATCTCCAACTTGAGCAACCTTATCGTCTCCTCTACGACTTCATTTGCTATTTCAAGGTGCAAGGGAACAAGAGGCTAAGGAATTCCGCATGGGCTTTCTTGAATGATTCTACGTATACCGTACTATGCGTCCAATTTCCTGCGCGTACAATCGCTGCAGCAGCGCTCTACGCGGCAGCAAGACACTGCGAAGTTACATTTGAAGACGACGCCCTTAATAGACCTTGGTGGGAGCAATTGGACGTTGATCTCAATGAGATGAGAAGGGCATGCAACCGTATGGCAGATATTTACGAGTTTGTTTCCGTTCCGGTGCCTGGACAGCAGTATGCTCACCTCTCGACTGGGGACGATGGAGCGACCGACCAGACAAGAACATCCCATCAACCAAAAAGTGAGAGCAGCATGGATATTAGCGCCAACAGCATGTCTCCTGGTGAGATTAACGGGCGCAAACGGGAAAGGGATAACCATTCTGACTCATTTAGCCAATATCCAATCAGCCTTCCTGCAAACGGAACAACGTCGGGGACACAGGATCCTCAACCTTCTCCGAAGCGCCAACGTCGTGAAGGGAGTGAAGTTGATGCCGATACAGCTCCTTTCAGCCAGACACAACCTCCTCTATCATCACAAACTTCATTCGTTCAGGCTGCTCCAAACCTGAATATGCGAACTGCCACCAATGATCCCTCCAGCCAGATACCTTCAGAGATTAATGGACATCCCAGGAATGTCTCTCCTCCCAAAAGTAGAATCCCCCAGGCAGCTCGAATTCCTGCCAACGTAGCACGACAAGAACACCCACTTCCGCCACCTCCACCCGTTACTGTACCCCCTCTTCCTCACCAACATTCCCCACCCCCTCGTCGTGCAAGTTATGCGAACAATCCACCACCACCCCCAAGAGGCCCGCCGCTGTCATCGGGGCCATCAATGTTCCATCCACCACCTCCTCCTCCGCCATCTAATTCTTCTAGCGTTGATGAATTACAGCAACGCATTGATGCCATCATCCAGCAAGGTTTGCCACGGGACAATGACCGGTCTCACGAACCTAGAGGGAGCTATCACTACCATCCACCATCAAGAGATAGGGATGGAAACAGAGAAAAAGACAGAGATAGATATCTGGACAGTGATATCGATAGGAGTCGGGAGAGGGATAGATATAGGGAGAGAGGGATTGACAAGGATAGAGAAAAGGAGAAAGACAAAGGGCGCGATTATGACCGCGACTTTAACTGTTCCAGAAGGCAGTCGTCAGAGGCATCAGGTTCCGTAGCCATCTCTGCATCTCTATCCGCGCCATCTTTCTCCGGAGCACCACCAGCAACCGTACTGCCGCCTCCTTTAGCCCCGTCGGCTGACACACGTAAGGAATCAGGACAGGATCAACAAGAGAAAGGTGAGGCAGTGAATGAGGATACCACGACGAAGACCACTGTGTCACAGGTGATCGGAAACAATAGTGCTGAACCTGATGATGGTGGTAGTGAGGAGGGTGAGGTTTGAGCAATGGCCTCTTCATTCTCCCCTTTATCACTCACCCCTTATCCAGAGCAATGGGTGGTGGATGATGGGCACAATGTGGATTCTGTCAAACGCCCCTTTCGCGACAAAGGCACCTTACGGTTCTACGCTGATATTTGACGAAGCACAATATCATCTTCCTCATCGCCATTGCCATTGTCACCCATCGCCCATAGTGGGCGATTTTATAAAAAAAAACAGAACCACGCCCATATTGAAACAACGAGAAACTCGAGTCAAGGGCTTCTTCAGGTCCGACTTCAGTTTGCCGTATATCCTCTTCAACAAAAGAGGCCCATCTATTTACTGAAATTGCAAGTCTGCAATTTTACATCATTGAATTACATGTATTCTCACGTGCGACTTGGGATGCCGAATACCGCCAGAAGGCCCCCCATCCAAAAACAACAAGAAAAGAAAAGAATTTGTGACATTATTTCCAAGAATAGATTAGGAGGTGCGAAGATTCACGTCAGGAGCCACGGGAAACAACAGATAGAGAGAATGGAATTGGCAACGCTGACATGAAGCATATTTTGGAAACTCAAATCATAAATGTATCACGATCAATTTCAGTTTTCCCTTTCTGTTCGGTTCCAATATGAGCTTTGCCTCAGACCTGTAGAGCAAGAGGAGAAGATATCTTCTCACTGACAAGGTTTTGACATGCACAAAGGGTATCAGTTGTCCAGTAGATGGTAGGTTTTATAAATGATAAGGGCTGAGCAGATCTGAATATGCAATCGTATCCGAAACTTTGATGTCAAATTTGGACCAATTGAAAAAGTTTCTGTTATTTACCAAAATAAAATTAGAAATGAAATTCAAGTAGCTTTTCGTGGAACTGAAGAAGCTGCCCAGGTGGAAATCTATAATGTAATGTAATAATCCACTCTCAAATAACCTCTTGACCATACCAAGATCTTGCCGTATAATTGATCATACATTTTCAAAGAGATCTCAACAATACCTAGATAATTATATATTGAACATTGAAATTAAATAGTTTATATAAATATATATAATTAACTTCTATAATGATTGCTTAATAAATTATCTCAAGTAACTAACTAGTTAATAGTTAGCTAACAATTAAAATAAATTTGAGTGTAAAAAAACTCAAAGAAGAGATATTATTTAATTCTACTAAAACAGCTATGTAAAATTCTGATTATCATTTCAGATAAATTTTATAGAGTTTTAAATAATTTTCAATTTTATCATAATTTTTTTGAAGCTATTTTTTATATTTGTTTCTAGTTGTATTTAAATTTGTATCTGTATTTATATCTATTTTGTAAATTTTACTTTCAAACATACTTTAAATTTTTCATTGGACTTTTTTATTTTATTATAAATTTTTAATTGCTTTAATTATTTTTATCATCTTTATAGTATTAGTTATTTTATTTATTTTAAAATAATTTAATATAAATAGTCTTCTTAATATTAAATTATAGATATAGAAAATAATTATTTATTTTATTTTAAATTTTAACAGTTTAATAAATTAAAATAATATAATAAAGAAGTTAATAAAGAAATATATATTTTAATTAAAACTACATTTTATTTTTTCTTTTCTTTAATATTTATTGTATAGTTTAATTTACTTATTTTAATTATTTTAAAGTTAATAATAGAATATAATACTTTTTTAATCTATATTTAAAGTAAAAAACTTGATTAATTTATAATATAAAAAAATAATGTTTATAATAAATTTCTCTAATTAATAACTAGATTTAAAATTTCTATATCATTCAATTACCCAAAATTCTTTTAGTGATAAATGATATATTAAAAAATAAAATCATGCATGTGAATTGTCTGTTTTGTACTTTTTCAAAAATCTGTCTTATTGTGAGATAATGACAGTTTTGCAGAGTTAATTCTTGACTGTGACAAGCATCATTGCTCAGCTGATATGACTGAAATGAAAGTAATGATGCAGAATTATTTTAATAAATCATGATAAAGCTTCTTTACCCTTTTTTTTAGGCTTCTCTATTTTAAAATTGACCAATCGGGGACATAATATTTAGATCCCATTTCATTGCTGCAAATGTACTGCTTATACAGCCATGCGCAGGTTGGTGTTAGGAGAAGCCCCCGCCCACGCGCCTCCTAGCATAGCAAAGTATTCCATAATTATCGTTCTGGAGATAGCCCAGAAGTGTCGACAAGTAAGACCAAAGCGCATTATCATGAACATCAAGGACTCCACAAATTTGTGTAGTAAATTTCGATTGGCAGGGTATGAAATTGCGCAAGGATCCCTTGGGAAAGCCCAGGAAGCGCATAAGAGTTAAGAGTGGAGGAATGGGCCTGGGAAAAAGAAAAACAACCCAAGCAGCAGAGTCATTGAGAATCAACTCTTGAAGCCTTCCTCTCCAAGAAGTGTGCAAACTTTCATTCAGCCCAGTTGAAGCAAGTTGGAAATCCGGCTCTCACGCAGAACAGCAAAAGTATTGCTGTTAGTCGCGGACAAACAGGTTAACTATATCGACTTGGCCAAAACACCTGTCCTCCACTGTGAGCAGGATATAACACATATACCTCTTCAAGCCATCTAGAAGGTTGATAAGAATATTGACAAAAAGCAATATTGAGGTGATCTTTTTGGTTGTTGTATTCAGCAATAAACTTACCTCTTTGAGAAATAAGGAAGGGTATTGCGCCTCTAGGAGTGCATGCACATTATATGACGCGGAATTACAGTCGAGGGTGGATGAGAGGGGCGCAGAGAAAAATTCATTCTGAACACCCGATAATGCCCTAAGGAAAGGGCCAGCCATGTCCACCTCAGTGGGTCTTATGTGAAAATAGACATCGTCCGGCATTTTGTCGATGACATTTGTGATTGGGCCAAGCAATATGAAGAACAAACAGATAACTGAGAGAGATTTATGCGCTGAATTGCAACATGAAGTACGCAGTAGTTTAGCCTGGAATATGACGTTAATGATCTGATTGAACACGTCCAGAAAGCCCCGCGGGGTGACCCAGGCTCCTGCATGGGCCATCACAAAACAATCCATGCATTCTAAATCCATTGGCCAGAGGAAATGGTCAGATACCATGTCAGCGCGGGGATGACAGTAATGTCGATTCGCTCGGAGTGCTGCACGGATGATGTCAAAGCGCCGGGTTCGAGCATCGTGCTGAAAAGTCTGGCAACTCAAAGTGGCTGTTAAAGGCGGCGGGGTAAACACAGTTCTTCCAGCATTGGCTGGTCCGATAAAGCATTGTGATCTCCCACAGCAGGAGACGTTTTGCCTTCCAAAGTCATTACTCTGAGACTGCCGAAGCGATCATGGACAATTCGCAGAGACTCCTGGACTATCTGGGGGAGGCGCCTCCGGGCTTTCCTACCAATTCAACACACAAAACACCTAACACGACAAACGACCAATATAGTTGGAGGCAGATCAACAGCGTTGGTCAATGGTCCGAATTTATCTACGTCCGTATTATCCAGCGTTACGGCACCTTACTTCACCAAGTGCGAGTTGTGAGAGAACCAATCCCATACTCTCCTCCACAGCCTATAAACACCGAGCTGATGTTCGCTGTCCGTTTCGCTACCTATGTTCAAAGTCGATTACGCCATGCGCTGCGAGCTGGTTTGCAGAACCCTGCACCTCAGCTTGCCAATATGTATCTTACTCCCATCACAGTTGACACAGGTGATGCAACCCAGATTACCAACAGCTTACGACCCGATATCTCTTTTTTCCGGGCGGGCAGTACACCCAGCTCGTCCCCAAACCGCTGCCCAGGATGCCTGAAGGTGTCACGGAAATGGAGATCTGACTGGGGCAAAGCAGCGTCGCATTCAGACCGCACGGAGTATTTGCAGGTTCTGTCACAGGTCAACTTTTACATGAAACAGCTCAACACGCGTTATGGCTTTGTCCTAACTGATGCTGAATTGGTCCCTATTAAGAGACTTGATGAAGATGGCAGCCTGTTGGTAGCACAGGCGATACCATGGGAAACAGAAGGGCCTGGACGTTTGACCATTCTTCTGGGGCTTTGGTATCTCGGGATGTTGGTGGCGGCGGATAATGAATGGCAGTTTCCATAGAACACAGCAGGGGCTGTGTATTGTGCGAGATGTTGAGGTGTGAAAAGAAATGCTTGAAATTATGGAGCTCCTTTATCTCTCTCTTTCTCTCTCTCTCTCTCTCTCCTTTTGCAAGCCTGTATGAGCGCATTGACGAACCACCATCCTAGTAGTATTTTGTGTTCGCTGGGAGACCCTGTTTCTGATCATCTGCCTGTAAAATCCGTTAGTGGTCAGAAAATAAGCAGCGAAAAAGTTGTTTTGGATCACCAACAAGCTTCAACCCGATGCTCTCAACGCGCCTAGTTTCAATCTCAAGCCAGCCACGTTCCCTATCTCTGATGTAGGTGTTGTCAGGATAAGTTATCGCAACATCAAAATCTATCCACATAACTCTTTCTGGGTCACCAGGAACGATCAGAATATTCTTGGGATAAGGGTCATTGTGCTCAATCAAAGCTGAATGAATCTGTTTGATGCCATTGACTGCCTTGGCCATTCGCTCTTTGCTGTAAGTGACGCAGTTCATTAACAAGGGGTTCGGCAGGTATTCCATCAGAATAGCACTTGGGAGGCCAGTGTCGCGCTGAAAGGCATCCAGATGAGGGGCATATGCAGCCAAGTTCAAGGATAATGCGTATCCATAGAACTGTGGCACATAGCCCTGATCGCATATGCCAGATTGTTTGAGAGTGCAGTAGGCCCGGATTTCGCAGCGAGCACGATTCAAGTCACGAACCCCGTCATCGGCATACCCTACGTCTTCATCGTTGTGGAACTGGACGTCAGAAACTGGTAAGCTTGGGATGCGACGATGGTTCCAAGACACATACATACAACTTTCAGAACAAGGGGCTTGCCATCATTGTTCACATGGAATATCGATGATGCCTCTGATCTTTTCAGCTCTTTGATAAACCTGATCTTTGTGGGGTCGATCTCAATTCTCAAATTGGCGTCGAAACCTTTCTCCTTCTCGTAAATTGTACCCTCTGGGCCACGTAGCAGGCCAGTGTGCCCGGGCATGAGGGTGGGTCAGAAACAGAGATAGCCAAACCGCCGAACTAGGTTGGTGCGCACCAGTTTCCTAGGTGTTACCAAAGCGTAAGCGTAATAAACGACGACCCGTAACCTCCTCGGTTAGAAAAAGATGAGATGTTGAACTCGAAGCGTCTTGTCACTAGCTTCTGAGTTATCCAAGGAGCCACATCCGGAATTAGGTTGTTCCCTCCTCTGCGCCAAGATGCCTGAGAAAACCTCGACGTCATCTGGGAAACGCCGCGCGGCTGGCGGCAGAGTAGCCGCTGAACTTCGAGTAACCTAAATTGCCCATTTTTGAAGCAACTTGCCATGTCGAAGGCCACGCTTTTCATCCATCAACACAACAACTGTCAGAAATCCCGAGAACTGTCCGTAGCCCTGCATTTTCAACCCCCCCCGCGCCCCCCCTGTTTTATGCTAATGGTCAACCTTCCCCGTTTCTCTCTCTCCCTGAAGCCTTAATACGTCCTCATCTGACTTGAACTGGTCGCTTCCAGTGGATACGAACAGGGGGGGTTTTCTCTGGTAAATTGGTCTCCATCTGCATTGCTGCCTAACTATTTGGTGACTGCAGGGTTGGGTCCCTAAGCCTAGAAATGTGTGACGTAAATTTACTCAAAACTCCACTGAATTGAATCCCACAGCCAAGAGCTTCTAGCATTCAATCTGGCTGGTCTGCCAACACAACCTCGAACAACCAACCGGGGACGGCGGCCTCATTAAACAAACACCCTGTCCGGACAGATCTCCACCAAACACTACCTCTTCCCCCCCTCCCCCCCAAAAAAAGTTATACGGAAAAACCTGTTCATTTTCAAGGGTTCCAGTACGGCTCCGTGGTCGTAGCTTCTATTGGCCGGCCCCCACCACACCTTCGGGCGTCTTTCGTTAGGATGGTCTCGCACAAATTTCGGCACCCAACTCTAGCCCTTTTAGAAGAGACTGAGGGGATGAAAATATTCCTTTTTGAAAGGATTTATAACTATTGTTGCTCCTACTGCCATCTCCTCCGTAGATTCGGAGAAGGTGCCATGTAATAGAGAGAAGCAGACAGCAGCGGCAGAAAAGATTTACCGCCCCACCCTTTCCCCTATCCCTATACAACTGCTAAAGCCCAGATGGCTGCCAACGAGCCTGTCATATTTTCTTTTCTGTCCCCCGAAATTGAGGCCGCCAGAGAAAAGGCTTGGAATGAGAGCAAGCCTGTTGCTGACACTCTTCCAAAGCCTGAGAGCAGTGTAATCGCACCCTTTCTGCCAACTGAATTTTGCGACGACCTAATAGATGTTGTAATTAAGGAGTACCCAAAAATAGTGAGTTACGTTTGTTTATAAATGACAACCCACTGGCTCACATTGTTTCAGTTTCAGATGATATGTTCCAAAGCCTACGTTCCAAAATCTGTATCAAAGTGTAGAAGGGGAGGACTTGTGTATTTTCCAGGGAAGCCAGATATTGGAATGTTTTACACAATTGTAATACCTCTTCATGTATCTGGGATGGTAAAAATTGGAGACCAAGTCATAGATACAAATCATATCTATAATGTTTTGAGCAGCTGCTTTGTTGAGGTGCCTGAGGGCGGCAAACTTGCAGCATTGGTTATGGATAAGATTGAATGAGCTGGTGAATTGCAAATTGCAATCTTACATTATATGAATTGTATTAAGTTAGGAAAAGTTGCCTTATATTTAACAACAAGACACAAACTTGGATTACACTGTAGTGTTTCGAGGTATAGACGCAGTTTCCAATGCCAAAGCCTGAACTGAATGGTATATCGCCCTGAGGAAAGTGCCGCATTTTCGTGATTTGCAATGCAAAGCTGTTAACACCTCCTAAGGAAGAGGAGGTCCCCTGTGTCGCATTATTCTCACTGAAGGGATAACTGAATAAGTTTTGGACGGATAGGGGCGGGCGTAGCTAGCATAACTCGCCCTGAATCTGCGCATTTTTGCCCGTACCCCCCTACTGTCTCGGGCTCCACTATACCAGAGTATTTTTAGAAGAAGAGGCCCTCTCCTTTCGGGAAGCTCGACATGGAGGAGCAGCTGGGATGTATAAAGCCGATTAAGATTAACAGTACTGATAGAGTAGAGGGGCATGTGCGGATTTAGGGATCTCTGGAATATCAAAAACCAAATTTTTAGGCTGAATGTATGAAGTTCAAAAGTAAAAACAAGGCGCGAGGGTGGCCCATTCTGAAGAAGACGTTGATAGAGTCAAACTCGGTTTTGTTCATCAGGGTATGAATGGTCGGAGAAGGCTGGAAAGGCTGAAAATCATCACGTCGACTCGAAAACAACAAGAGACTCGAAAAAAAAAAGCTTATCCCATCACAAAACGACAACAATCTAAGCGAGCATAGTTATGCGAGCAGATGCCACATTATATTTTTCCTGTTCGATAGTTATCATTTCGATGGACAGTCTGGGCCATCAGCTCGAAGTTACCGCCGCCGCTTATTAACTACCTACCTCTGATGGCAACCGCACAGCGCAACGGAGAGCAACGAAACGCAGAGACAACCATCTTATCTCATCTAGCTCAAGGGGAAGAATGGCGAGCCCTGGATTCAAGATTTGGCACCATTCCCCACGCGCCACTGGGGGACATTTCACCACAAATCCGGCTGAGTATGGTGGGGCATCTCACAACCTCCTGCTCCTTTCGTTCTCACACACAGTTCAAGAGAATGCGGCCGAGCTACTGCTGGAAAAGGTCAACATTGTTGACTTTCTTCAAGCAGTGGGTGACTCCCATTTTTCTAGAAGTTATCAGAGAGCTTATGCCTTTTAGATTGTGGAACTGCTGGCAGCGAACCGAGCAGAACTAACTGCCTTGTGAGATTATCAGTTTATTAACTAAAGCCTTTGGAAATTCGAAAAAGGGAAAACTTGGTCTCTGATACAACGAGAAGATCCGCAAAAATGCATTGAAGAGGATCCGAGGAATAAAAGCTGGGGGGTATTCGAACCTCCTGAGTGGGGTCTCATTGGCAGTTTCCACCTACAAAGGGAATGGCGATGCTTTCTGGGCGCATGGGCTTGAGGTACGGTTAAGAGGATATGGGATCATTCTACGTGGCATTTACACTTGGTTTCAAGCGAGTGGGCCTGGCCGTCGCCATTTAACATGCATTTTACTCCACCGCGGTCTACGAACTTATCCGCCAACTCAATGGAGCTAGCTCTATGAGATAAGTTCCTCTACGGAACCTCTGGTGAATCACGGCACAATCTTATCTTGTATAAAGACTGTGACCCAGAGAAAAAGGCGGAAGCAGATCTAAACCATGAATATAGAAGGGGTGATGTATATTCATGCTACGCAAGGAAATTGGTGGCATGTGGTTGCTATTTTCTAATGTTTTGCGGTTCCTCCATCCCTGAAAGTTGCGCTGCAACCGTAGGGAAGACTGCTACAACTGACGTATAAGATATGAGAAATACCTGAATAAAATTTCGGATGTCGAACCGGTCGCGTCCCAGAAACGATGGAACGAAGGGGGGGGGGGGATGTACATGAGATTTCGCTCCGTGTTTCTGGTCTTCATGAGAGGATTGCTAATCTTTTCTCGAACCAAGCCATACTCGAGCAAACAATTAGCTGTTGTATTTAACATGGTTTAATTACATTGTACGTACTGGGGAATGGTTCACGGGTCTACTCCGTCAGCGACGAGCCGCGCCTTGCAATATCTCACTACGCTGTTCAAGAAGGATTGGAACAAACCACCAGATTGATATATACGACCCACATCTACCCGCTGGATGAAATTCTAGAATCTTCGTGAGTCTGGTAATCACGAGGTCCCCGTTATATACCGACACAACTCTCAGATTTTTATGGCGACGGGAAGCTGTTGCTGCCCTATCTTGAATATACATGGCAATATCTACGGAAAGCCCCAAACCTAACTCTGTCAACCTATGCCTGCAATAGCTTGATAGGTTCATCTTTAGCGGCATGCAGACTGGCTGACGCGTCTCGCGCAAGCAACGTAATTTCGTTGCTAACAAAATTTCAAGGCTCCCAGCTACCAGTTGTGATAAATGGCATACTGGAGAAGATTTCGTTAAATCAACAGACATACAATCTCACTGCTCATATGGCCGTTTAGTACTTTCTCGCGCAGAAAACACGTTACTACGCAATGAGTTCGCCAAGATGATGCTTCTTTTGACAAGCTGGGAGTTACTCTCGCAACCATCAGGGCTGGAGCTCGAAATCTCCCGATTGAAGAACACTGCACTTGGTAGGGTATTACGGTATTAAGGAGATTTCGCAGAAGCACGCCGGTACCTTGAACCATGCCTCCATATGGTCACTGTCAGCACTACTCGCTATCATATAATGCACCACCTTGCGGATATTTATTGCGAATTAGGCATTGGGGGTGAAGCCGAATAATTGGTTATGAATGAGGTTTCGCGGCTAAGAGTCGATGGTAAGCAAAACTCCAGGTGTTTCCGGCGCGTGGCTCTCCGCTAGCAGAGGCCTATATCATGCAAGGAAAGCTAGAGGCCGCCCGAGGTGTCCTCCAAGAACTTGTTGAGTTTTTTCACCTCCTAAAATTGAACGCAAGGTGGAGCCCGATGTGAAGGATCAGTTGGGCGTTCAACGATTAGTCTGACACACGTCGATTGGTACAAGCATCGATGGGACGAAGCTCATCAAAATTTAGGGACTGCACTGTCTTGCGGGAAAATACAAAACATTTTCGGATGGCAACTTCTACAGTGGAGTAATTTCTCTCTTCCTGTTTTGGTGAAACTAAGGTCAGCGACTCAGAGGCTCGGGAAACACTTGCATCAGCAGAAAGGATCCTTAAGGGCAGCCTAAACAGGATTTCATGCCAGGAAGGGGAACATAGTTCCTAGAGCAATTATGGTCCTCCACTCCACGCGTTGATTAGGTTTAGCTTTTCCAAGAGTCCTACCTGGTTCTGTGACCAACAGTATATGAGACGCTGTTCTCCAATGCTCATGACCATGTTCCTCAAGGAAAATACTCCAAAACGCGCTCGGAAAATGGAAAGAAACTACGAGGTTAGTGCGCCATAACATAGGAAGATATGTACCCACTATTCCTTTTAAGAGAGCCATACATCATTTAATCACAAGGCGAGCGACCCCAAAAGCCTTAACTTGGATGACATGCGTGGCTCAGATGACATGGTGGAATGGCTAGAACTTCTTGGTCACTCAGCACATACATCTACATCATCTACTACAATAAAAATCGTTACTGAACACAAGAATAGATTGGAGACCTGAGTCACTTAAATGTTATACACGTCGCAGGGACGAAAGGGAAGTGCAGCACCTGTGCATTCATCACACCCTCCTCAAGGTGCACGGGGATATGACCGGATACCCTAAGAAAATAGGGCTATACACATCCCCGCATATGAAGGACATACGTGAGAGGATTCACATCAATGTTGAACCGGTATTGAAAGACCCTTTTACAACGCGCTTTTTTGAGGTCTGGAATAACCTACCGAGCAAAGCTACAAGCGACCTAGATATTTATTAAAGTACGTATGTTATACACGGTTCTTCGTGTGGTAAAAGAAAATGTCGTTCGCATGCTGCTGTCTCTAACTAAGTTTTATGAGGGGTAGAACCACGTTTATATATACTGGGAAACTGAATCACTCTATTCCTGATAAAAGGAAAAGAAAGAAAGAAAAAAGGAGAAGGTTTCATATAAGTGATGGCCTCGTATAAAGGATAACAATTGAAGTGCCGGCGTGGCGAGAACTAGTGCTTCCGGAATAGCTTCGACGTTAAAAGGCTGATATCTGGCAATATTCCACGGTCCCTTCAGCTCCTGACCCTGCTGTCCTTTCATGTATTTATTGAAGAGATAGTGGACGTGGCAATTTATGAGACCCACTTTGGCGGAGAAGTTGTTGCAACGAACGTCATAGAAATGCCGACGGTAACGGCCATTACTTCAATTGCGATGGATCATGTCAAACTGCTCGGCCCAACGATTGAAAACATTGCCTGTCCACAAAGGAGGAATCTTCAAATTAGGAAGCGTAGCCTTTTCAACCCTCCAGGAGCCGGCAGTCATGGAGGTGTTTTATCCACAATCTGTCGGACCGGACCCTGCAATCCCGACCAATGCGATTGCCTTGAAACCAAAACCCCAGAGAATAAACTGCTCCCTAGCGCTTGCAGTCGTTCGCTCTGGCTAGATAGAAAGGCACCGGATGGACAAAATATAAGTAAACATGGCATCTCCCACGGCATCGAGCAGTTTTCCTGGCCGGGAAGGTATCAACATATCAGAGTATCATTCGCAATGGCAGAATTGCGGGAGTTGTTGACTTGGCATTTGCAGGTGCCGGACTGGCCCGAGAGCACAAACTTAAGCTTCCTTCATATGCGGACGAGCTTGTGGCAGAACGCCTTCTTTGGAGGCCCTACAGTGAACCAGGAAATGTTTCGCACAACTGGCTTATCTCTTTATAGTTACAAACACCGCTTGGACTGGGGTCGGCCGGGCATTGATTGGCATAATCCAGTATCCAGACTTCGAAATTTTCGATATCAAAGTTCGGTATCACCCATGCATTTCCTAGGGTGGATATGGCATTCCAAACCTAATGGCGACACCCTTCTTCTGATTCCTTAAGGATCCGGCAGAGCAACACTCCTGAGGATGTTTTCAAGGTCATTTTCTGTCGTTTTGCGGAGGAACTTTTCCGATCATCACCCGACCGATCAGCCAGCCGCCCACTGTCCAACGGAATTCAAGTTCTTAATCCTGAAGGACCAATCTCTTTCCGAGTTCAGGTCTTGTCCAGTTTCATTATCCAACCGAACGCCGTCCGAAACGTCGTATGCCATGTTGTCGCGGCCGTTGGACTTCTTAGGTGCCAACAGAACTCCCCAGTGGTATGCACCGTACGTGTTGCGTATTCTCTTTTGAAGAGACACTTGATCTCGGTGGTGAATGGAGATAAAATAACTGCTTTTTATTGCACATACCTGTACCGCAGCGTTCAAATTCATTAGCCTGATGACTACACTCTAGTTAATGGGCCATTTCTTACTGTAGTGGTCTGAGGATTGATTTAGGCAAGGTTACTTGGAAGTTTGCCAGTTTACAGAGCCTTGACACCGAGCAACTGCCAGTGTGGTATTATGGTACTTATAACAGCGACACAGAACCATTTTAAGGAAGTGGCTTAATACAGATGGGCCAAGTGGCCCGTGGATGCAGGCCACAAACAATCCTTCCTTCAAATCATGTTGGTTAACTCGTAATTGGATGCCCTTGTAGGGTCGCCCACGATCGCTACTAAAAATAAAAAAGCCCGCTGCTTACTTAACTACTCGTTAACTAGCCCCTACAGAGCGTATTCGCTCCAGTTCGAGCGGGAATATATCCACAGGGCAAGCAATGGTAGCCTCGATCTGCTTGAGGTATCTTCCCTTCCCATGTGTTATCACAGTGGGGGCATTTATATTTCGTCAAAATAAAGTTTTCGCACGATGAGTTGAAGAACGTCTGCTGCAAACCCCCGCACAATCCTCTAAGATAGATAGGAAAGAGTCTTTCTGCAGGAGCAAGTCGATGTGGGTAACTATGGGCAGTGTCCACAAGTTCGTCACGTAGCCGTTTCTTTCGATCCCCACCGTGGAGAGAGCAGAGCATCGATCTGGCCAGAGTCGGTGTGGAATCATTACGGGCATCCGCCAAACCCCTTTTGGGAGACCATATCAAACGAGAGCTCCCCAGGTCTGCAGAGAGATCAGTCTCCTCTTCGAAGGACCAGAGTCCAGCTCCGCAAGCTTGGGCAGGAGTGGCCGACAATTTGCGATCAGCGCTACTTTCTATCCGAGCTGAGCGTGGAATTCGGAGGTCCAGGCAGCTCTAGATGGAACATACCAACATCCGACATCTGACTTCTTCAGGTACGGCGACGACAGATTGTAGCACAATCAGCTATGTAGTCAGATTCACCAGCTCAACTGTTCATTTGCCAACTACAATGTACTGCATGTGCTGATGAGCAGCAATCTGAGAGTGCTGTTGAGTTTGAGACAGGTGATGCGGTGAATAACGATCTCATTGAGTCTTTTTACACGAATAGCTCAGAGTTGAATCATTGAGGCCAGATAATGTGCATAGCTCTCTCCTTTTTGCTTTATACAAGATCAATCATATTGGCTTCACGGTAAGCTAATAAATTTTTAAAAGATCTGCGGAAACATCTGAGGTCAAAAGTTATTGAGCAATTTCAACTGCAACTTTTTTATTAAACTCTTTCATAAGTTAGTCCAGTTAGTGATTAACTATTATTAAATAGTAAATTTTTTATTTTTATAGTGAGATATTTAAACTTAGTTCTTTTATATTAGTATATATGGTTTAAAAAATATATATTTAGTATAATATAAATTTTTTTTTTCAATTATTGTATAAAAATTTATTTTAATATAAAAAGTTGTAGAAATTTTATTTAATTATTAATTTTTTAAAATTTATATTATAAACTTTTTATTTAATTTATTAATTAAATTTAAATTATTAAAAATATTTTAACTAATTAATAAATAATAATAATGATAATAATAATAATAATAATAATTTAAAAAAGTTTTTATATATATTAATTAATTTAATTTTATATTTAATAAAAACAATAATTTTTAATGTATAAATATAATTTAAATAAAAGTTAAATATTAAATTTTAAAATTATTAATATAATTTTTAAAGTATTTAATAGTTTTTATTAATTTATCAATAGATAAATGAAATTCAAAAGTTATTAATTAATAAAAACTTTTTAAATAAATTATTTTAAAATTTATTTATAATTATTATTATAAAAAGTAACATCAAACCTATAAGAAATGAGAAAAAGAACTAAAATTGTCGAAGTTCTTACTATAGAATTCAATATAATTTAACCCAGAGAAGAAGCTGCTAAATTCACCTTTTGAGCTCAACTTGAACAGCCTGTCATTCAATCACGCAGCCTGCTGCCTAGGCCACATTTACAAGCATCGCAAAGGTGCAGCAATTATCACACACTCAGACATTCAAGGCTCAGATGCCCTCATCCCGGCGTAATTTTATTTAATATAAACTATTTGCTGCTGAAGTGTAGATATTCTGGGTTAAAATTAAGTTTAGTTACGCTATTTCGTGGATTGTTAAAATAGACGAAAACAGACAAGCCCTAATTTCATTAAAAAAATTTAGTTTATTCCAGGAACAGAGGACAGGCAACGTAGAGAGAATAAGAAGCTAGGAATAGTGATGGGAATGGAGTTTTAAAAATAATATGATTTGGGAATTGCTTCCGGGAACCGTTCTTATTTCCTTTATTTTCCCTTTTTCAGTCGGCAAGCAAAGAACAAGAAGGTAAAAAGAAGAGGTCATACAGAGGGCGCAAAAGACAATCAGGTACCTTACAGGGAGATTTAGAAGAAAGAGAAATAAGAATTGTTAACACAAGAGGTTTTGAAAACAGACGGAAGCCGACGCAACCCGGCCTAAAGAAAAAAGTACAAAGCACAGTAAGAGACGAGGAAAAAAGGAAGTACATATAGAAACAAGTAGCCGATCTCAGATCGAAAAACACTTCCCACAAAACCCGTAAACGCCATTCCTGTCCGTAGGAATATATCAAACAAGACAATAGGATTCCTTGACGATCCCGACCAAAATGGGAATATAAAACGACCTTCCAATTTCGAAAAAATAAAATAAAATAAGCCAAAATAACAAGAGTAGAGTATGTGTATGTACAAGAAAATCGATATTAAAGAAGATATAATTATGTCGACCCTTCGGGCACATTGTAAAAATGAAGGGAAATATTGGGTTCGATGGAGAAGAGAACCTCTCAAATTGTTCTTTTAGTTTGTCCTTTACTTTGAGATTAGACGTTCGCGAATATCTCATCGAGTTCGTCAACATCCACGGTTTCGGGGCTTTGCAGGTCGGTCCACGACTCTAGTCCGAGTCCCGATCCCATTTCGATATCCAGATCCATGACTGACTTACACCCGGTGAAAGGATCGCCTATTGACAAACCCGATTTGTCATTGGCAGTTTCGTCGGTAGAACCATCAGCCATATCGAATGATGTTTTTATGTCTCCGTCCATTCCATTCGCGTATGCCACCAGGGCAGCATTCACCTCGTCAGCTTCAAGAATGGTGATAGATCTTTTGGAACCAACGGCAAATCCAGCACTATTCACGGCGATTCTAGTGGCAGAAATTCCACGACCAATAGTTGCGGTGACGTCGTTTTCTCCTTTATGCAGACCAACAGAAATGTCATTCACGACGCGTTTGGTGTCCATATTGAGGTCCGCCTCAGCCTCAGCATGTGATGTGGCATTGGTAGTTGAAGTTAATGTGGACATTTCAGAAGAAATGGAAGGTGACGGAGATGCGCCAAAGAGCGCAGTAGCGGTGGCGTTATCCAAGTCTTGGTCATGACCGGGATTCTGAAGTATGTGAGAAGCAAAGTAATCAACATAATCACTGTCTTGACGATTAGATTCGCCATGCGACGAGGTAGACTCATCCATTTCCACGTCACTGCTACCCACAGATGATTCATTTCCCTTCACCGGATTATCCTGAGGTTTTTCATCCTTCTCGAGATCCAGTCGTCGTTTCGCCGCCTCTTCTTCTGAGGATGTTCGCTCGCGAACAGAGCTTGCTGTCTGGGTAAATTCCTTCTCGTCCCCCTCAAGAGGTGGAGATATCGATCGGCTATTATACGATACACGCTGATTGTGGAGGTTTGGCAGACTGCTCCTTACACCGTAGTTTGCGGTTGAGGTGTGTGGTCCGCCAGGGGCTGCGTGGTCATCCAGATCAACATTTTCATCGTCGCCAAACTCTGGAGCTGATAAATCAACTTCTGGGCTGGGGCTTAGGCGAGCACGCTCTCGAGCTAAATCTTCGTCCGCATCATCAGAATCAATGCTTGGGTCGGATATACTCGGCGTGATCCTTTTCGATCCCATGGTCGGAGAGAATATATCATCAGACGTTTCTGGAAGTGCCTGATGTGGCGATGTTGTCAGGTAATAAAAGACTTTGCGTGGATGAACTGGGATCAACTCCTTCGCGACCGGACATGGTGAAAGTGCCGTCCACGAGCGTTTCAAGTACAAACTTAACCGCGACGACAACAAGGCTGCGGCATTTCGCGGAACTGCAATGCGACACAACAAAGAATAAGTTAGATAGATTCATTTCATATGTAGTAACAGGAAAATGAACTTCTCTCTAAAAAACTAAAAAAAACACTCACTTTGCAACTGTGTCGTTGGTGGTTGAAAGGACAGTGGCAAGTTCCTTGATGAGATGAGGTCTATTTCCCGTCTTTTCCAGTTGCTCAATGACCGAAACTACGATATCATCGTTGATTCCTTCCGTGTCGATCTTGGGAGCGATCCCTGAATCTTCGGGAGATGGTGGCGGCGTGTGCTCAAAGGTTCCAGCGCCTCTCTGACTCTTTGGACGAGAGCCATCGACTTCATCTTTGTGCGAGGTTGATTCCGGGGATTCTGATGAAACTGACAAAGGCGACCTGAACAGTGAGTCATGGGACCGCTTGACCTTTTTCGATGGTGGTTGTTGTGTATCTAAGGCGGAAGTGGTCTTGTGGGTGGGGGAGCGCTGGGAGCGCGACGAACTCGGTAATTGAATACCCAACGACGGTAGCGACAGTGACTTGCGGCGAGTGTTATAAGGCATTGCTTTAGATGAATAGAAGATAAAACAAAATAAATCATGAGGGAGAAAAGAAGAGAAGGAAGGTTGAAGTTTTGTTTCGGAAGTTGTAGAAGGGGGTAGAGCTGTTGGAGCGCAAACAACACGCTAACTGGGGACTCCAAGACAAAGGGGAGAAAAAAAAAAAAAAAAAAAAAAAAAAAAAAAAAAAAAAAAAAAAAACAGGAGGTAAGGAGGATTGCTTCTTTTTGGTTTATTGTGGGTTTCAGCTAGGAGACGACGGGATTATTCGAAGAAATATGCAGCGTTTCGATTGGATAGGCGAGGGTCTGTGGATCGGTCGTGTGTGTGGCTGGGAAGAATAATGCGACAGGCGTCCAGCGAGGCTAGGGGGCGAGCCAGCAAGGCAGATACCACATTAGGAGCCAGACCAGTTGCGAAATTGGCGACGAGAGTGCGCAAATCTTTGGAGGCGGCGGTCTATTTGGTAGCTTGCATCAGACCAGGGAGGCCAAAGTTTAAACCAGGATAAATCATAAAAAGTATCACACCGCCGTGGAACTCTATCCAGGCGGCGAAAATTTCCCAAAGTTCCTAAAATTTATTTGCAGCCAGAAAGGATGGGTCGAAATTCCAAAAACAATCTTTACAGTAGATCAACGCATTTTAATTCGACCAGGCATTCAGAAACCACCCCAAAATTTGGAGAAGTTTCGATGGATAGGTGAGATATATATATATATATATATATATAATTTCTTTTTGCCAATCAACTGAAACGCAAAAAAAAAAAAAATTCCTATTTATACAAGAAGGGAGCAGGATAAAAAAAAAGTTAACTTCATCCAACCTTGGTCCGGGTTGAAGGAAGCGAGCTCAAGCGGCGTGAGATCTATGACGAGCCATGATGTCTCAAGCAGCGGGAAAATGGCAGCAAGGATTAAAATGAAAATAAAAGCAGCGAAAATCAGTGGAAAGTGCCGAAGCAACGGCGATGAACCTTCCCACGAAGGATTCCATTGGGCGCGGGCAACTTGCGCTGATTTCCCCAGTGATAAGTAATTAAAAGGCAAACAAATAATATGCCCAGAGCTAGTAACCGGTGACAAAGCTAGAGCTCGGCGCGGGCAGTGAGCATCCCAGCTGTCCATCGCCAGAGACAAACAAAACTTACAGGTTTCATCAACCCTGGGCGTGTACCAACCTGCATGTGGGCAAAAAATAATCAGCAAAACACGGTAAAGCGATATCTGAGGCAGTAGCGCGAATCCGAAGCAGTTAGGGTGGACCCCGTAGAGTGGGTATTCATAGTGCTACTTCACTCCGTAAAGGATAGGCGAATTAAAGAGCAGAGAATGAAACCTTGAAAAGTTTACCAGAACACGTTGGAACTCCCATTCCCCTACCGAGCTAGAAAACAAGGGGAACCCTCAAAAGAAAAAGCCAGACGCCATCGATGGGACCCACGCGAAGTCCCCCGGGTAACTTTAGACATCCCAGTGGGTGAAGTCCCTCTCCAATTCCTCGGCACTCAATCTCCTCCTACTTGCGAACAGTTAAAAGTTTCTGTGGAACAATATCAATAATATGCGCCACATCCTTTTTTAAACTCCTAACGTCAATCTAGGTTATCTCGAGTGAAGCAGTATTTATTCTCTTCTGTCCTGGAGTTTTTGAAAACACTATATCTCGAACATCTGGGATTTTTGTCATGCTACTTCTGCCTAGGTAGTGTTGTGGGACATATATATATCACTTCTGCATCAGGATCAGCAGAACGGAGCAGAGTATTGGGAAGATGTTAACGAGGCACCTTGCCTGTAGATCAAATCTGTTGTCGCAATGATGATATATGGATGAGTCGCAGCACGGCGAGACTCCGTCTCTTGCCCCTGTTACCCCTGAACACAAAAGGAGTGGCTGCGCAATTACAGGCCAACCTGTGACGGGGCAAGTTGGGTTGAACAACAAAATTAGGGAAGGGTATCTGCACTGATGTAACTTCGACATCCAGCTGATATGGAACTATGGAGAATCAACGCGTGGTAGATGATGCTATATCCCATCTTAGTTAGTCTGTCATTGTCGAAGATGAGGTTGTTGTCATGATGATGAAGTTGAAGTTGGGCGACGCTGGGCTAAATATCACCTGAGGAGGAGGGCTGATATCGTCTTTGGCTTGTCTACTGCGTGTTGTACTACTACTACTTACTACTACCTTGGACAGCTCCTCTTCAACCTCCTGAACCTCCTCAATTATATGTATGTATGGATGTATGGATGCATGGATGCATGTACGTATGTATTTTCTCGCTTTTATATGTTTTTCTTGAGCTTCAAGTTTTACTAAAAGCCAATCAGCACACATGCATTAGCGCCGCATCCGTTCCCTTGGGCATTAACTTAGGCCAGGACCTCCAGCTGCAGCCTCCGCATCGCAGCAGTGCAGGTCCCATCTGGAGCTTCAGGTACCAATAGCAGTCCTCGCTCCAGGCATCACGAATCATATTTACAGCCATGGGGAATCGCTTGTTGTCAGTTGACACAGATAAGATGGGGAAACCCTGATTGAAGGCTGCTATCTCGATAGTATCTTAAGTTAGTTGGTTGGCCAAGTTGTGGTTACGGTGTTCTCAAACAGGTTTTCATTCCTTTCTATCTTTCAATTCACTAACCGACATCCATAATAATCTCAGCGCATTTATCGAATGAAACTCCCCACTTGAAATTCATACAAGAACCATATCGTCTCTGGGGACAAGAATTCTGAAATAATACGCCCACATAACCATCCACTAGTCACCAGAGGCAATCAAACCTCCTGTCACAAATTACCTATCTGTTGCGTCACACGATATCGATCCTCTCTTCAGCTCCTCTTTTCGGAGTGTTGTTGATGATCGCCGATGGGGCGATAGGTAATATTTTCGCGGCCAAGCCACTTCGCGGACCTTGTTTTATGATCTCACACTCGCCTGCCAACTTTTTTGATCCATCAATAATAATCCGACAACAACAATCAGCAGTCAGAAGAGCAGAAAAAGAAATAGGGGTCATGAACTTTCTGCACGCTGGCTGAAGAGTGGCGTCATGCAACTATCTGCTGACTCATGGATTGCTTGCGTTAATATGAATATGGATACACTGATGGAAATAATACAAAAGCAACCTCCGCTGCATGATTTATGACCCACTCGAAATGTCGCTAATGCAATTAATATATCCCGGACAGATTAGGATGCTAATCGACGACCCATGCTGCCCAACCAAGTTGTGTCAACTTCATTTCTGACTATGTAGCTACCCGTCTAGTCCGTTCTCTTCTTCTAATTCTGGATATTGGTTGGTGTCGTTTTTGTTTGACGCGCTCAAAATATTTATGGGATAGGCTGCTATCCGCAGTCTTTGTATCGCTAAACCCATCATGATATGGCGCCCAGAGAAAAGGGCGAAATGTTGCGCAAAATGGAAACGTATATACATGAACCATTGTAATTCGAACTCTTTAAGAGAATATATTCTACTGTGGGTATGGATATATCTTCATCAGGGTTACAAATGTTCAAGTATATTTGCATGATAGGCAACTGCTCAGCAGCAGAAGTCAAGTTCTCTCTATAATAAAGCCTGTCAACAAAACCTCGTCTCAATGCCAAACCGTATCACAACGATCACAACGATCACAACGGGAACCACTCAAACCGCGGAAGCATACTTATCATGGCTCCTTGGCTCCCCAACCCAGCCATCTCCTCCCGCTTTCCTTCTTCCCATCAATCAACCCTTCCTCCCCCTCTTCCCCTGCTGCCCCTGAGCCATTCTGACCCCCTTTCTTCGACCTCAACACAAACTTCCACGTCGTCCCCAAATGCCACCGCTTTGACTCCACAATCTCCAGTCCACTACGCCGCACAACCTCCCCTATATCCCGATTCCACCAGCATCCATGTCGATCCGCATGGGCAGGCGCAAGGTCATCCAGCAATTTGTTGACCCACTGGTAATGTGAGCGGCCATGTTCCAGCAGCAGAATTTCCCCACGCTCAGGCTTGACCAGGGTACCAAGATGGATGAGGTATGACACGGGATCGGGATGCGAGCAGAGACCCATTGTTTGGATTACGGTGTCGAATTGGTAAGGTTGCCCGGGGGTAGTTTCAAGGGCTGAGGTGGCAGTATGTGATGGAGGTGGAATGGGATCCATAGCATCCTGCGTTCGGAATGCAACCAGCTTGAAATGCGGATACATCTTTTCAAATTTCTCTTTGGCGATTTGCACCATTTGAGGGCTTTGGTCGACAAATGTGACGGATCTGCACCCCTGGATCTCCGCCTTTCCACTCTTATCTACTCCCCGTTTCTCCCCAAGGGAATAGTATTCCATATTCCGCCCTGTCCCGCAGGCGACTTCTAGAACATTACCACGGGCTCTTTGGACTAGCTCCATGCGCTTTTTGCCTAGGCCCATCATCTTCTCCGCCATCTCCACTTCCGCATCATATGTTGGAGCCGTTTTGTGGAATCGATCCGAGACGTCGTTAGGGACGGAGAGAGTTTTGGAAGTTTTCACTGACTTGTCGTAGGTTACGTAGAGATAGCTTCCGTATGCTGAGAAGCAGAAGACGGCAACTGCACACACCGTCAATACTTTTGGATTTATTGACCGTGTACGGGGTAACGCGTGTGCTGTTGTGGATTGGGCTGGCCTGGTTCTGTTGCAAGATATATCAATATCCAGATGCAAAGTGATGGTATTTGGTCCAAATAGTAACAGAGGACCCAAGTATATGTATGCATTGAAGGGGTTGAGGTTGCTCAGTGGCCGCACTGGAGGGATATTACAGACCGCTATTTTGGAAGCAAAATAATTCCCCAAGAGCGCAAAAAGGATATCGCAAACAACCAACAAGATCTCTAATGTATTTCACTGACCTGTGAGATGACACAGCCGGTAGTTGGCTCAGAATGCCTTTTGTCCTCATCGTCTCTGTGGGCTTTCTTCGCCCGCCATATTTGGATGACGGTTTGGTGCTTGCGGGTAATACCATTGAGTTTTATCGGAAACCCAGAGCGACTCTGGTCAATAGTTATAAGGAGGATATGGAGATATTCGGTATATATATATATATAATCCCAACGTAATAGTCCAGGGGGGAGTTACGCGCTGTATGCTTCAGAGTGGTTGTAGCAGGTCTGCAGCCGTCGTTCTGGGATAAAGAAACGCAGACTGACAAAAGCAAGACGAAGGATAAAATGGAAAATAGATAATCTATGCCCAAGAGCAATTGTGAGGTCAATTTGTAGTTTCGTTGCCTGCAGAGTCGGTATCTATATATATATCTATGGATATTACTGAGAGACCCCTGGCTAAACCGGGGGCAATCCAAGCGAGTTTAACGGGTGAGAGCACAGATACGGAGAAGTATATCAAGAGGGATAAGAATATATCTCGAGAAATCGTTCTATACTTCTTTTTGCGAACTAGGGATACGTTGTCAAAAAAGCAGATGAAGTTAGTTTGCGCTGCTCGAAAAGAAAAATCCCAGCCAAAAAAATAGCCGATGCAAGCGATAACTCTTGACTGGTTCCATCAACGCTCTCTCTCTTCTCACTTCAACCGAACTGCTGGGTCATTCTCAACCCCACAGAGCAGTCTTCTGCTGGCAAACATCTCGGCGGCAGGCAATTGCAACGATTCAACTTAAGTAAATACTGTTACGTTCTGCTGTTCTCCAGCTATCAGGCTCGAATTGCCCCAGACTTACTGTCCACCAACGGCCGGGACGGCGCACAATGGCCAATGACGCAGTCCCGAATAACGATCCGACGCGGCACCAGATGATACGATACGAACTACCTCCCTCTATCTCCACTTGTCCGGCGAGCCAGCTATGTTACCGACCACTGACTGACAAATACCACCTCCAACTGTGCTGAATGCGCAAGAAGGAAACGAAAGCGTTACACCATCGAATCAGTATAAAGGACCTCTGCAATTCCTTACCAATGATAACTACATGCTCAGCACATGAGACCTATCACGGCTCTGGAACAACATTGCCGGATTCCATTCTCATAGTCGGTGGCGGTGTGTTTGGACGTGAGTGGGAAAGCACATACATTTGCGCATCCCTATCTACAAAAAGAAACTGAACAGAGAAACTAACTGGTCACAGTATCCACTGCCCTCGCTCTCTCCGCTCGCCATTCGGGCAAGATCACCCTCATCGATTCGTCCCCTGCCATCCCAAACCCTTACGGCTCCTCTGTAGATACCTCCCGCATTGTCCGCGCGGACTATGTGAAGACAGCGTATGTTACCCTGGCCGAGTCCGCTCTTGAAAAATGGCGCAACACAGACTGGGGCCGTGAAGGCCGATTCACGCAGAGTGGTCTTGTCCTGGTGTCATCGGGCGACACTACGGGCAAGGAATATGTGCGCGAGAGCTACGAGAATGTTAAAGCTCTTAATCCCAAGGCTGTCGAGGAGCTGCCTACAAGGCAAGACGTGGAAAGGGTAGCGCCAGGCTATGGATCTGGCCTCCATGTGTCGGGAGGGTACGTGAATTGGGGATCTGGATGGGCTGATGCGGAAGCATCCATGCGGTTCGCCAAGAAGAAAGTTGAAGAGACGGGCAAGGTGGATTTCCGTACCGGGGAGGTCAAGCGGATACTGTTTTCATCAGAAAGCCAAAGGGTATCTGAAGGTGCTCCAGGAACTGTGGGAGACAAAGAAAAAGTAACCGGCGTCGAACTGACCGACGGCAGCACCATCACAGCCGATCTAGTCATATTAGCTACGGGAGCCTGGACAGGCCGCCTCGTCGATCTCCGGGGCAGAGCCGAGGCCAAAGGCCAGGCGCTCGCGTACATTCGCATTTCGGACGACGAGCAAGCCAAGCTCGCCAACATGCCTACCGTCCTCAACTTCTCGACGGGCATGTTCATTATCCCGCCGCGCAACAACCTGCTGAAGATCGCGAGACATTCATACGGCTACCGCAATCCGCAGCGCGTGGCCGTGGCCGTGGCCGTCCCCGTCTGCGGTTCAGATAGAAGTAGTAACAACACCCGTACCACCACGGCGGAGACGATCGAGGTCAGTCTGCCCGCTGGCGGAGATGTGCCGATCCCGCAGGAGGGGGAGGAGGCATGTAGAGCCGCGCTGAGAGAGATGCTGCCCGCCTTTGCAGAGCGGGCGTTTGTGAAAACGCGAGTGTGTTGGTATACGGATACGTGAGTACTAAAATCCCCCCCCCTCCCCTCCACCTCCCACCTCCCAAACAGAAAAGGTCGTTCACAACGGTCTTCCTGATCATTCCGTTCTAACCCCCAAACCAGACCCACAGGCGACTTTCTAGTAACATACCACCCACACTACGCGGGCCTCTTCCTCGCAACCGGTGGCAGCGGGCACGGGTTTAAATTCCTCCCCGTGCTCGGGGAGAAGATCGTCGATGCGATACAGGGCCGTTTGGATCTGGAGTTGCAGGAGTTATGGGCGTGGCCTAGGTCTACTTCGTCTGATACGGCTGATGCTACATGTGCGATTGTGTGGACGGAAGACGGGAGCAGGTCTGGGTCCAAGGGGCTGATTTTGATGGATGAGTTGGTGAGGGGGAAAGGGGGGGGGGAAGTACTCTGATGACCTTTGGGAGCATTCCTGAAGGGCTATGAGCTATATGTGGCCTGTTGTAGGTTTATTTTATTTATCTCTGGATATTCACCTGCTCTACGGATCACACCATGGAATTTGCACAACAATACTTTTTTAAAGAACACATATCCCCAAATCTTCAAACATCGACTCAAAACGCCCCCACATTTTACCATCTATGTCAACCAACAAAACTTAACCCGGTTCAAAATAATGAACTTCTTCCCCCTTCGGCTTAAAAAGCTACATTCCTTATTCTCCCATGAGTACATTTAAGGAGCTTGGAAATGCAATTCAATTCAATCACTAAAACATACCATAGTGAATGATAAGAGGAGATGGAAGGAATTAATTAATATGAAGAAAAAAAAACCCCACCCAGGTCACAATCTAGTAGTAGTAGAGGGACACTTAATAAAACGTAATAAGTTGCAAAATCTGTCTCTCATGTCAATTGGCGGAGAGAAAAGAAAAAAGAAGCGGCAAAAGTGTGGTGGCCCCCATAATTGAGTAAAAACCCGATGAAAATTCCATATGACGGACATTAAAAAGAAATGCCAAATAAGAAAAACCCATGAATGCCCCCATTAATTTCAATTTTGCGCCAAAGCACCCCCATCCCTATAAGGTCTGCGGTAGCTAGGGAAAGAAAAAAGCGCGACTTTTTCTAATGTGAACAATAATAACAAGCCCCTTGCAATGGAATGAAAGGTTAAAACAAGGGAAAGGTAGTGCAAAACACTGGAAAAAACAAAATCGCTATAACTCCGTGAAAATGCACGACTAGAAGCAAGAAGGGAAAGGAGGTTAAGAAAAAAACAAACACAATTTCCTTTCTCTCGATGGTGGTTGTTTGGGGTAGGGGGGAGGGGGTAATTGTTAAATTTTTTAAATTGAGCATGAGAGCTCAAACCTCAAGGGGGAAATTATATGTCCACCGGGTTTCGACTCCGGTCAATTGGTAATGGGACAAGGGGAGGAAAAGGAACCTGTTATACATAAAGTTGTTGTAATGTAGGAAGGAGAATGTTGTGTAAGTGTTCCCATTGGATGAGAGAATAGAGTGTGCAGGACCAAAGCAATCAAACTTTGCGGAAGTCTTTGAAAAAACGGAGTTAGCAGACGTCAAAGACCAGGGAGAGGCAAGGCAAATTATCATTCCGAACACGTACCAGTAAGCACAGGATAAATCATCTCGAAAGCCTGATAAATCTCCTCTCTGACTTTCGCCCCCGTCAATACAATCTTGCCACTGACGAAGATCAAAAGCACAATCTTCGGTTTCATCATGCGATAAATGAGTCCTGGGAAGAGTTCGGGCTCATAGGAGCTGAAATTATGATGGCGACTCGCAAGCCCTTCAAGACGAATGGGGAACTTAATATCACACGACCCGACAATGTTCTGGATCTTGAAATCCGTGAACTTCGCATTGAACCCGAGTTTCTGGATGATACGAGCATATTTTCTCGAGGCCAGCTTAGAGTCATCTTCAGATTTGGCACCGGTAACTACCATCTTGCCCGAGGCAAAGATCAGGGCGGTGGTCTTCGGTTCGCGAATGCGCATGATAACAGCAGCGAAACGCTATATGATAGTAGATTTTGTTTTTAGCCATATATTGCCATGGCTATAAAACATTTACCTTACCCACATGAAGTGAGGAGAACAGAGCAAAGAGAAAAACGGTGCTTCAGTACCTTTGGGTTGTACTCCGCATTTCTCGCATGGAGCGCAATAGTTTTCAGATCCAAACGGCAGTCAAGATTGACCGTAGCAACAATATTTCTTTTCGAAAAGAAAAAAATATATATATATATATATGTTCAGCTCTCTGGTAGACCAGAAGGAGAGGGTTTGCATTCTTCAAAAGTGTAATATACTCACTGCAAAGTAGGCACGATGCCGCTAACCCCAGGACCACCAACAGCGGCGGCTCCAGGAGTCGCAGCAGGAGTTGCGGGAGTCATCCCGTTACCAGAAGCAGTGGCATTCCCCAACAGTAGTTGACCATTCGATTGTTGCAATCCGTTCATCACGCCTGGCTCTTTCTCCAAGGATGGCGGTGTGAGGTCACCAGCACCGCCTGGGTAGGATAACGACGCTGGGGAAGTGAAGGCCTTCGCCTGCTGGGCAGTGGAAGGGTGGGTAGTAAGGGATTCCATTTTTGGGTGGAGACGCGATTCGAAGAGCGGATTGAGATGATGAGAATGTGTAAACGAGGCTAGGCTGTTGGACGACCAAAATTTCAATGGTCTATATGAGATATATGATGTCAGAACGCCACTTCCTCTAATTCTGTATATGACAAGGAAAGCTGTAGAGTAGACGAAGTGGAGTTGACAGCAAGAGTGTGTTTGTGTTCTTAGTTATTGACTTGAGAGCCAAGGTTTATTATGAAAACAAACAAAGAATTGGGATCTTAAAACCGGATCCAACTAGTAAAGAGGGACAACGAGAAGTGAGAATGGGGGATGTTGCATTTTACAAGTGGCTAGTGGCGATGAAATCCCATGTGTTGTGGATTGTTAAAAGGCAAAACCGAGGGCTGGAAATATGCGGTTCTGAAAACAGCAACGAAAAAAAAAAAAAAACGAAATGGAAGAAAACCTTATAAAAAGAGAATCATCCATACCGTTTTGAGCTTGCGGGAGATGAACAACTCAATGTCTCCCCCGACAACACAGCCAATAAAGTAATATACGCGGCGATGAAGAGGCCAGAATAATGTATCACCAAAAGGGATCCTCTCTTCCACTTCACGACAACTATTGATGATCGCGGGGGTTGAGTGAGGGTGTGATTCAAGTGGCTCGACGAACAATTCGACAGCGATGATCAAACCGAACTGATCCGTCAGGAAGAAGCGCTCTGAGCAGATAGACAGCCCAATTCAAGACGAAGGACGCAGTCGGGACAATACCAGAAAGCCTCGACGACTGGAGCGAGAGAGATATGAGTGAGAGTGAGAGAGAGAGTGAGAGAGAGAGAGAGAGAGAGAGAGAGAGAGACAACAAGAGCAGTAGAGCAACAAAGAAACGGACCAAGCTATCAACCACTCCGCAACAGAACAGATGCAGGAGCTATCGAAGAACGATGATGAGAATCAGAGAAAGGACAGCGCGACGATGGAATTAAAGTGTGGGATTTTTTCCCGTTTCTTTTTTCTCTTCTTCTTCTTCTTCTTCTTCTTCTTCTTGTGCTGCTGCTGGTCTAAAAGAGGATTCTGAAGGAGCGTGAACAGGATTTCTCCTATGAAGAAGTTAATAGTAAAAAAACGGGTTGAAATGATCCCCCCTCCTTTTTAATTTTTTTTGTTAAATATATTTGACTTCTTCTTTTTCTTCTTCTTCCTTCACTTAATCTGCCCTTTGAAAAAATATGCCAACACCTCCCCCCTTTTTTTTTTTTTTTTTTTTTTTTTTTTTAGTTATCTCTTGTGTTATTATCAGCAGCCAACCAGGCCAAGTTGATGGCGATGGCGTTGCGTGGTGGTTGCTTGCTGGTTGCTGGTTGCACTGTGTTGCAAAGATGTGTGTTGACGTCGAGCGGCAAAGAACCAGCTCCGACGCACTCTCCGAAGCACAGGATAAAATTATATTATCACTGGAGAGGACTGGAGAGGGCTTGGTAGGGGAGGGGAGACGAGAGGAAGGGAGAGGAAGGGAGAGAGTAGGGGAACCGTAGAGGAACCGAACCGTTAGGGGACAGGGTGGGGGGTGGAGCGGAATCAAGAGAAAAAATAAAATAAGAGGAGGGCGGTGGGGGCCGGAACCGGTGGAACAGAGCGGAAGAAGAGAGAAGGAGGAGGAGGAGGAGGAGGAGCAGGAGAGTGTATGGGCGTTCCCGACGATTGCCAAGACCAGAGCAGAACCTCCAGACGAAACCCAGAAAAGTTGGGAGGACGCCTGCTTTTATACTACGGGCCAATTCCATGACGCTGTGGTCTTATCCCCACGCACCCTGCCCCCTTATGTGGACGGTCACCGCCACCCCCTACATGGTGCGGCCAACCAGCAAAAAGAGGCGGGGGGGGACAACTTTCCCTAGCGCCGTCCTTCGCCTAACTTCGGGAGTTTGGGAGACCGCCCGGGGCTGCCCGGTGATTGGCCTCTGTCTCACCCCGGGGCTGCTGGAACACCCACTTTCCCAGGCGGCGATGCGCTCTTTGACTCTGGTCTATCCTTGGTACGCCTCCACGTGGATCTGGCCAATTAGAGCGGCGTGGTGGGCAGAGGTTGGACAGAAGGTTGGACCAAGAAACCTTGGGGCAGGGTTATTGGAACCATCCAAACCACCTCTCGACCTTCTCCGTTGCCGATCAGCCTGTAACAGCCTAACCCCAAGAGAAGCGGTGGTTCGGGCCAATAACCTCGCGTATCACCACCCCCTTCTACTACCCTGGATACGCTTGGTGGATGCGCCGTTTGGGGTTGTTCCATGGTTAGTCTTGCCTCTCTGACTTCCGCATCGGTCCAACCTGCGATGATTCAGAACCGGAGCCCTGGCTAAGCCTGCCTACTGCACCTGCATTGCGTGACTGCCTTGGCTCTTTATGCCCTCTCTCTCTCGCTGCCGGCGACTGCCCACGCGAAACCTCACGGCAAAACTTGCTGTTGCCTGCGGAGCATAGGCGAAATGGGGGGGGTTGGTTGGTTTTGACCCTTCCCCCCCACAACCCTCGGTACCAACCATCAGCGTCACTCTGTTGACATCGCCGCTTTTACAACGCGATGCGAGGCAGCAACCCCCTTCCTTCCCCCCTTCCCCCCCCGGGTCTTGGCGGGCGCCCGTATCCCTGAAAAGCCGCGTCAGGCTCAACTAACCACCACGTCTTGCACGCACCAATCACGGCGCCGATCGTCGATCACGTCAGCCTTCAACTGCTCTTGTTGCGCGTTCGAAAATAACAAACGTACTTAAATCGCCAGAGAGGTAGTTGGTTACCCCTTTTTTTTCTTTTTTCTTTTTTCTTTTTCTTTTCTTATATAACCCCTTCGTGACAGTTTGTTTATTCTTCTTCGAATTTCGCCAACACCTTATCTCAGCATCCATCTTCGAAGAGATGATTTGCGTGTTTATCACTTCAGGGGATGGATGGTTCTAAACTAACTACCAAGGCAGCTGACGCGGACGAGGGGTTGAATACTGCGATTCCACATGGTCTGCTTGGCCCAAGACTTCTGGCGAGTTGCAGCCTGGAAGTGGCTCTTCTTACATCTTGTTTATTTACAGCGCTGATGCCTATTCAACCAATCGAGTAGCAGTTTTTCCTCAGCAAGGCAGATCTATTTCTTATCCCGCTCAATCTGAATAACATTGTTGGGAGAAGGAAATATCTTGCAAGGAGAGGGTACTGACGGGAGGCAGCCTACAGGCGAAAGAGGGTAACCCAGCAAGCAGCATTCCACAGATATTTCGACAGACAAACCTTGTTTACCGTGAACAAGGCTGCGCGAATCAATATCAAAAATCCAACCATTCCATCCATCCATCCATTACCTCCTACCCGGGATATCTTGGATCCAAACCAACTGACTGCCGTGCCTCCCTAACCGTGTTGCTCTCTCAGGCTCCATTTCGTTCGCGCAAGATTTATAATACAACAGCGTACAAGTACAAGAACCGCAACGAAACCGAACGTACCAGAAAAAAAAAACCGCTGCACAGCCCCTTTTTCGTTTTTGCTTTTTCCCGTCGGCAACCGCCCGAACGAAAGCGGTCGGTCGCATCGCCTAGGTACCCGATCCGGTAACAACCCAAAATTCTAAATTTAATTTAGGAACCAATCAGTCCCAGTCATCAACCATTCACCAAAAGAGCCGCAGGTTTTTGAATGCAAAATACAATCCGTTCGTGGCTGGTGAATGAGCGACCGTCGTCGCATAGCGGGGCGACGGAGGTGCTTACTTTCGGTGAGTGAGAACATTATTAATTTGAGCAAGCCATGACGAAAGCGCAAGGCTTGATTCCGTGATGGGACTTAAAGGAACTCTGTTATTATTATAAGGACTTGGTGCGTGCGCCATTCTCCTTTCTTTTTTTTTTTCTTTTTCTTTTTTTCTTTTCTTCTTTTTTCAATTATTTTTTTTAAATCGCGATCCAGTGTTGTTTTAGGGCAAAAGCCACCCCTTACTTTTCCTTGTTCCTCTCTCTGATAAACATTTACTTGATATAAACCTCCCAAGCCCGAGATGTGGCTTGCCGCCCCTTTGCGCAAATCGTTTTGCCGCTGAACCGTATGTTTTGGGGGCTAGCCTTTTGTCGTTTCTTTTACTTTTTTCTCCTCCTGTTTGAAAGCAGGTCGAATACTTTTTTTTAGGCCTCGTGATACGCTGTCCCCAAATATGTGGATCCACGCCAAATTTGGGCCCCCTCTTTTTTTTTTTTTTTTTTTTTTTTTTTTTTTTTTTTTTTGGGACCCTAACCGAAATCCAGCACAGTCATGAATTTTTGGAGTTGTAAGAAATTATGCTTAAAATGAGTGGCGGCTGGCTGATGTTGTGGCTAAACGAGTTGAAAAAAAAGTCTTTGCAACCTCACATACCTCGCATTGCGTGACGCTATCCTGATAACTCTAAAATAAACGAGATAAGGTAGAGATATGAGGAGTTGTGTGCTTGCCGGGTTATCTAGTGCCCGAGTTTGTTCCCAAGCTCGGGTATTGCGGAATAACGAGTTTCAATTCATTATCTATTTACCGAAACTTCTTGTTAGGTTGCGGATGGGGAGGGAGAAAATCGTTTGTTGGTTGACTTTTGAAGGGAATCTACTTCGATAAAAAGGCTAGACCTTCAGCAGTATGGATTTCAGCGCCTGTTGATGTTCTCGGGATTGGACCGTGCCGCCAGGACGGACAATAGGCAACAGGCAAATTTTTCCATTTTCTTCGTCCAGCAAACAAATACTTTCTTTTCCCACTTGCTGGTAAAATGGCTATGTCATGATGCATGGTACGTGTCTGCGGGCTGCAGGCTGCAGTTCCCTGGAACACCATCATTAATACCTCTTTATCAGAATAAGTTTACCGATTGGCTGGTAGGATTCATATGTGCTCTGGATATTTTTCTGGGTCTATTGGGCTCTGGACTGGCTTTATGCATGGGTTAGCAAGGGCACATAGCACTTCAACAAATTTCTAGGAGAAGACTAGGAGTGCGTACCACACGGAAAATTGAGGGCCATAATGCTTGCTTGTTATAGACACTGGAGCTTGATCGTGGGAACCCTTTTTACGTGCCATGATTATGAATGCTACGGCTTGCTCTGAATGAAAATTTTATTTCCCCCCTTTTAAGGACGTGCTGCTACCTGGTAAAATTTTACCATATCAAGTATGTTCGGAATAGAGAGCTTTCTCATCCAGCCCAACATCAGACATTTCATATGGAAGGTAAATGGGGTATTTCCATTTATGGGCCAGTCCAAAAGGGTTGAAAGTCGCCCTGCCGAGATCGGTATACCCAGCTGAACAAGTCTCGCGGGAGTGGACCGACAATGATATATAAAACCACCTGCACTATCTAATATATTTAGTAGCTAACCAGCGTCACGTCAGTCTAGCAGAGTCATCTATTATTATCGGTCCGCCCCGTTTCCCTGTGGGCGTAGGCGGTCTTGAAAGAGAGCAGAATCCATCCCGTGTCTCCTGCATACTGCTTTCCCGTATGTACTGTGCAAAATTTGGCATCTGCTACCATTTTAATCGACGTTCTCCATCATGTACTTTAACAAGGATCCTATCTCGTTGATCCAAATCTGAATCCGGATCTTACACTCGACAACCAGAATGATTGAGAAGATAGATTGAAGATTGAATGTCCAACAATTCATCTCGAGGGTTCTCTAGAAGCATCATATCTGAAGCAAATACAAACAGCGAATACCTTTTGTCTCATCATGGCAAGCTGAACCTGAACCCATCCCATCCGTGTCGTCAGAAGATATGCTCAATTGGACTGTTTGTGGGAGGGGAAAAGGAAAAAAAAAAAAAAAAAAAAAAAAAAAAAAAAAAAAAAAAAAAAAGGCAGGCTCTTATGGTCGCTTTTCCTTCCATGATTGCAACCTTCATGGCTGCGGGTATTGTCCCTACCTACGAGGATTTCTTAAAGTCTTATGGAACGGGTATACACCAAGCTGCAAATAGAATCATGCTATTCCGCCCATGCGCGTATTTCTGAGGGAGCGGAAGAGATTGCAGTGCTCGGCATTGCACGCTTCTTCTGGAACCCCCGTCTCAGCAAAAATTTGGCCCATCTTCTTGATATCAGTTTTGTTTCAAACGCTGTGCAATATCCGGCGGCGCAAAATTGCACATCTTTCGTTAGCTAGATAACAACTCGCGCACTAACAGCAGTCTGCGCGTCTCCTCTCCAATCGGAATCGGAAGTAGGGTGATTACCAAACTATCTTTCAGCGACGAGCGTGCCCAGAGGATGAGCTCAGTTGGTGGGCCCTTCTACCTGCCCTTCGGCGTAACATGCGAACCGTTTTTCATAGGATTCATCACTAAACATATCGGATTCACTTGGATCGACCCTTTGGATATTTGCCGTCATCAAACTCTGCCAGTTCATCGGTTATCTGGTTTTAGGGGATGAAACGCTGTTTCCCCGAGACAGTGTGATAAATGACAGAGTCCCACCCAAGAACAGTTTGATTCCCCATCGGATTGATTCCACTCCTTTTAACTGGGGGGACATAATTAGAGTCCTTTTAGCCTGGCTCGCCACATTGACGTCGTGATCTTTTTTGCTCTCTCATACGCAGTCATCTTCTGCTATGCTAACGTCGTCATTGTCGTGGAGATGCCGAGTGTGTTTGGGAAACGGTACGATCTGGACACTCAAAACAGGTTTGATTGTTGTTTATATCCATCATTGGCGAACAGTCTGCGGCACCTCTCACGAGGTTATTCTTCATTTTGAGTATGAGGTCTGGACTGGAAAGAAATTCCCGGCAAACAGCCTGTGGATTTCCTATGTTGGGTTTTTAACGGTGATTGCTGGGTTTCTGTTAAGGGGATTCGAATTCAACAACCTGACTTCTGGTCATGCAAAACTAACTACATCTTCACCGATGTTTTCTGCTTCGACTGCGTCCTGGCGAGAAGCTGCAGGAGTAACCCTCATCATCATCAAGGCTATCCAGAACCTCATAGAGGGTCAAATAAGCATAGCTACCTAGGAGGCAGAACACTAGATCACGGCGGTTTACTAGCGATGGAGAGTCGCTTGCTGCCGACGATATGAAGTTTCCTCCCTTGTTTTCACCCCATTCTCCTGGGTTTTCAAGTTTATTTTCACGGGTTCTGGTTGGTGTCAAAGAGCTGCTGGAAGTCGGGATGATGCCAGAGAGGTTATCAAACTCGATTTTGTGTTTATATGTAGCCCCAAAGCTGTCAATAAACGGATAATCTGTATTTAAATCCATATCACTTGAAATAATAAGAGAGTCCAATTTAGCAGTAAAAAAACATTAGGATAGCTCTGAGGAAAATGAAGGATACAAAATTTGACTGGAAAGGGAATAAAAAGTGGAAATAACAATTGGACGCTGCCGGAATCGAACCGGCGACCCCGTCAATGCGAATGACGTATTATACCACTAAACCAAGCGCCCAATGATTGGTCTTCGGAACAAAAGAGTTCCAATTTTGTAGTATTAGACATTCCAATCGCCGAATTTTAAAACCTTCTTCAAGAATTGTTAATTGCATTATGGGGCCGGGGCGAAAGTATATCTACTACTTGCATAGTTTCTTTTTCATGCCTTTGCAGAGTGGTTAGTCGATCGTCCAACTGCTATTCATCAAGAAGTGGGATAAATGATTACTAGCATGATTTCCATTCGACACCTTTTTATTGGTCAGAGTGAGATTCCTCGGCTGTTCTTGCTCAGGCGGCGTTATCCAGAAATACCCGGAGTTGAAGAGTGAATTCATCCGCGATCGCACTGCTAGTTACTCAATATATTAACCTCGATTGGAGGCTGGTTTATCTTAACTCTCGTTGGTATGCCCGCAGCCATGGCCTCGCAAACTACAATCTTGTCTCTCCTGAGGCGTGAATTCGCACCGGTCTCTTGGAGAGCAAGTGTGGCCAAATCTGGGTTCCGCGCCTATTCTACCCGTGCGCTCACAGGGCTCCCTTCCAGTCGGCGACAAGCTATCCAACAACGACAAATCCCAGCACAGAATGTCAGTTTAAACCAGAAACGGAGTTTTTCAAACACTCTGCAAAGGCGATATTCTGGTGACTCTGATACCTTTGATCCTTCCCAGATTGAACGGGAATCGGACAGTGTCGATGTTTGCATCGTTGGCGGCGGTGCGTTTTTTTTTTTTTAATAACCCTCTGCCTAGAAAAGTAGCCCCCCTTTTACTAGTTGTGGTCTAGATGGCGGAAAGACTGACCAACATTGTTTTTGTGAATATTTGAGGATAGGCCCCGCCGGTCTCGCCGCAGCTATACAGCTCAAGAAAATCGCAAACGAAGCGGGCAATGAAAATTTCAGGGTTATACTTTTGGAGAAAGCAGGAGAGATTGGGGACCATATAGTGTCGGGCAATGTTTTAGAGCCCAGCGCGATCAATGAATTGCTTCCAGATTGGTTGTCAGAGGATAATCCTTCGAGATTTGAACATGCAACGCCTGCGAAGTCGGATCGCATGCGTTTCCTTACGAGCAAACATGCCTTCCCAATTCCATGCCCGCCGCAGATGAATAACCACGGCAATTACATTATCAGTTTGAGTCAGTTATGCAAGTGGCTCGGAGAGCGGGCAGAAGAAGTTGGAGTTGAGATATATCCTGGTTTCGCCGCAAGTGAGGTGCTGTACAAGTCGGACGGATCGGTCAAGGGAGTCGCTACCAACGATCTTGGTATTGGGCGCGATGGGAAGCCCAAGGATTCCTTCGAACGGGGAATGGAGTTCCATGCCAGAGTCACGCTGCTTGCTGAAGGATGCCACGGAAGCTTAACAAAGCAAGTCATCAAGAAATTCGATCTGCGACGGGACAGCCAATCTCAAACATATGGACTGGGAGTGAAGGAGGTTTGGGAGATCCAGCCTGAGAAATTCCGAAAGGGAGAAATTCTTCATACGTTGGGTTACCCCTTGCCCAAGGATGTGTATGGAGGATCATTCATGTATCATTTTGGCGATAACATGGTTACTCTTGGGCTGGTTGTTGGTCTTGATTACCCTAACCCCTGGTTATCTCCGTATGGGGAATTTCAGAAACTGAAACACCATCCTCTTATCAAATCCGTACTGGAGGGCGGGAAATGCATCTCCTATGGAGCTCGTGCGCTTGCTGAGGGAGGCTTTCAGTCCATACCAAAATGCGCTTTCCCCGGTGGTGCCTTGATCGGAGATACTGCGGGGTTCATGAATGTTCCAAAAATCAAGGGCACACATAACGCTATGCGGTCTGGCATGATTGCTGCTCAGGCAGCATACTCAGCCCTTTCTTCAAATCCAGACAACTCAAGTGTATTCCTGTACGACTACGAGGACGGCCTCCGAAATTCTTCCATATGGAAGGAACTCAAAGAAGTACGAAACATGCGCCCTTCATTCGCAACTCCGCTGGGAATCTACGGTGGCATCATGTACTCCGGCTTAGAAGCGTACATTTTCCGTGGCAAGATGCCCTGGACCTTGAGCCACCACGGCACAGATCCTGATGCCACCAAGGCTGCCTCCGAGTGCACGAAAATCGAGTATCCGAAACCAGATGGAGTGATTAGCTTCGATATTTTAACAAGCGTTAGCCGTACTGGCACCAATCACGAAGAGGACCAGCCGGTACACCTTCAGGTCAAGGACTGGGACAAGCATACCAAGCTCACCTGGCCGAAATATCAAGGTGTCGAGAATAGGTTTTGCCCTGCCGGAGTCTATGAGTACGTCGAGGATCCGAGTAAAGAGTTGGGAGTCCGGTTCCAGATCAATGCGCAAAAGTAAGTTGTCCATTGTTCTCTCAATTTTCTGTCTCCCTCTTGTCTAGTTTGTCAATAATGACCGCTGACTATGAAATTCCATTTTTACAGCTGTATTCATTGTAAAACCTGTGACATCAAGGTCCCGACCCAAGATATCAACTGGCAAACACCTCAAGGAGGTGAAGGCCCAAAATATTACTTGACCTAGAAAACGGCATACTTTCCATGTTCCATTATTTGATATCTGTTCGTTTCTGGCAAAACCATGCGGTTCTGCTGATGAAATTTTGATAGAGGAAATTACTGTTTGGTTGTGCTACATATCACTATTCCCATTGTGCGTCTCCTGTTCATCGCCATACGCTGGATCAAAATGTTTAATTAACTACTGTTCGACTGGTGAATCACGAAGTTAGGAAGCTATTTAGCTCAAACTAGCTGCATGTAAAAATTTTTTCAAACAAACTAATGCTTACTGCGCGTTATTAATTTCCAACAAAATGTTCATCACACACTTGCACTGGGAATCCCTGGAGATTCCATCCAAGTCTCTTCCCGCAATATTTAATACAACCTCCAGTCAAAGTGGCACAAACGTGTTCTGTTACCGAAAGTGAGGCGACCAAACCCAAGGTATGTTGTTGGGGCACAAGACTATTCTGCCCCCCTGAACCGCCTTTCTCAGCCTTGCTGTCTGTCATCCATCCCCACCCATCTCTATCAACATCCATTTGCCCATTGCATCACATCGCATCCCCACCGCCATCCCTCCTCCATCTCCACGCCTGCAACGATTTGATCCACGACATCTCTCTCTATTCAGCACTTGGCCGTCCTGCCGTCTTCATCCCTTGAAGGAACATTTTCTTTCCCATTTCGAATCCTTTAGGAAACAACAGGCTGCCCAGGCTACCGAAAATTGTTTCGGTAATCTGGAAAGGAAATACACCCCCCCCCCCCCCCCCCAATTCCTTTACCGGCCTCGCTGCTCGCATCTCTCGATTTCCTAGGTATTTCTTGTCCAGGAATATACAAACACGCATAAGCGCACCACTTCGGCTTCAGGATACTTTTTACACCTTCTGTGCGTCTGCGGTCCTTATCTCGCATCGGCAGCCCATCATGAGTGAAGTCTCATCCACGCGTCTCTATCTCGGGAATCTGCCCCGCAACGGTATGCTGGTCTTACTACTACTGCTACTACTACTACATCCTCCTCATACTTGAGCTTCGTTCTTGAGCACTGTCAAATCCCAATGTGTACGGCTCTGGCACAAAAAACCTACCCCATGTTCCATTGGAATCTCTGGAATACTCTCGTCCTATCGAGGACTGTGACTACGCATATGACACAGTCAGAAATTAAGGGATTTGCAGCAGTCAAAAATCCAAGTTCTCAATAAGAAAGAATGAGATCTGAAAAGAAATTTTATACATCTCTAATGGAATTCACTACTGGCTTTCTCGTTACTGGATCGTTTGGCCTCGAGAGCTGACTCAAAACACGCCTTTTTTGGCCTGGACTTGTTTTTTTTCCAGTCACTAAGCAGGAGATCGAAGATCATTTCAATTCCCACCACGGCTCCGGCAAGATCACGGAAATAAAGCTCATGAGTGGTTTTGGTTTCATCGAATATGAGGATGCTATGGATGCGAAGGATGTTGTGCCAGGTATGTTTTTCGTCCATATACCTGTTTGTGGGACACAGCCTAATTTCATGTTTCCTTTAGCTTTCCGTATGTCTATATGAACTTTTGAGATTTCCCAACTTCTTCACCGCCAGGGGGCTTTCTATTTTTGACCACTCTGGCTTGCAGATGGAACGGATTTCAAGGGTGAACGCCTCACTGTACAGTTCGCCCGTGGACCACGCCACAAAGAAACTTTCTCTGGACCGCCGGATCGTTCCAGCGCTCCGCGTCCACGGCGGACAATCTACCGCATGCAGATCTCTGGACTTCCAGAAACTAGTTGGCAGGTTAGCTAAGCTCCATTTCCCCCCTGGAATCCCTAGGATTTACTTCCGTTTGGACCTCGTGATATGTGCCATTACCCATTTCTTCCCCTACATTCCATCATAAGTGTAGAGTTTTGCCACTTGCTGGAGTTTTCCGTGTTTGGAATTCCCCCGGGCTCTATTTTGGCAGGAACCTGGCGGTTTACCCATTTCGTCTGGAATTGGACTTACACATCCACCTTCTTTAGGATCTCAAAGATTTCGCACGACAGTCTGGCCTTGATGTAGTGTACTCCGAGACCGGCCATGATGGAAGAGGGTGAGTATTCCCGATCTCCAGGGCCGACAAATTTCTCTTCTTTTTTTGGACCAGGAACGCTGATGGACTTTGTTGAATCAAACAAAAAATAAAAAGATTTGTCGAATTTGAAACAGGAAGTGACCTCAAAACCGCCGTTGAGAAACTGGATGGCCGTGAATTCAAGGGCTCTAGGGTCTTATGCACGCAGGACGTAGGAACCCCCTTGGTCTTCCCCTCCGGGTGGCTTAGTTCTCATTGTCTACCAGATTCAATCCCAGGAGGATCGCCAACCCCGTGAGCCATACCGTTCCCGCTCTCCTGGGCGGCGTGGCGGGTACCACCCTTATGAGGAATATGACCGGCGCGGGGCACCTCCACGTGGGTATAGTCCCCGCAACCACTACCGCGAGCGTTCACCGGCCTCTCGTCGTGATTACTATGAACGCGATAGCTATGGACGCAGATCGCCTCCTCCTCGTTCTCGTATGGATGATTACCCACCTCCACCCCGCCGCCCATATGACGATGGCTATGACCCACGTGGCCCTCCTCCACCTCCACCTCGTCACTATGATGACCCCTATGCTCCCAGGCAATACGGCCGCCCACGGAGCCCCCCACCACCAAGAGGCGATTATGGATATGACCGCCGCCCTTACTGGTAGAGAACTCTTTTTTTTTTTTGTTTTTTGTGTTCTGTATCTTTTGATTCCCCGCTCGTATCTATTTTTCCCTGAGATTCTTCTTTGTTGTGCCTGCGTTTTCATGCAGAAACCACTTCCAATTCTTGTTCGATCGATGTATAAAAACATATTTAATGATTCCCCGCACGCGAACCTGATACTTAATACCTTAGAAAACCTATACTTGTCACTGATTCCAACAGAGCATGATTTGCCAAAAACACGATGCCGCCGGTCTCCTTTTTTTTTTTTTTTTTTTTTTTTGTTCACTCTGATTCTTCGATAACATTACCGGCTGTCCAAAGGGGTGGGTATTAGCGTAAGTATTGCCGACCTTGACCTTGACCTCGTTCTGCTATTCGATATCCGGCTGGATTGGAACCTCCCGTCTAGTTTGCTATCCGAAACGGGTTAAAGGCAATAACCAGGCATATACCGGTAGATATCGAAATTTCTTTGCTTCGTTTTGTTTTTGATTCTGTGCTCATGTTTCCTATTCCCCCCCCCCCCCCCCCCCCCCTTTTTTTTTTTCTTTTTCTTTTTTCGGGGTGTGTGTGTGTGTGTGTGTGTGTGTGTGTGTGTGTGTGCGTGTGTGTGTGTATGTATGTATGTATGTGTGTGGCTGTGTTTGTGCAACCTCCTAGTCTACAAAACCATCTGATGATACTTATGAACAAATTCCATGGCGAAAAGTAAGGAAGGAAAAAGGGTTCAATGAATTCTACCGATGATGTCCTCAGCCATTGCGTTTTGCTGCCCTTTTTTTCCCTGTCAACTTCCTCTTTCCTTTTTTTCAGGATAAAGCGAAGGGATATGCGGTGCTGAGGGATTTACATTCAAGTGGGATGATGTGGACGGAAATGGAACCACATATGGAACTGGAAAACCCTTCCCCTGAAGGACCAATGTATAATGACAACAATCTCAGGCATTTTGTGTTGTACATTTGCCCAGATGCAATTTGAGTTTATATCAGGGCCGTCTTCGCTGTTACCTAGGTAATTATTATGATGACACCTTTGAGAACACTCGACATTGTTTCTTAATAGAGGTTAGCCCTTTTCTACATAGAAGACCGGATGGATATGGTCATTTGAGGAATTTTCTCCAGGATAGGAGGTTTCAATGGGGTAAGAATATTTTGTAAATAAGAAACTGTAACTATTAGCAGAGCATCTAACAGATCATGGTATGAATTCCCCAGCTAAGCTCTGTAAAGGATTGAATAAACAGAGCTAACAGTCTAAGTCACTGATTGTAATGAACAGCAGCTCATTGGGTGAATTATGGCTCCTAAGGCAAAGGAATGAAGGCTGTGCCAAGCCAGAAGTAGTTATTCTGACGCCGGACAGGCACATGAGAGGCTACGTAGGAGGTTATAGCTGGATAGCTGAATCAAGCTCAGTTGTCGCGGACGGAAATTTTATTTTCCATCTTCTTTGACGTCCAAACCCCCTCCTCACAAGATATCACAGCTCCCAGCTCATACCAGATGCCGCTTACAATCACCAGTCCTAATTGAACGAACACCGGATAAATGAACGGGGGCTAGTAAAAAGTTAATTGCTTCATTTTCATTTAAAATATGTCTTCTGATGCTTTACGGGTATTCGATGTCGTCCAGCTCCGTAATGTTAGCTTCCCCTTCCCAATATGCTTTGGCTCCGATGCCTGGGGCCGCAAGGGTAAACCACAGCCTGCCACATTCTCATTTCGCGTCTCACATCCTCGCCCCCTTATCGAACAATGCGGGCACACAGACGATGTTTCCTTTACCCTCAACTATGGCGAGTTATATCGTAAGATTGAGGCGAGATTACTCCATGTGACAGCGCTTGAGGATAGGCATGCTAGGGACGTCGATTTACCAACGTTAGCTTATAATGCTGCAGATGTTGCATTTACATTGGCTCGGAATACTATACAGTCGAGCGCCATGGCTCAGGGGTTGGATATGGCAGGAACTGAAGTTGATATCTCAATACATCTTCCTAAGGCGATTCTGAGAGCTGAGAAGGGCCTAAAGCATCAAGCTATCTATCGAGCCGCAAAGCCGGGAGCCCAAGCCATTGATGAGATACAACACATATACCGTATTGACAGTTTACGGTGCAATTGTATTGTCGGAGTTAATCCCCATGAACGGGAAGTCAAACAGGCAGTGCTGGTATCTCTTGTTTTTCAAAAGCGTAATGGGATCGATTCTCGGTACGATTGGATTGTGCAGGCTTTGCAGAACGCGGCAAGGCATATCGCAAATGTGAGTTTTTATTTTTTTATTTTTATTTTTTATTTTCTATTTATTTTATTATTAATTAATTAATTTATATTATTATCATGGGCGTATGGTGGCGCAGGGATTAGTTGATTATCGCGAGATCCTTGGGACAAGAACGTATGCATTTTTTTTTCTGGTGAATTGTTGTGGCTGACATCGATACATCGATTACCCACAGGACATTGAAAAGTCCGGTTTCAAAACAGTCGAGGCTTTAGCTCACCAGATCGCAAACACGGCCATGCGATATACGGACTTCGACGAGGTGACTGTCTGCGTAGAAAAACCAAGCGCGATGGCTTTCGTCGAGTACGCTGGAATTGAAATCACGCGTACGAGAGGCGATGTGAACCTGCTGAAGAAAGAATGAAATTTACGAAATGCTCGCCTGAGGCAGCCTCGGCACCTTGCACTAATAAATACCCGCTATTTTTATAGTATACTGGAAAGTGTCATGCACGGAAGTCCTTGCGAATAATAGGCACTGAATGTTGGGGAGCATTCCTTGGTGAGAAACAAGGTCGTGGGTTCAAATCCCATCTTCACCAACGGTGTTTCTCACGGGAGGAGGGTGGCTGGTGAATAGAATAGGATTCATGATTAGCAGGATTAGGGCACATGCAACATGGTCTATGTATTGATTTTGTGTTTAGATGATCCAACTACTCCACAAGTTTTTGAGACTTTTCCTAGTTTAGTGTAGGATCAGTCCCTGGAGGAGATGAATGATCAATGTATCTAGAGTATTAGCAAGCACCCAGTCAGGCTATCAAAGTCTCTGACTGCCGCATATCCAAGAAAAATACGAACAATACCAATAATACCCACTATTTGATTTATATTCGCCCAGATCATGGCTTATTCTTATCTTTCTATTTTGAGTTGTTGCTTTCATTGAAAGTTTGAGAGCAACTTTTAACATATTTTTTATTTCATTTTCTGCCCCAGACCAAAAAGCTGACCTTGTCCCCAAGCGGGTTAGCGCCCTCTCTCCGCCTCTCCCAAATGTTTCCCAGTCACTCTGGGCGTTCTCTTTTTTCCCCATCTTTTCTATTTTTCCTCTTCTTAACATCCGAAATTCACAGTCAAAGGATAATCTGCTGCTGCTCTCTATTTCTGTCGTAATCATCTTCTCCAAAGAAACACGTCTACTATTTTGCGCTTTATCATCTATGGGACTACGCAGCTGTAACAGTCTTTCGCTTTCGATTGTCTCTGCTGGCACCGACTGCGCTTCGTGCCTCTTGGGTCTGCCCCCCTTCGAGACTCCCTCCGCGATCTCTGCGCCTGGTTCCACCGTCGCAGTGCCGGGGCCGATTCCAGATAAGGTGGTGTGGCCACTGGAGCTTGGTCCGTCCTGAATAAGGGCGGACGGTAATCTGGTATACGCGCCGTTGAGCGTGGCGATTTTTTGTGACTGCGTAGATATTTGTTGTGTTGGATCAGAGGTAAGCTATGCGAATCGTCTCTATGAACGAGTGAGAGCTTACTTTTCTCCAGAAAGTATTAAAATTCGAGCTATTCGGCTCCCTGTCGAGCTAGACGTCTCCACCATTCCACCCTCCTCGCAGATGTGAGAAGCATTAAGGAAAGAAAGAAACTATATATAGACAGACAGGCCTTTCGACCTATTTAGTAGGGATGTTCAAGTCCAGCCCGTTGCGCTGCCCGTTCGTTGGATCGTGATTCGAAACATTCTTTCGACCCTGCCAAACGAAAGCCATGCCACAACACCCAAATCATGGCTCGCACAGGAAGAATTCACCGTTTCGGACGTTTTTGCGCCACAAACTGGCGACGACCCTGACCAGGAGCGCCACCCAAATGATAATGCCGCAGAGGCTGAAACCGTTGTTCGTAAAGTCTCTGCGGGATTTCGTCTAGGTCCCCCTGAAGTTAGTCCGGCGAGAAACCCCCCTGCGAGTCAGTCTGGTAGGAACGACGTGCCTGGTGATATCAGATACCAGGAGGTGGATAAGTTAGGCTCTCGCAGGAAGAGTAGGAAAAAGAAGAAGTTGCGACGCCCAGCTGAAATCAGGTCTGATGTGACCACTGTCCGTGGTTTTAATGCCAAAACACTTACCGAGGATGAGTCAGATTGTTCCAATGCTGGCTCCAAGACCCTTTCCATGTGGCAACCTCCACGTGTCAGTTGTGCAAATGGTCCCGGCCTTCGACCTTCCTCCTCAAATGGGGGCATCAGTTCATTGAAACTCCAGCTAGATGCACTCAGTCTGTCGAATAGCCGCCCGGAATCTAGGGACACGAGCCAATTTGGTTCCCAGACCCCGAGCTGTTCTAGTGTCAACTCAGACAGTGACCAGACAACCAGCTATGAGGTGCCTTTGGAGCATGATTTTGTTAGCCCGGACGCTGGTGCTATTCCTTCTGATGCCACGGAATTGCCCAATGAGCAACAGTTGAGGGATGCTCTCTATCGAAAGATGTCAGCTGCGGACTTTGAGCCGCTGTCATGCCTTGGGAAAGGAACCTATGGAACGGTTTTACTGGTCAAGCATTCAGCAACTGGCACACTCTATGCACAGAAACAGTTTCGCAAGGCCTCTATTACAGTTCATAAAAAGCTTGTGGAACAAACTAAAACGGAACGGGCGATCTTGGAAAGTGTAAATCGCCATCCATTTGTTGTCAAGCTCTACTACGCATTCCAGGATCATGAAAAGCTATATCTGATTTTGGAATATGCTCAAGGTGGTGAGCTATTCACCCACCTGGCTATGGAGCGCATGTTCACCGAAGACGTGGCTTCATTCTATATGGCTCAGCTAGTCTTAGCGCTGGAGCATCTCCACCACAACGTTGGCGTCGTCTACCGTGACTTGAAGCCTGAGAACTGCCTCTTGGATGCCGAAGGCCATCTTCTCCTAACCGATTTCGGACTCAGCAAAGTTGCCGTTAACGGCGATGATCGATGCAACTCATCCCTTGGGACCGTCGAATACATGGCCCCTGAAGTCGTCCAGGGCAAGCCATACGGCAAAGCCTGTGATTGGTGGTCCTTAGGAGCCCTGGGTTTCGACCTTCTCACCGGCTCGCCACCTTTCAAGGCCAACAACCACGCGAAGATCCAGGAAAAGATTGTCAAACAGCAGCTTGTACTTCCATACTTTCTGGGCCCAGATGCGAAGGACCTCCTCACGCGCCTCTTACGTAAGGATCCAAACAAACGCCTTGGATCCAACATGCCCAAAGACATGCAGACGATCAAAAACCACCGCTTTTTCCGTAAGATTGACTGGAAAGCACTTGAAAGACGCGAGTTGGAGCCGCCCATTAAACCACTCATCACGGACCCAGCTTTGGCAGAGAATTTTTCCACTGATTTCACTGCCTTGCCGCTTAGTCCTGTTGTGACAAGAAATGGGTTTGATGAATATGGTCATGATGGGAAAGGGTGGTGTGTTGATGGTGGCACGTCGTATAGAGATATCCATCGCCCTAGGAATGCGGCTGCGGACGATCCGTTTAGTGGATTTAGTTTTGTGGCATCCAGCAGCTTGCTTGATAGTGGGTTTGGCAGGGTGAGGTAGATTCTACCATCTAACTTGACTGTGTCGTTCTTGTGTGCTGGTTGTGTCTCCATTTTTTTTTTTTCTCTCTCGCCTTTACTTTCAGGATTTAGTTGCTTTTTGTTCTTGAAATTCTGCTGCTATTTTGTGGTTGATTTAATTAGTACTCTTTTGGTCAGAGATCTGATTTCGTGTGAGGTAGTAGAAATTCGAATTAATGTGTTGTTTGACGCTTTTAGGGACCCGTCTGTAGCAACCATCTACCGTTTAATTTATATAATCCCTTTGTTCCCTTTCAGTCCGTTAAGGCTTCCTTCATATGAAAACTAATCACGTCTATTTCACGCTCCCCGTCTTCCCGACCAAATCACATTGTAAACTGGATAAATCACTTGATAATTCCAATTCGTTGCGGAGGAAGAGCCATCTCCGTCAGAATCATTACCCCTATCTACTTTCTAAGCACAGACCAAAACGCCTTCGTTGTAATGATATATCCCATGTCTATTTTTCTATAGATTGTACAGTAAATTACAAAGGCTAGTCAAAGTATATATACATGTGGCAAAACGCCAGCGGTAAACATGATATGCGGCAAAGTATCGCGCTTCGTCGATTAGGAAAGGGTTGGTGGGTGGGCGTTCTCATGTGCATGCCCATGGAATAAACCTTAATGCCGACGCCAAGGACGTGATGTGCATGGGTTTGTGAGCAGGGGCATAAAAACGGAATAGATGGCATGGGAATTCAATTCCGGGAGAATATTAGGGGGAGGCGGCACGGGGGGCAAGGGTGGAAAATAGGCGCTAGACATCGACATCACAGTATCGATGTCCCTAGGGGGTCGTTAGGCCTCTCAAGCTTTGTTAGAATCCTTATTCTTAGTTACTTAAAACGGTATGAACTCCTCAAACACAGATTTCCGTCCACTTCCATTACTCGACGACGGAGATTCCTTTTCGATTCTTTTCATCCCTAGCTCCCGCTCTGCCTCTTCCCAATAGCTATCCAACTCGCTGACTACGTCCTCCCGACACACGCGGAACAGCGCAAAGTGATTTCGGGCCCAGAAAAATATATCCCATTTGCTCAAAGCGCCATGTTTACCTGTGTGATGATTTCCCCCATTGGCTTCTAGCTCATAGAGCTCGCGGACCATTCCCCGCACAATGACCCGCACCGTCTGCAGTGACGGATGGACAAGCTTAGAATATCGACCAGTGTCTGACTGAACAGCTATGTGCCTTTGCCTTACTCCACGCAGATTTTCAGGGGTGCGGGCCGTAGATCGAAGGGCTATGTTCCCACCTAATTTGATGTTGGCAGGTGGTTCATCGATGCACCACAGGCGGTATAACCGTTCCCCGGCCTTGCTGCCTTGTGTCTCAACGACGGCATATAGTATTTCGTTAAAAGCGGAGCTGGGGATGGTACGTGTGGGGAGTTGCTTTGATTTCCACTGCGGGTTGCCGTTCTGGCATATTTTGGATATGGATCCTTGGATGGATTTGAATAGTCTCAGAAACTGGAAAAGAACACCCTCATGATACTGCGTGTGTCCTTCGGAATATTTGGGTCTGGGGTTGAATTCGCCCTGCAGCAATTTGGCTAGAATTTCTTCGGCTCTAGCCAGTGGGGTCAATTGGTTTTGACCGGATGTTCTTTCTTGCCCACCAGGATGGCAATTTTTATCCAGCCTTATTATTGCTGCTGCTAGCAGGGCTACCTCTTTGGTGTCCCAGCCGCTCCCATTGTTGTCCCGCAGGTGGAGTAATATTTCATTAACCCGGTCCCAATCGTGATGCTGGAGAGCGTAGCCGAAAAAGGCCCTTATAACGGG